CTACTATTCAAAAGGCTTAAGAGAAAACAACTGCACAAATACATTCCTAGCTCTTACAACTGACCCACTCACTGCAAGGGCACACTGGTTGAATGAACGTTCTTTCAAAGTATTGTGACGTGGAATCAACATTGAATTCTAAAATACTTCATCAACCAGTACTGTTTCCATCTAAAGTGCATTCTGAAAGTATTCATAACCCTCAACTTTTTCCACATTTTGTTAGGTTACAGGCTTATTCTAAAATTGATTCAATATTTTTTTCTCATCAATCTACAAGCAATACCCAATAATGGCAAATCGAAAAAAGGTTTTTATAAATTTTTGCAAATGTATTAAAAATGAAAAACAGAAATACCTTATTTACATAGGTATTCAGACCCTTTGCTATGAGACTCGAAATTGAGCTCAGCTGCATCCTGTTTCCATTGATCATCCTTGAGATGTTTCTACAAGTTGATTGGAGTCAACCTGTGGTAAATTCAATTGATTGGACATGATATGGAAAGGCACACACCTGTCTATATAAGGTCCCAAAGTTGACAGTGCATGTCAGAGCAAAAACCAAGCCATGAGGTCGAAGGAATTGTCTGTAGAGCTCCGAGACAGGATTGTGTCGAGGCACAGATCTGGGGAAGGGTACCCAAACATTTCTGCAGCATTGAAAGTCCCCAAGAACACAGTGGCCTCCATCATTCTTAAATGGAAGAAGTTTGGAACCACCAAGACTCTTCCTAGAGCTGGCTGCCCGGCCAAACCAAGATTGAACTCTTTGGCATGAATGCCAAGCGTCACGTCTGGAGGAAACCTGGCACCATCCCTACGGTGAAGCATGGTGGTGGCAGCATCATGCTGGGGGATGTTTTTCAGCAGCAGGGACTGGGAGACTCAGTTGGTAGAGCATGGCGCTTGCAACGCCAGGGTTGTGGGTTCGATTCCCACGGGGGGGCAGTAAGAAAAATGTATGCACTCACTAACTGTAAGTCGCTCTGGATAAGAGCGTCTGCTAAATGACTCAAATGTAAATGTAAACTAGTCAGGATCGAGGGAAAGATGAACGGAGCAAAGTACAGAGAGATCCTTGATGAAAACTGCTCCAGAGCGCTCAGGACCTCAGACTGGGGCGAAGGTTCACCATCCAACAGGACAACGACCCTAAGCACACAGCCAAGACAACGCAGGAGTGGCTTTGGGACAAGTCTCTGAATGTCCTTGAGTGGCCCAGCCAGAGCCTGGACTTGAACCCGATCGAACATCTCTGGAGAGACCTGAAAATAGCTTTGTAGCGACGCTCCCCATCCAAACTGACAGAGCTCGAGAGGATCTGCAGAGGAGAATGGGAGAAACTCCCCAAATACAGGTGTGCCAAGCTTGTAGCGTCATACCCAAGAAGACTCGAGGCTGTAATCGCTGCCAAAGGTGCTTCAACAAAGTACTGAGTAAAGGGTCTGAATACTTATGTAAATGTAATATTTCAGTTTTTTTTAAAGGTCAAAGAAAATATGCCTAATCAAATGTGAAATTCAACATAATTTCAACCACCCAATATAGGATGAAAAAGATTAACATTTCAATGTGGAATTTCAATGTATACATAGTTCTCTGACTTAATTTGAGGTTGTTACACCAATGTATTTAAGTTAAAGTTTTACCCTAATTTCAGTGTTTACACATACTTCCACGTCACAATACGTTGACAAATTACGTTGAAACGACGTTGATTCAACCAGTGTGCCCCCAGTGGGGAGACGTTTCACTTTTTACACCCGGCTGTCTCTAGAACTAAGAGGATGACTGACTGTCAAAGGACTACACTTCCCTTGGTCCCAAGTCCATCCTCATTCTGGCCAATGATGGGAATTAGCTTCTGACCATGGGATCCTACAACTGTCTGCTCATGGTTTACATTTCTACAGGGGCCATTATATTCACTCCTTTTGTCAAGTGCAATTTGTGCTCAGTCAGGTACTGTGGGCTGTTGGGGAAGTCTCTGACAGTGGTTAGACATGGGGGTGGAAAACAATACTTGCATACTCTGTCTATCCGGAGTCTTTTTACAACTTTAACCACGCTAAGCCTCACATGCTTCCCTCCAACAACCATCTGGTTCCACCCCCTCCCCACCCCCATGCTCAGTATAAGTTAAAAACAACCCATTATGGGAAGCTTCAAAATGGCATCTCATTCTGAGAAGCAACCAAATGTGAAATGATTCCAAATGTCAACAGACCAAATATGGTGAATGTTGACCTGGGTCTCTCGTGCTTTAACATTTTAACATTTAACATTTTAGTCATTTAGCAGACGCTCTTATCCAGAGCGACTTACAGTTAGTGAATGCATACATGTTTTTATTAATTTTTTTCATACTGGCCTCCCGTGGGAAACGAACCCACATCCCTGCCGGCCAAACCCTCCCCTACCTCGGACGACGCCGGACCAATTGTGCGCCGCCCATTTAACTCAGGGAACTCAGAGGGGGCTAGAAGTGGTGACCCACTGCATTGCACAAGGAGAGGCCCTGTGGAAAACTCAATGACTGTTTGATAGCTGCACACGCACCCATCACTGTGCTATTCTTCTATGTCTGCCAAGGCTGAAAACATTATTCTGAACACTTTTGGTCAGGGCTGTATCAAATTACATATAGCCTAACCCTTTTGGTTTTCCCCTCACGTCCCTAATATACTTCCAACACAGGATTTAGGTTGGGCTAACCGATACCCTCACTGACAGTACTGCCAATATACACAGACCCAAAACATTTAAAACTGTAGCCAAAAGAGGATCCCTCATTTCTAAATGTAGCCCACACGACTTTCAGCTAGCATTGCTTCCTCCCACTTGTTTTCACTCAGCGTGGTGGAAGGTGAGGTATCATGCCATTTCAGTGATATCACACTGCTCGAACTCATGGGCAGGGTTACACAGGGATTTCCCTCTGCAGTGCACTCACTCATGTTTTCCATGCCCACTTCATTTATTTACTGTACAAAAGCTGTGAAAAACTACAGTGAAAGGTCAAACATAGACAAACATGGAAAAAAACAATTCACCTGCCCTTTGATGAACAGAGAAAGAGGGGTGGGGTAGGTACAGTTGAAGTCGGAAGTTTACATACACTTAGGTTGGAGTCATTAAAACTTGTTTTTCAACCACTCCACAAATTTCTTGTTAACAAACTAGTTTTGGCAAGTCGGTTAGGACATCTACTTTGTGCATGACACAAGTAATTTTTCCAACAATTGTTTACATACAGATTATTTCACTGTATCACAATTCCAGTGGGTCAGACGTTTACATACACTAAGTTGACTGTGCCTTTAAACAGCTTGGAAAATTCCAGAAAATGATGTCGTGGCTTTAGAAGCTTCTGATAGGCTAATTGACATAATTTGAGTCAATTGGAGGTGTACCTGTGGATGTATTTCAAGGCCTACCTTCAAACTCAGTGCCTCTTTGCTTGACATCATGGGAAAATCAAAAGAAATCAGCAAAGACCTCAGAAAAAAAATGGTAGACCTCCACAAGTCTGGTTCATTCTTGGGAGACATTTCCAAATGCCTGAAGGTACCACGTTCATCTGTACAAACAATAGTACGCAAGTATAAACCCCATGGGACCACGCAGCCGTCATACCGCTCAAGAAGGAGACGCGTTCTGTCTCCTAGAGATGGACGTACTTTGATGCGAAAAGTGCAAATCAATCCCAGAACAACAGCAAAGGACCTTGTGAAGATGCTGGAGGAAACAGGTACAAAAGTATCTATATCCACAGTAAAACGAGTCCTATATCGACATAACCTGAAAGGCCGCTCAGCAAGGAGGAAGCCACTGCTCCAAAACCGCCATAAAAAAGCCAGACTACGGTTTTCAACTGCACATGGGGACAAAGATCGTACTTTTTGGAGAAATGTCCTCTGGTCTGATGAAACAAAAATAGAACTGTTTGGCCATAATGACCATCTTTATGTTTGGAGGAAAAAGGGGGACGCTTGCAAGCCGAAGAACACCATCCCAACCGTGAAGCACGGGGGTGGCAGCATCATGCTGTGGGGGTGCTTTGCTGCAGGAGGGACTGGTGCACTTCACAAAATAGATGGCATCATGAGGAAGGAAAATTCTGTGGATATATTGAAGCAACATCTCAAGACATCAGTCAGGAAGTTAAAGCTTGGTCGTAAATGGGTCTTCCAAATGGACAATGACCCCAAGCATACTTCCAAAGTTGTGGCAAAATGGCTTAAGGACAACAAAGTCAAGGTATTGGAGTGGCCATCACAAAGCCCTGACCACAATCCTATAGAACATTTGTGGGCAGAACTGAAAAAGCGTGTGCGAGCAAGGAGGCCTACAAACCTGACTCAGTTACACCAGCTCTGTCAGGAGGAATGGGCCAAAATTCACCCAACTTATTGTGGGAAGCTTGTGGAAGGCTACCCGAAACATTTGACACAAGTTAAATAATTTAAAGGCAATGGCTACCAAATAGTAATTGAGTGTATGTAAACTTCTGACCCACTGGGAATGTGATGAAAAAAATAGAAAGCTGAAATAAATCATTCTCTCTACTATTATTCTGACATTTCACATTCTTAAAATGAAGTGGTGATCCTAACTGACCTAAGACAGGGAATTTTTACTGGGATTAAATGTCAGGAATTGTGAAAAACTGAGTTTAAATGTATTTGGCTAAGGTGTATGTAAACATCCGATTTCAACTGTATAAGTCAAACCAAAAAGACAAATATACTTCTACAACCTTACTGACTGCCGAGGTTTTAGTCATGATGAGTCCCTGGTTCTGCTCTCCCAGACATGGGTGGTGGTGGTAGGGTAGTAGGGGCCACTGTGCCAGGTATTTGGGAGGACCAATTCCATTTAAATTCAGTCAATTCATGAAAAGAACTGATATTCATTTTCAAAGAGGATTTTCCTATTCTATAATTGATGGGAATTGAAATGGAACGGACCTCAACCTCGTTCCTCTCCCTCTCTCATCATCGGTGTCTGCTCCTCTCCTTGTCTTTAGACTTCTTGGGTGAGTGACTATGGCTACTCTCCCTGTGGCCCTTGTCACGGCCCTCTGGGCGGTGCTTTTCACGGGACTTGCTGTGCTGATGGTGGCCGTCTCCGTCTCTTTCCCTGGAGCGAGAACACTGCCTGTGTCTTTTTCTCCTGCCGGGGCTCCTCACTGTCCCACTGTAGGTATAACATGGGAGAGAAAGAGGTTTGACAAAGGTTATAGAGAAATCTTTGGTGTTTTCTGTAACACAGCCAAGTCTAACACTGTGGAATGACTCTGTGTTGCTGGAGTGACTGATGTCACAACTGTTGAAATAATAGGCCATAACCAAATTACATGAGCCATGCTTACTCATATATTCTTGCTCTAATGCTCTGACTGAACATTATTGTGAAACAAAATACATTTTTCCTTTCCCAGCCTAACACAAGGAAAACAAACAATGAGTTGGGGGGACATTCTTCGGTCAACCTTGGATTTCTTGGACTTCCTGGTGTCCTCGTTGACTGAGTGATTGTGCTTCTTGTCTGTGTTTCTTCTCAGCATGCTGATGGCTCATTCCTTCTTCCTCTAAAAGCAGGTCGTACTTGGAGCTTTTGAGAACGTTAAGTAAAACTTGAAGTAAAACTTGTAATTCTGTAATGCCAAGTCAACATTTCAAACAGAGAAAGTCTTTCTTCCAGAGAAATGTCATTCCCTCCAACAAAAACGTCTTCACAATAGTTGACCTCTCTAACCTAATAGCTATGTGAAATGGTGCACAGTTGAGTTTAAGTATTTAACACGTTTCTAACCCCCATCTTTCACTTCATATTGAATAGCAAATATAAAAACATTTAAGGATACTCTTGCTTGGGTTTGACTTTATCCTTAAGAGCTCATTTGGATACCACGTATTTTTCATAGGCCTTGAAGTCTTCCTTGGTATACTTCCCACCTAGAAAACAAGACCTGGTTAAGTTCTCTACTTAGAAGAGAAGGTAAATGGCACATCCTTCAACTAAAGTGTCCGATTACAGCTTAACGTCTCTGAAAGTATACATAATGGAATTATTGAAAAACCCAAAACATTAAAAAAAGTTAATGAGTTGTTTTAATAAGTGTTTACCTTTGCCTTTCCATTTAATATTTGAGACAGACTGGCTGGCTGAAGTCCCGTGTAGCTCAGTTGGTAGAGCATGGCGTTTGCAACGCCAAGGTTGTGGGTTCGATTCCCACGGGGGGCCAGTATGAAAAAAATATGTATGCACTCACTAACTGTAAGTCGCTCTGGATAAGAGCGTCTGCTAAAATGACAAAAAAAAAAGGCCTTTTCACAGTCCTCCTCCTGTGGAGAGAATGGACACCAATTATATCTAAGAGGGTCAACTGAGCCCTTATGTGAATAAGGAAACAACCTATCAATTCAGTAAACAAAACCCTTTCAAGTGAATTATTGTGTTTTCTCAATTCTGACTAACTGGTGCCCTCTATTTGTATTCTGCATTACTGCACTTAAACTGTTAAAAAATGAATCTCTTTTTATCATTGTTGTAAAATTATTTAATGCTAACTCATGGTACATATAGAAATCAAGTGAAAACCAAACAAATACACACCTTTTCAAACTCGATGAAAGCATAGCACAGAGACTCTCCTGACTTCCAGTCTCTGATGATCTCACAGCTGTACCGAAATAAGAACATGTTAATACGGGATAATTCACCAAGATTCTACCAAGTCTCCTTTCAATTTCAATATTTAAATGGTTAGGACTAGGTCAATTTCTAATTAAATATGTATCGTAGTGTCATGGAGGCCAGTATATTGAAATAGACAGGGTGAAGTGGTCTATTTTACCATTTAATAAGTCCGAAGCGAGAGAAGATGATTTCCAGGTCCTCATCTGTGGTCACAGGGTTCAGCTTACACACAAACAGAACATTCTCAGGAGATTTCACTTCCGCATCAGGGAGATCACCCACCTACACAAGCATATATGCACATACACACGGCAATGTCTCAAACCACAAAACTCTCATAAAACCACCATATTATCTTTACAACACTAATATGTTTACCAGCTACTGAACTACTGTTTGGGTTCCTCAACAGCAATCTGTACACAAAGTGGTCATGTGGAATGTTACAAAATCTCCTCTGCAATCACTCCTGAAAGTATGTGCATCCTCTACAAGGCTAGGTGGACCGAACCACAAGACCCCCCTCTCACCATCTCCAGCAGGATGGCCTGGGTCTTGGCCTCCTTCTCCTTCAGCAGCTCATCCAGCTCCTCTGCCTCCTTCCCATCTGTGTCGTTGATCACTTCATCTGCTCCAATACAACCACTCTACACACCAAAGACGGGAAAGTAAGGTTTGACTTTGCAAATGAACAAAGGTGTACAGTATATAACATCAAAAGCGTCAGTTACTTTTGTTCAGTTATTGAGAAAATCATTCACCTTTCCTTTGATGAACAGAGAAACTATAACTTAAACCTTATGGCTTTATATGAAAGTAACATTATTTCCAAATTGTTCAAATCTCATCCATTTCTTCCTCTGAAATGGGAGACATGCATTGCTTTGACTTCAATGGTACTGAAAGTACCCAGTCACTCACATCCAGCTGTTCCTTGGTAGGCTCAGGGGAGCGGTCCGGCACAGGCAGGTCAGCAGGGTCATCGAAAGGGTCTTCCAGGATCACAGTGTGGTTTATCCTGCAATGACACAAAACAAGTATTACACCTCTTTTCTTTCCACCTTATACTGGGATGTCCATCTGAGTAGAAGGTCATTGTATCTATACCTCTGTATGGGAGGTATTCATGAGGGAATTAGAAAGTGTATTCAATTCAGTTGTAATTTACCCCTAAAATCGCTGCATTTAAAGTTGATTCAAGAAAATGAAATCTGCTGACCTGATATCCTGAAAAGGGATGAAGTCCTTGTCAACGAAGGTCTCATTGATCTTGGCCAAGGCATCCATACCCTCTGACACCTCACCGAACACAGTGTGGACCCCATCCAGGTAGTCCAGGTTCTCACCAGTGGTGATCAGGAACTGGGGGGTAAAGAAATTGTTACAGCACAAGTAAGCTGACCTGAACATTTCTGAGATTTAAGATGCTTGCTATCTATCCTGCTCGAATCAGTAGGCTAACTTTGTTGCTTTCAAACGGATAGTAGTTCAATCCTGAGGAGGTGGATGGCAGTTTTACCAACCTGAGAACCATGCTGGTCACTGCCATTGTTTACCATGGACACCATCCCCTTCTTTCTGTGTTTGATCTATGGGTTTTTCTCTGCATCAAAGAAGCGGGCTTGGTCTCCATTGAGTTTACTGAGGGTATAGAAAAGACATCATTACATTTACATTTTAGTCATTTAGCAGACAGTCTTATCCAGAGTGAGTTACAGGAGCAATTAGGGTTAAGTGTAGCTAGCCTCTTTTAGAATCCAAAGAGTGAAATATTTACACACTCGTCTCTAACATGTTGGCTCAGCATTCCCGAACAGTCCCATTACAAGTCAGAATGTTGTTCATTTCAACTAACTTTACCTGTTGTTCGCCGATTTTAGTAATCTGATAAACAATACCCACAGGGAAATGTTATCAACCCGACCTTCAGTTCGCTGGTCTGTATATCGGTTTGTATTTATGGTTTTTATTTTCAATACTGATGCAATTCGCACATGACAAACCGAACCACAAACCGAATGGCAAACACTTCCAGCTGATTAAGAGGAAACATGCTTCGGTCGACTAGCTACGTTCAGTTACATTCGGCTATTGTTTACATATTGTGCATCACGTGAAATGCGTCAAAGATTGAAAATGCAAGTGACAGAACCTAACCGCGACGCAAAAGGTTGTGTAAACAAGAGTTTCCTTTGGATACCCCATCTCCAGCTCCTACCGCCAACAGCATGTATAACCGGTAAAGTAAGTGTAAATATAATTGTATTCAACATTCTGGCTTGTAGAGACTATTGCGTATTTTTAAGGGCTACTTCGGTCAGACTGAAAAGCAATGGAGTAACCATGGTAACAGTCTGACGTTTAGGCAAGGTTAAGTGCTTTGCTCAAGGGCACATCCACAGATTTTTCACAAATCAACATTCCTGTAATATATTTTTAAAAAACAGCTGTGATGATTTTAGACATTGATGCTGATGAAGAGGACTGACCCATAGACAGATTCTCCACCACGGCCAGTCCCAGTTGGATCTCCAGTCTGCACAATAAAGTCTCTCTGGACATTGTGGACAAGGCAGTAGTTGTAGAATTTGATTTTGCATAACTTCAGGAAATTCAGAAAGGCTGTAAAAAAAGGAGATAATCAGTATTATGAGAGCAACACATCAAAAGACATTAGGAATTCCCTTGCCCTTGATCATGACTCTCAGTTCCATTACATTACACATAAGAATCATTGGAGGAAGGGGTCTTCTGTATGGGGGAGTTTTGTTAAGAGTCCCGACGCTCGGTCTGAACATTAACATGCATCGCTTGCGGTACGGTTTTGGAAGCATATGGCACTTATCGTTCATATCAGCGAGAAATAAATTGATACACACCTTTATAGGGTTAGGGTTCCACACTGCCATATTTCCATGTTCAGCGCTTGTTTACGGAAAACAGCCGGAAGACAGAGTGGACTACCTGTGGTAATTAGCTATCTGCATCTCTGAACACCTGTGTGTAAACAGAAGATGGACGCCACAAATGTGTTGTCACTGAAAAATACTGTCGGCTGCAACTGTGTTAAAACCGGTCAAAACAGTGTACAGCAGTGGAGGCTCCTCAGAGGAGGAAGGTGAGGACCATCCTCCTCAGTGAATTTTATAAAAATAAAAATTGTGAAACATTTAAAGTTATCCTTTTTAGATAAAACTATACAAAATATATTTACGTCACCAAATAATTGAATAAAACACACTGTTTTGCAATAAAGCTCTACAGTTGCCTCAACAGCACTCTGTAGGGTAGCACCATGGTGTAGCCGGAGGACAGTTGGCTTCCGTCCTCCTCTGGGTACATTGACTTCAATACAAAACCTAGGAGCCTCATGGTTCTCACCCCCTTCCATAGACTTACACAGTAATTATGACAACTTCCGGAGGACATCCTCCAACCTATCAGAGCTCTTGCAGCATGAACTGACATGTTGTCCACCCAATCAAAGGATCAGAGAATGAATCTAGTACTGAAAGCATAAGCCACAGCTAGCTAGCACTACAGTGCATAAAATGTGGTGAGTAGTTGACTCAAAGAGAGAGAAAGACAATAGTTGAACACTTTTGAACAAATTGATTTCTTCAAAAATGAAGGAGGAGCAAGAGAGAGAGAGAGAGCTAGCTATATATATATATATATATATAAATGTACTTTCACTTACTTAGCTAGCAAATGCAGCTAGCTAGTTTAGCCTACTCAAACACCCGGTTCAAACAGAGAGGGATGCTATGTTAGCTAGCTGGCTATGGCTATCCAACACTGGAACTTCCAAGTCAAGGTAAGCTTTTGGTTTTACAAATGTATTGCCACCGGGGCCCGCCGGTGTAACTGCTAAACCGCTTACTGACTGTTCACAGGTCTGCATGATTGTAGCGGGTTTACTAACACGTTAGTTCTATTAGCTATGTTGACTATAACGTTACTTTAACTAATATGGTGACAATGATGTAGGCTGTGTGTAGCAGTTATGATATGTAAAGGTTTTTTTCACCTGGTCACAGACAGCTGATGTGTTGTGCATTGAAGTCCACAAGCGAAGGGAAAAGGTGAGGAGGAGAGTGCGTAGATGCGAGAAGGAATACAACAAGCTGTTTGTATGTGGCTATGAAAGTGAACTGTTGAAAAACGTTTCTTAAAATGGAACGAAACGGGGATAAACATACATTAATTTGTCCAATAGAAACTCTTGTTTGCAACTGTTGGACTAATGACTACACCTTAGACCAGCTAGATGGCAGGCAAGAGTGTGCAAGGCAGTATTGTATGCGTCACGGTATGTCACCTCAAATCTTTCTCTCGACCTGTGTGCACCTATGTTGTAAACTTTCATTCATTGGCTAGGTTGTAGCAACCTCATGATGGGTATGGGGAAAATTCGAGTATCATGTAGTAGCCTAAACCTATCGATGTTACATTGAACTGGGTGAATGGAATATGAATGACAGTCATCCAATATGCTGTAATAGAAATAAGGTCATGCTCATTAAAAAAATAATCGTCCTCCTGCATTTTAAACGGCACCGACCGCAACGGCCAGGTGTACAGTAAGTGTGAATTTTGCATTTGTGAAATTATTTTGATGTGATATGAAAGTAGAGGGATTTATGTTTCTAGAACCGTACCGCAATTGAAAATCGATTCACGTTTAGATTGAGGATTTGGCATCCAGAAGCAACCTCTATAGCTCAATTGGTAGAGCATGTATGCACGCATGACTGTAAGTCGCTTTGGATAAAAGCGTCTGCTAAATGGCATATTATATTATTATTATTATAAACAGAACATGTAAGGAAGGTCCTTGCACCTTGGACTGTAGGATTAACGTTAGGCTCCCTTAGTCCATTAATATTGGCTAGGAATTCCCTTCCCTGAATTTCAATGATGCACCACATTAACACAGAGTAAACTGTCAGATTAAGTGTACCCATGGCAATCCTATGTTTCTGAATGTTAGTTAGTTAGCTATCTGAAATATAAAATTAACAAGTTAGCTAACAGTTAGCAATACTAGCTAGCTAGCTATTTGCTATAGCTGGGCAATGGTTAGCAATCTTGCTAGCTAGCACTTGCTAGCATTATAATAAAAGGTGAGATTTTACTTTGAGCAAATGTCATTATTATAAAATGTAGGCTGTGTGTTACCAGGCATCATTAACGTTGGGTGTGTTGGTGGATGTTTGCTTACTTTTAGGCCGTTCTTCTGTAAATAAATCAATGACAATATCACCCAATGTTGTTTCAAGAAGAACCGCCATGCTTGCGTAATGACTGCGCACGCGCTCTTGATTGATTTCCGTGTCACTTGGGCGGGGGGTGTTGTTTCCTCCACAATCTTACGACAGCTAGAAGATGGCGATGAAACGAACATCCATTTATGCTCTATGTGTACTGTTTATGTCATTAATTTTTGCTGAGTCGCCACCTCGGCAATTAAACACGGTAGGAGAGGACTATACTACTAGATAGCTACATGAACAAGCTAGACTCGTATGTTTACCTGCTGAATGCAGCTAGCTAGTCAACGTTAGTCAGCTATAGTACAGTAGGAACGTTAATCTTGGTAGCTAGCTAGCTAGCTAACGTTACCTTTGTTGCTATCTGACTCACTGCAGCTAGCTAATATTTATGTTGTTAGCCAGGTAGCATGAGCGTAATACTAGCAAGCTAGAATGCCCTCAAGTATTAGGTAGCTAACTTATATGATGATCATAATAATTAATGGCCTGCTTTCCCATTCTTGATTCTCAAACAGGAAAGCATTCTGATCAATGTGACAGCAGGGCCATTGGATGATACACAGGTGCAGGAGTCCAACAACTTGCAGGTAAGCTATAATATTATGTAGTGTGGTCCAAGATTAAGCCTGTCATAATGGTATTGAATAACAACATAACGTATAGCTCAATACATGTTCATTTTTAGATCAACTTGAATATTTCAGTGGATGAAGATCAGGTGCTCATCAATGACATCCCTGTGGAGTTGTCAGGGGTGACCAGGTTGAACTGCCAAGCCTTGCTGTGTGAGTAGTGAACATGTTTCTGCTGCTTATAACTTAGCTACAGCACAACATTTTGCACCTGATTAAAACAGCTTTTCACTCTGTTTACAGTGGATACCACCAATGGCACAAGTGAATTTGAATCTGGTGACTATGTCTCCACTGTCACCCGGGTGATGGTGAGCCAGAATCGCCTGTGGAGTGATTCAGAAGAGGTGGTGTCTCTCCAAGTGTTCAGCGAGGTCATCGAGATGGAGGGGAAAAAGGTAAAGTTGCTTGATTGAGAAAAGGACAATAAAATAATGGTGTTAGGGTATTTATGTAACAGCTTAAGGAGCATATTTGCACCATGGTGGTACAATGATGGAAAATCTGTGATCTTATGACTTTGTATCCTTTTCTATCATTTAGGTCCAGCAGCCAGAAATGTGTGAAGTGAAGATACTGATGAGCCCCAATTTCCAGACACTTGCTCAGTATAGCAACACCTATCCCATTGGACACAGTGAGATTTTCAGGATCCCAAGGGAAAATGATGTGGTCATCACAGATCCAACAAATCCTAAAAAAGGTATGCAAGAACAGCTGTTTTCGTTCACTTCTCGTACTCTCACATGAAAAGGACAAGATAACTGAATTCCATTGCTAAAGCAATGTTCCTAAATCAGTTGGTGAATGATAATGATCCACTTCCTTCTGCTCAGCTGAAGACCAAGTGATGTCCCAGACCACCAGTCATTACCCTCTGAAGCATGCTGACACCACCCAGGAGGAGACTGCTGCCCCAGGCAAGCTCCCAGAGACTCCCCTTCGCATGGACCCAGACCTGCTGTATGATAACAATGATGAGGGTGATGACTTGGGAGGGCTGTCGGATCAGATGCAGACAGAGGCACCGCTCAAAGAATCTATCTCTTCTTACAGTGTAAGTAAATTGGACATCGGATCCAAATCAAAACCACAAAATTCCATTACTATAATGTGCTCTGGACTTAAAATCTGTTTGCAGGCCATGTGTCGATGGGTGGAGGAGGTGAGGGACCGCTTGCGACGCTTCTGGTCTGAGTCCTTGCCCCTGTTCTTCTTGGTCATGTGGGTGGTGGTGATTGGTGTGGTTGGGTCAGCGGTCATTGTCAAGATCCTGGACATGTTCTTCCCAACATGCGAACACAAGTACGTTTTCACACAGGTCCTGTTCAACCTGCTTACATGATTGTTGTAGAATTAAATGAAACTTTGCCAGGTCAGTGTGCAGGATTTGTCCTTACTGCCAAGACCAGTTAATTAGGCACGTCCGTTCTCTCATCTTTTCTTAAGGGTGATGCTCATGAGGAAAACTGATAATGTTGTACTTTTCCTCTAGGGGAATTTTCCATTTAAATCCTGTGACTCTGATGCTGGAAGATGAGAAACACACCCTGCTGGAGAACATTGAAATAGAGGCAGAGGAGGAGAAAAGGCCTTCAATGAAAACTGAAGAAGGATGAAGTGGATGAGTCTGATTACATCTGTTGAAAACACAAGGCATTATGTGGTTAGAGAAACCATCATCTCTTTGTAGCACTTATTACACATGCATTGCATACACAACATGATTCACTTTATTTCTCAAACATTATACCCTCCTCTCAAAACATGAATCTGAAATGTTACTACTGGAAGCAGAGCTACCTACTGCACACTGTGTTACTTTTCATATTATGATTGTGTTACCTCACAGTGCCTCTGTAACGATTCTACTTTGCATTATGAAATACTGACTTATTTTTGATTGCTCATTTCATACTATTTTAGCATTCTGACTGGATGATACTGAGGATTTGGTGTTTGGTGTTTGTTTGCATGCAACTTTAAATCATAACAGATTAACAGCTTTTATTTACTGCATTTTCAGCCAGTGCACAATATTATGTTGGAGCCTCACCAATGCATTTGTTGTAAAATGTCAACAACAAAACATATTTTGATCTTGCTATTGCATTTTGACTGAACTTGACTGGCCTGTGCTTAGGTTCATAAAAGGACAGGTGGTCCTAGTCTTGCACCCATCATTATGAGTGCAGTGCAGAACAAATAATGATCAAATATTAGATCTCATTCCAACCATTTCAATTGATCGAGAAGAAACTGTTAGTTCCTATAGCTGAATGATCTCTGGGGCATATTCACTTGACTCTTTGTCACAGAACATTGCAAATTCCCCTGCAGATTTGAGACGCTGCATGCTTCCTGATTAGGCGGCAGGTAGCTTAGTGGGTAAGAGCGTTGTGCCAGTAACCGAAAGGTCGCTGGTTCTAATCCCCGAGCCAACTAGGTGAAAAATCTGTCGATGTGCCCTTGAGCAAGGCACTTAACCCTAATTGCTCCTGTAAGTCGCTCTGGATAAGAGCGTCTGCTAAATGACTAAAAAAATAAAAATAAAAATAGATAGACCTGGAAAGTATAGAACAGACATTAACTGCATTAGAGTCATGCCCAGTCTATACATTCCATTTCTGTTCACGCTGAAACATTGCACTCTGAATACACCCCTGCTGCTTTATGCCTGTTTTTTATGTGTTTTAACTTCATTGAAATGTATGGTTACTGGATGTTCTTTGCAATGTGAATTAATGACAATGGCCGTGCAGTCAACATAGACATCTGAAGCTACACTTATAGGACCTTATACACTTTACCTTCAGTCTCAGAATATAGTTATAGTCAAACCTACTCCTCTCCCAATAGCTTATTGGCTGGTTTGCCTCAAAGCAGGCTAGGCATGGTCAAAATAGAATTGTATCAATGTGATTCTCAAGACTAGGCGCCTGGTTGACTTACGCATGGCATTGAATGGGGCCCTGGCACATTGACTTTCTGCCTCAGAACTTAGTAGCCATAGTAGGGAATGCAGTTGGCTGTCAATGTAACAGCTTCATAATAGGAAACTGCATGCTGATTTGAACTTGAGTGGGTGAAGTAGAACTTAAACAGTTATTTTACCTCTTGCTTCTATGGTGCCTCAAAATTCAATTTCAGTCTTGTGTTTTACTGAAGCATGGGAGCATGGCATGTGTTTTCATTCAAATCAAACTGTACATTGAATTCCCAAATCCTGCTCAATAAATGTTTCTGTAAATGTTCTTGTGACGTTCACTCAGTCTACACAATACAGCCAGGTTGCATGTAAAGAAAGCACATGGAAGCCTCGTCAATGCAAGTCATATTTTACTGTTAGTTTTCTATGATTGTATATAAATTCACATTTGAACCAGTTGGTCCCCTAAATACACATTACGAAAATAAAATCAAGTGCATATAAGAAATGTTTTCAGGTAGTGCAACTTTGATTAACAGATATCCCAATAGCACCTCACCAGATAAAACCCAAAGACACTGGATACATTGGTAACAAAAGGTGTTCAAGGCAAATAGAATGGATCATAGGATTTGCTCTGTGGATCCATAATAAAACACTAATATTGAACATGATTCAGAATGTTTTCTACCAATTGTCTTTCACCCACGAGACTAATTTATATTCTACATAACAGACCGAAAATAATAGCATATTATAAACTGTGTAGTTTGGGTCCTGGATGCTGATTGGCTTACCACGGGTATGACGCAAAAATAATTATTTACTGTTCTATTTATGTTGGTAACCAGTTTATAATCAATACAAGGCACCTCAGGGTGTGGTATATGGCAATATATGGCCAATATACCACAGCTAAGGGTCGTATCCAGGAGGACATTGACCAAGAGAAGCAAATAGATAGTCTACTTTAAGGCATGTTGCATCACATAGCCTAAGATATAAATAATTTACAAAGAAAAGGAAGACATTAGTTCAATTATTGTTCCCAGAATATCAACTGAGCCTCCCACTAATTCCCCTGCAGATTTGAGACGCTGCATGCTTCCTGATTAACTCTCAGCAGGAGCCAAACTCTTCAATCCACTTCTCGTACTTCTCCAGGTCGGAAGCTGATACAGACTTGGACACTTTCTTCAGAGAAGACTCAAAGTCCTCCATGGTGGTAGGCATGTGCATCTCATCTCGGGAGATGTTACGGATCTCCTCTGGCGTTAGCCCCACGATCCTTCGCCGCATGGCCATCAGAGAGGCGTCCCTACAGACGTCATGGAGACAGGGTTCACTCAAGGCAATGGAACACAAATAACATTACTCTCATCACATAACTAGATTACGAGTGGTTCTTTATTCCATGATTTCCTTATTGAAGAGGCATCTCGTTTACAAATCAGTGATAGTCTTAGCTGAGTTATTGGAACAAACACACTTGACCAATCTAGAGTTTATTTGTGAATAATTTGTTTGTAAGAAAAACGGAAAAGTCAAAGGCCTTACCTGCACACATTGGTGATGTCAGCTCCTGAGTAGCCCTCCATCTGCTCTGCTATCTTTGCCATGTCCACATCATTGGCCAGCTCCAGCTCCTTTAGGTTGATCTTCAGCAGCTCCACTCTGCCCTTGGCTGCAGAGAAAACAAGCAAACATAACGTACGCCATTGTGAATAAATAAATATGGTGCATTCATAAAGTATTCAGACCCCTTCCCTTTTTCCACATATTGTTACGTTACAGACTTGTTAATTTTTTTTATTAAATAAATAAAAATCCACATCAATCAACACACAATACCCAATAATGAAAAAGCAAAAACAGGTTTAGAAAATGTTGCAAATTTATTAAAAATAAAAAACAAATACCTTATTTACATAAGTATTCAGAACCTTTGCTATGAGACTTGAAATTGAGCTCAGGTGCATCCTGTTTCCATTGTTCATCCTTGATTGGAGTCCACCTATGTTAATTTCAATTGATTGGACATGATTTGGAAAGGCACACACCTGACTATATAAAGATCCCACATTTGACAGTGCATGTCAGATCCAAGCAATGAGGTCGAAGGAATTGTCCATAGAGCTCCAAAACAGGATTGTGTCGTAAATTAAATTGATTGGACATGATTTGGAAAGGTACACACCGGTCTATATAAGGTCCCACAGATGACAGTGCATGTCAGAGCAAAAATCAAGCCATGACATCGAAGGAATTGTCCATAGAGCTCCGAGACAGGATTGTGTTGAGGCACAGATCTGGGGAAGGGTACCAAAAAATGTCTGCAGCATTGAAGGTCCCCAAGAACACAGTGGCCTCCATCATTCTTAAATGGAAGAAGTTTGGAACCACCAAGACTCTTCCTAGAGCTGGCCGCCGGGCCAAACTGAGCAATCGGGGGAGTAGGGCCTTGGTCAGAGAGGTGACCAAGAACCCGATGATCACTCTGACAGAGCTCCAGAGTTCCTCTGTGGAGATGGGAGAACCTTCCAGAAGGACAACCATCTCTGCAGCACTCCACCAATCAAGCCTTTACGGTAGAGTGGCCAGATGGAAGCCACTCCTCAGTAAAAGGAAAATGACAGCCCCAAAAGGCTCATTCAAGGGCTTTTCTTTGTGTTTACTATTTTCTACATTGTAGAATAATAATGAAGACATCAAAACTATTACATAAACACATATGGAATCATGTAGTAACCAAAAAAGTGTTAAATCTAAATATTTTTTATATTTGAGATTCTTCAAAGTAGCCACCCTTTGCCTTGATGACAGCTTTGCACACTCTTGGCATTCTCTCAACCAACTTCACCTGGAATGCTTTTCCAACAGTCTTGAAGGAGTTCCCACATATGCTGAGCACTTGTTGGCTGCTTTTCCTTCACTCTGCCGTCCGATTGATCCCAAACCATCTCAATTTGGTTGAGGTCGGGGGATTGTGGAGGCCAGGTCATCTGATGCAGCACTCCATCACTCTCCTTCTTGGTAAAATAGCCCTTACACAGCCTGGAGGTGTGTTGGGTCGTTGTCCTGTTGAAAAACAAATGATAGTCCCACTAAGCCCAAACCAGATGGGATGGCGTATCGCTGCAGAATGCTGTGGTAGCCATGCTGGTTAAGTGTGCCTTGAATTCTAAATAAATCACAGACAGTGTCACCAGCAAAGCACCCCTACACCATAACACCTCCTCTCTCCATGCTTTACGGTGGGAAATACACATGCGGAGATCATCCGTACACCCACAACGCATCTCACAAACACACAGCGGTTGTAACCAAAAATCTCCAATTTGGACTCCAGACCAAAGGACACATTTTCACCGGTCTAATGTCCATTGCTCGTGTTTCTTGGCCCAAGCAGGTCTCTTCTTCTTATTGGTGTCCTTCTTTACAGCAATTCGACCATGAAGGCCTGGTTCACACAGTCTCCTCTGAACAGTTGATGTTGAGATGTGTCTGTTACTTGAACTCTCTGAAGCATTTATTTGGGCTGCAATTTCTGAGGCTGGTAACTCTAATGAACTTATCCTCTGCAGCAGAGGTAACTCTGGGTCTTCCATTCCTGTGGCGGTCCTCATGAGAGCCAGTTTCATCATAGCGCTTGATGGTTTTTGCGACTGCACTTAAAGAAACTTTCAAAGTTCTTGAAATTTTCCGTATTGACAACTGATTGGCTCAAACGCATTAAGAAGGAAAGAAATTCCACAAATTAACTTTTAACAAGGCACACCTGTTAATTGAAATGCATTCCAGGTGACTACCTCATGAAGCTGGTTGAGAGAATGCTAAGCGTGTGCAAAGCAGTCATCAAGGCAAGGGTGGCTATTTGAAGAATCTCAAATATAAAATATATTTTGATTTGTTTAACACTTTTTTGGTTACTACATGATTCCATGTGTGTTATTTCATAGTTTTGATGTCTTCACTATTATTCTACAATGTAGAAAATAGCAAAAATAAAATAAAAACCCTTGAATGAGTAGGTGTTCTAAAACTTTTGACCGGTTGTGTGTCTATATATCTATATATCTATATCTATATCTATATCTATATATATATATATATATATATATCACACAGCAAAAAAAGCAACGTCCCTTTTTCAGGACCCTGTCTTTCAAAGATAATTCGTAGAAATCTACATAACTTCACTGTAAAGGGTTTAAACACCGTTTCCCATGCTTGTTCAATGAACCATAAACAATTAATGAACATGCACCTGTGGAACGGTCATTAAGACACCAACAGCTTACAGACGGTAGGCAATTAAGGTCACAGTTATGAAAACTTGGGACACTAAAGAGGCCTTTCTACTGACTCTGAAAAACACCAAAAGAAAGATGCCCAGGGTCCCTGCTCATCTGCGTGAACATGCCTTAGGCATGCTGCAAGGAGGCATGAGGACTGCAGATGTGGCCAGGGCAATAAATTGCAATGTCCGTCCTGTGAGACACCTAAGACAGCGCTACAGGGAGACAGGACGGACAGCTGATCGTCCTCGCAGTGGCAGACCACGTGTAACAACACCTGCACAGGATCGGGACATCCGAACATCACACCTGCGGGACAGGTACAGGATGGCAACAACTGCCCGAGTTACACCAGGAACGCACAATCCCTCCATCAGTGCTCAGACTTGTCTGCAATAGGCTGAGAGAGGCTGGACTGAGGGCTTGTAGGCCTGTTGAAAGGCAGATCCTCACCAGACATCACCGTCAACAACGTCACCTATTGGCACAAACCCACCACTGCTGGACCAGACAGGACTGGCAAAAAGCGCGGTTTTGTCTCACCAGGGGTGATGGTCGGATTCGCGTTTATCGTCGAAGGAATGAGCGTTACACCGAGGCCTGTACTCTGGAGCGGGATCGATTTGGAGGTGGAGGGTCCGTCATGGTCTGGGGCGGTGTGTCACACATCATCGGACTGAGCTTGTTGTTATTGCAGGCAATCTCAACGCTGTGCGTTACAGGGAAGACGTCCTCCTCCCTCATGTGGTACCCTTCCTGCAGGCTCATCCTGACATGACCCTCTAGCATGACAATGCCACCAGCCATACTGCTCGTTCTGTGCGTGATTTCCTGCAAGACAGGAATGTCAGTGTTCTGCCATGGCTATTGAGCACGTCTGGGACCTGTTGGATCGGAGGGTGAGGACTAGGGCCATTCCCCACAGAAATGTCCGGGAACTTGCAGGTGCCTTGGTGGAAGGGTGGGGTAACATCTCACAGCAAGAACTGGCAAATCTGGTGCAGTCCGGAGGAGATGCACTGCAGTACTTAATGCAGCCGGTGGCCACACCAGATACTGACTGTTAATTTTGATTTTGACCCCCCTTTGTTCAGGGACACATTATTCCATTTCTGTTAGTCACATGTCTGTGGAACTTGTTCAGTTTATGTCTCAGTGGTTGAATCTTATGTTCATACAAATATTGACACGTTAAGTTTGCTGAAAATAAACGCAGTTGACAGTGAGGACGTTTCTTTTTTTGCTGAGTTTATATATATATACATACACAAGTTAAATATATTTTCGATTTTTAACTGTATATGTTTCAGGAACGCAGTGTTAAGCATAAATCATTATAGTACACAGACGCTGAGACGCGATATTCCGGTGTCCCATTGTGACATAGCTACGCAGGTCTGAGACCACCATCCGCGGGGGACGCACAGCCCGAACGTGCACCTCCCCACAATTCCCAACCAATGCGGCTCCGGTAAGCATCCTCTATTCATTTGAATGTGTTGACAGTTGGAGAAATTGCTTGAGAATTCAAAAATTATGAAAGCCAATGGTCCAATATTCTAGAACACTGCTGTCCATATGCCTACATGTTTTGGAATATGATCGACGATTTACAGTGAGTAGTGTTTGTGGACCTGAAGGCAGAGGGATGTAGATTCTCTTCTCCAGACGTCGCCTCAGAGCCTCATCAATATCCCAGGGGAAGTTAGTGGCTGCCAGCACCATCACCATCCTAGAGGGATCCTCATTCTCTGATGCCCCTCCCACACCTAAACAACAGCATAATATCCTATGAACGATAGCATCAAAAACTATAGCAAAATTCTATCACTGCTATGTATTTAGGGTACAATAATTTATTGGGCAAGAAACATTTTTATATAGACATTAATTGTGCATGTAATTAATTTGGCCTTCCATAATCAGAGTGGCTGCTGTTACTGTACCATCCATCTGAACCAGCAGCTCTGCCTTCACCCGCCGGCTAGCCTCATGTTCATCTGATGTTCCTCTGCGGCTGCACATGGAGTCAACCTCATCAATGAATATGGTGGTGGGAGCATAGAACCGGGCCTATCCAGAGGAGAAAAGAAACACTGACTAGAGCCACAACACCTCAAAAACACCACCCTTTCCATCATCTAATATGATACCACCAGTTTTTCTTCTAGGAAAAAAATATTCCACCTGGGTAGGGGAGCTGACGAGGATCTTACCATTTCAAATAGAAGGCGGACCAGTTTTTCAGACTCTCCTCTGTACTTGGAAGTGAGAGTTGAAGATGAAACATTGAAGAATGTGGTTCTGCACTCTGTCGCGACGGCTTTAGCCAGAAGAGTCTTTCCTGTGCCTGGAGGACCCACCATAAGCACACCCTAGGAAAATAATGCACATGGATACACCACATATTAGCAAGGCATCATATCAACTCTTCCAATCAAAATAACATATTAATCAAGTGGGCCTTGGGCTTCGATGTATACCTTCCATGGTCTTCGTATGCCTTTGAAAAACTCAGGCATCCACATGGGTAGCACAACAGCTTCTTTTAAAAGCTTTTTTGCTTCTTCCAAATCTGCAATATCATCCCTATAGGCATTTAAAAAATAAGTATTTCCTGTTAGTCAACCCTTACGAAGAGAAACATGTATGTTTTTAGGATGATCCTGTTCAGGAGGTTAATAATCATAGCCAGTGACACACACACCATTTAACATTGGGGTTCTGTGATATGATGTCTCTCTCCAGGGCCTCAATAAGGTCTTTGTCATATCCTTGCCCATCAAACTTCTTCACATCTTTCTCTTTCTCAGAGACTTCAGATTTGTTCTGCAAAACAAATATACAGGATTACTTGTCAGCCCTGAGTGGGCTCAATGCAACCGTGTGGCAGAGGTGTTTTCTAAGCCAGGAACCGGACTGACAACGTGGTGATGATTTTAGGTAACAAGTAGAGCGAAGAATGTTTGGTCTAAAGTGCAAATAGTTTTAAAGTTAAGGTAGGGTAATGCCAGGCAAATACAATTTTTTAAAATAACATTTATTTAGATTTTCTTAGGTTTACAATGAAAAAGATAGAGCACTGCCGAAAGGAGGAGGATTAAATCTGTATTATGTGAAAGGAGGGTGTAACAAAAGGACCTTTCAGTCCATATTTTAATCCTTGATGGTACTTTGTTGACCTTGTCGTCTTTTGGTTTGGCTGGGGCCTCTTTCTTTTCCTTGCCCTTCAAAGGTTTGGCTCGGTCACCATTGGGCCCGCGTGGTGACTGGCGATGCGGAGCCCGCACACCGGCCACACTCAGGCGGTTGTTGTGAGGTTTACTGTCTTTGTAGGGAACCGGGGGACCCCTAACCGGAAGAGGAGAGGATCTTTGAGGAAAGAAGACAATACTAAATCAATCAACCTAAGCAAATCAAAATCAAATAACATTTTATTGGTCGCGTACACATACAAAACATGGCCAAAGGTATATGGACACCTGCCCGGCGAACATCTCATTCCAAAATCATGGGCATTAATATGGAGTTGGTCCCCCCTTTGCTAACAGCATCCACTCTTCTGGGAAGGCTTTCCACTAGATGTTGGGACATTGCTGCGGGGACTTGCTTACATTCAGCCACAAGAGCATTAGTGAGATCGGGCACTGACGTTGGGCAATTAGGCCTGGCTCGCAGTCGGCGTTCCAATTCATCCCAAAGGTGTTCGATGGGGTTGATGTCAGGGCTCTGTGCAAGCCAGTCAAGTTCTTCCACTCCGATCTCGACAAACCATTTCTGTATGGACCTCGCTTTGTGCACTGGGGCATTGTCATGCTGAAACAGGAAATGGCCTTCCCCAAACTGTTGCCACAAAGTTGGAAGCACAGAATCGTCTTGAATGTCATTGTATGCTGTAGCGTTAAGATTTCCCTTCACTGGAACTAAGGGGCCTCGCCCGAACCATGAAAAAGAGCCCCAGACCATTATTCCTCCTCCACCAAACTTTACAGTTGGCACTATGCATTTCAGTAGGTAGCATTCCCCTGGCATCCGCCAAACTAAGATTTGTCAGTCGGACTGCCAGATGGTGAAGTGTGATTAATCACTCTAGAGAACGAGTTTCCACTGCTCCAGAGTCCAATGGTGGCGAGCTTTCCACCACTCCAGCCGACACTTGCCATTGCACAAGCAGTTCTTGTGCTGACGTTGCACAAGTTTGCCAATGTTTGTCTATGGAAATTGCATGGCTGTGTGCTCGATTTTATACACCTGTCAGCAACGGATGTGGCTGAAATAGTCGAATCCACTAATTTGAAGGGGTGTCCACATACTTTTGTACAGTGTATTTTGCAGAAGTTATTGCGGGTGTAGCGAAATGCTTATGTTCCTAACTCCAACAGTGCAGTAATACCTAACAATACAAAACACGCAAATCCCAAAAATAAAAATAAAGGAATTAAGAAATATATTATTATTAGAATGAGCAAGAGTCCGGAATATAAATACATACACTATATATACACAAAAGTATGTGGACACCCCTTCAAATTAGTGGATTTGGCTATTTCAATCACACCCGTTGCTGACAGGTGTATAAAATCGAGCACACAGCCATGCAAACTCCATAGACAAACATTGGCAGTAGAATGGCCTTACTGATGAGCTCAGTGACTTTCAACATGGCACAGTCATAGGATGCCACCTTACCAGCAAATCAGTTAGTCAAATTTCTGCCCTGCTAGAGCTGCCCCGGTCAACTGTAAGTGCTGTTATTGTGAAGTGGAAACGTCTAGGAGCAACAACGGCTCAGCCGCGAAGTGGTAGACCACACAAGCTCACAGAACAGGACCACCGAGTGCTGAAGCGCATAGCGCATAAAAATCGTCTGTCATCGGTTGCAACACTCACTACTGAGTTCCAAACTGCCTCTGGAAGCAACGTCAGCACAATAACTGTTTGTCGGGAGCTTCATGAAATGGGTTTCCATGGCCGAGCAGCCACACACAAGCTCACCATGCACAATGCCAAGCATCGGCTGGAGTGGTGTAAAGCTCGCCGCCATTGGACTCCAGAGCAGTGGAAACGCGTTCTCTGGAGTGATAATCACGCTTCCATCTGGCAGTCCGACGGACGAATCTGGGTTTGGCGGATGCCAGGAGAACGCTACCTGCCCCAATGCAGTGCCAACTGTAAAGTTTTGTGCAGGAGGAATAATGGTCTGGGGCTCTTTTTCATGGTTCGGGCTAGGCCCCTTAGTTCCAGTGAAGGGAAATCTTAACACTACAGCATACAATGACATTCAAGACGATTATGTGCTTCCAACTTTGTGGCAACAGTTTGCGGAAGGCCCTTTCCTGTTTTAGCATGACAATGCCCCTGTGCACAAATCGAGGTCCATACAGAAATGGTTTGTCGAAATCGGTGTGGAAGAACTTGACTGGCCTACACAGAGCCCTGACCTCAACCCCATCGAACAACTTTGGGATGAATTGGAACGCCGACTGCGAGCCAGTCCTAATCGCTCAACCTCACTAATGTGCTTGTGGCTAAATGGAAGGTGGTCCCCGTAGCAATGTTCCACCATCTAGTAGATAGCCTTCCCAGAAGAGTGGAGGCTGTTATAGCAGCAAAGGGGGGGACCAACTCCATATTAATGCCCATGATTTTGGAATGTGATGTTCGACAAGCAGGTGTCTACATACTTTTGATCATGTAGTGTATGTATGTATATGATGGTTTGTATAGACAGTATATGAATAGAAATGGTGTGCACAGCAGTAGTTATATATAGGATGAGCCGTGACTAGAATACAGTATACACATATGAAGTGGGTAAAACAGTACGTAAACATTATTAAAGTGACCAGTGTTCGATGACTATGTACATAGGGCAGCCGTCTCTAAGCTGCAGATTTAAGTACCAGCTGGCACTCCAAATAATACATTAATGTTAAGCTATTTTGTATGCTAAAACTAAAATGTCACATTTAGACCTCAAGTAGGTCTATACATTTAAGTGCTGCAAGAAAGAGAGCAGGCTACTTACTATCAGGTACTCTGAGCACTAATTCCACTCATTACTTATTTTATTCAAACAGCTTACTCTCCCCTCTTACTAACCAAACTACACACCCCATCAGATACTAATGCAAAGACCTGAAAACAACTTAAATATATTTTCCCAGTAAAGTGCAATATCCACTTATGAATGACTGGGCCAGTAAATGTATACACTAGAATAGGAATACGTGTGAAAGGAGTCCATACAGTACCTGCACTCTACTTGTACAGGCCACATGTCACTACTGCCATCTTTATTACTTGGTGGTTTGGATGGGGTGGTCTCCAGTTGAAAACTTTCTAGAGTTGTCATTATTTCTTCAACCTGTTTGTTTTCTTCGTTTATCTCTTGCCATACCTGTAAAGAGATGTCAAAAGCAAGGATCGAAGTGACATTTGCAGACATTGCCTAACCAAAGCTCTGTTTAAATTAAACAAACTTGGGTTTGAAAGTGAAACATGTCATAGATTTTACCTTTTGCCATCTTTGTTGGAAGCTACTGCTGTCCCGTACTGTAAAAAGGTGTTTCTTGATTTGTTCAAGTACTCCCTGATAGCAAACAATAGCAGAACTGTAGTTCCCAAGTAAGGCAAACTCTCGAGCAAGTTTCACGTTTTCACTGATCTCATGCAGACTCATTCTAGGAGATGAAGAACATTAGTTGTTAGTAGAGTTCTCTCTAGAAGGGATGACAACAGAGATTCTGACTGTAAAACAAAACATCAAGGGCACAAGTCGACAAGATGGACATAAGGATGTGCAAGCTGTATCTGACTGTTAGCTTACTTAGCATAACTTGGCTAGCTGGTTAACTAACTCAGCTAGCTAGCCAACATGTTTCAGATGAACGAGCAAACAGCACCACGATTTAGAAAAACAATACCAGTAATAAAACTAGCAAAAGTATTTGTCACATAACGTTACTGGCACATAAAAATACAACTTCAAACTAGCTCCCAAACATCTTTACCATGCTAGTTAGCTATAGTGCTAACTAGTTAGACCCACCTGTTGCATTGTTGATGGGAAATAAATATACGACACAAATTGTAGAACCGCACCCAAGGACTGAAACACAAATGGATCCAAGGGTTTCAAAATGGCTAAAATATGTAATACGGGTAGCTACATAAATATGGTTTATTTTCGTCTGACAAGAGAGCTACAACAACACACCCGCCTCTAATGTTTGAAGCTGTCAAAGCGTCATATCCTGAACTGGATTCAGAACCATAGTGGCAGCAGTACTACGACTGTTGTCACTCTTTCATGTACCAAAAGTTAAAATAATAATATAGCTATAAATTGTATTTCATGGGCTTTGACCCTCTTCACCTGACTCCACATTTGGGTGAACAGATACTGGCATATTTGATTTGAATAGCTAGTTGAACCAGCCTGTATATTGGATAGTTCCAGGAGTGTAAGGTGTGAAACGGACAATAAAATGGAATTCGTGGAAGTGCTTTACATTGTTTATTAATCACCCCGTTCCCTGCACCCCCCCCCCCCCTTTTTTTTTACACTAAAATCGATTTATGTCATCTTTACATGATTTCAACAAAACCAGTGCAGGAATGTCAGTGTTCCTATTCCATAATTACATTAATATCTTTCCAAAACACTCATAAAAGGCAAAGTATGGGATAGGGGTGGAGACCCATCTATCCACTATGAGCTGTGGACTACTAAAGAGTGCCAGTTTATAATCCAGTTTCCCAGTACAACAGTGTCAATCCTTCATTAACAGGTCAGCCGTGTCAGTGAGCTCATAAACAGCGTAGCCTAGCGCTTTGGTTGAGACTGAATAGAAGAAGTGATGAAAGCAGATGCTGTGGAAGTGAATGAAAGAGAGGAAAATATACTGTACATAGCATAACAGAGCCTGTTGGCCCCAGTCATTCCATCTCTGTTTTTTTGTAGGAGTATTATTACAATAGGTACCTTTCAGATTGTTTCCTTGGTGCTGATAGAGCCCAAACAAAATAGACACTGTGGAATGACCGTTACCAAAAATGACAGAGGAAAGATTTTAGAGGGGAATAATGAAGAGGGCCTGCCCTAATGAATATCAACTAACCAACAGAATAGAGAAAATATTTACATCAAGTGTACAACAATTTATAAATACATTTTATGTATAAATTCAAAAAATACACAAAATCCTAGTTAAATCAACTAAGGCTAGTCTAGTCCCATATACAGTATTTGGTGAAAGAGCAGAAGATCAAAGGCACAGCAATGAATAATTCAAGAGTTACTTATCCCTGCAAATTCTACCAGTTATATCACTAATACAGTATATCCCCATTGCAATAGACCTTCAAATATAAATTAGGAACATTTCCAATAATTATTATATCAACTAGCATCACCAGTTTATAATATCTTAAATAAATTAAGGCTTAAAACAGGGTTTGTAAGTCTTCGAACAACACCCTGATATTTTTTCTTTCAATTAATTTAAGTCTGTTCAGAGTCACAACACATATGAAGCATACCCTGTACAACACCATGAATTCACTTGTAGTGTGAAAAGACTAAACCCTCCTCCTGCAGACTGTAGTGTAGTTATGTACCGTGTATCTGCTTTGTATGGTACAATTATATCTGCTCCTTATTGTTCCGGCCCACAGAATACACACACACCCCCTGACCCGCTCTCTGACCCGCTCTCTGACAAACCAGCAACCTGTTTCCCAGACCTATTATGTGCAAACAGTCCAGCAGAACAAACATGTTCTTAAATGATACTAAACATAGACCAAATCACGGCCCTGTGCCCCCCTGCTACTCTCTTCCTGGTCTCCCTCCTCCTGTGCCAGGGCCTCAGAGTCTGCCTCGTCCCTATAAGAATCCTCCTCATACTCTTTGCCAATGGGCTTGGGACAGCTGTAGGGGTGGCCGTTGTCATCGAAGAAGCGTCGGAAGGTGAACTCGTAGAAGGCGTGCTCGGGGTGCTTGCCGTTCCTGAACCACCCATTGAGGGTGTCGTTGTGGTTGCCCTCACCTTCGTTGTTGCTGCTCCACAGCTTGTCTGGATCCACCGGGTCAAAGTTGGAGGTGTCTGTGCAGTGAGCGATAGTGGGGATGTAGGGGGCCGGCTGCATCTGCCGCAGGTCGTTGGAGAAGTCGATGGTCTTGAAAAAGGGCTGCACCTTGATCTCGTCGGCACCGTTCTTGCCGAGGCGGTCCTCGGGGCCACGGCATAGTTTAATGATGAGGTCTGATGCCTCTGGGCTCAGCTTGGCATGAGGGGGGATGTGCAGGGTGGTCTGCCAGTTTATCACCTGGGTAGAATAACGAACCAGAGCGTTAAACATAGAGCGGAGGAAAACACCTAACAAACCAGGCCAACATGAGATATGCTCAGTTTTTGACTGGTTGATTTACCTTGAGCTGGGTTTCCAGGGGTGTAGTTGCTAAGAAAGGAGGTTGCCCAACCACCATTTCATACAGAATGACACCAACACTCCACCAATCACACAGTTGGGTGTATCCTTGAACAGAGGTAACACAGTCACATGTTAGACACAATAACATTGTGCACAAGAGACAAATAATAACCTTTAAAGATTCCACTCCTGCGCTGGTAATTCAAACATCACAGATAATATTTCCAACTTCAGAGTGGATTCAACTTTTCCCTTTCACAGGCTTACCTGTCCTAAGCAGCACCTCTGGAGCGATGTAGTTGGGTGTCCCCACCAAGGAGTGAGCCAGGCAGCGCTGGTGTTGCCTTGCCTTCCTCCTCTCCAGGGGCTTGAGACGGTCTGCACAGCGACAGTTAGATGGGTCCTGCTCCCATTCCTTACTGAAGTCCATGCTGTCCTGCCGAACATGGTCTCCTGCAGAGAGCGACGACACAAAGATTAGCATGGCTTTACTGACAATGAAAAGGGGGAGAACCAAAACACCCTCTTAGATGATTGAAGCAGCAACAAGCATCATAAGACATGGATCATACGAACCACTCTGGTAGTACTTAGAGTCATGTGTCCAGCGGAAGCCGGTGCAGAGGCCAAAGTCGGTGAGCTTGATGTGTCCATCCCGGTCTATGAGGATGTTGTCTGGCTTGATGTCGCGATGGATGAAGCCCATCTTGTGCACACTCTCCACGGCGCAGGTGAGCTCAGCGATGTAGAACTGAGCCAACTCCTCTTTGAAGAGGCCCAGGCGGATCAGCAGACTCATCATGTCTCCTCCGGGGATGTAGTCCATCACAAAGTACAGGTTGTCCTTGTCCTGGAATGAGTAGTAGAGCCGCACCACCCACTCATTATCAGCCTCAGCCAGGATGTCTCTCTCTGCTTTGACGTGGGCCACCTGGTTCCTGAGGAGAACGTCCTTCTTGCGCAGCGTCTTCATGGCGTACAGGGCTCCAGTGTCCTCCTTCCGGGCTAGACACACCTCTCCAAAGGCTCCGATGCCCAGGGTCTTGATCCTCTTGAACATCGACTTGTCCATCTTGGCCCGCTTCAGTCGGATGTAGTTGGACTCTTTCTGAGACAGCATCATGCGCATCTGCTCCTGCGCATCCCCTGACAACTTGACCTAATAGCAAAATATGACAATTTACATTCAGGCCCTTAAGAGAGAACCACAGATTAATTAGCAAAGCAATGCATTCAACCTGGCAGAATGCTGGCCCAGGTAAAGGAACACAAAATAGTAACCATTAAAACACATTAGAAAGGTAGAAAAACAACCAAAGAGATACAGCAGACATTCTCAATAAGGCTGGTTGTCTTGGCAAGCATAATTTAAGACGGACGGAGCACTAACATGGAAAGTGGATGGGAAGGCATGCATTTCCCTAAGGAGTTGGTGTGATGCGGTCAGTCAGCAGAGGGCTTCATGTTGTTAAATTAAAATGGCCCATCTTTCAACAACTGCTTACTTGGTCATTGATCTGTGTGGACTATTCAGGTCACAGCATTGATAGGAGATACCTTTAACTTCTACATCAGCTGTTAGCGACAGCGGGGAGAGAAAAGGAGAGAGAAAGACAGCTAAGCAGGAGGGAAGAATAGAACATTCAAAAGAATGAAAATACAGCTTGAACAGGAACTAAATAGTAAAGAAAGAGTCAGGAAGATTGAAAGCCAAGACTGCATGATGACATATTTGAAGAGGGTGCCAGAATCTTAAATGACGGTCATTGGACATGCCAAATCCATTACAGTGTAAATGTAGGCCTTTCAGCTAATAAATAAATACCCTGTATTCCTCTGAATTGAATAGACCAAATGTATTTAGATTATACCATTGTTTAGACCAAATTTAACTCATAGGGACATTATAAGCAGTAACTGTGTACTCTCACCCTCTGCATCTCACTCTCCAGCTGTTTCTTCCTATGGATCCTCATCTGGTGGTTCTTCAGGATGTTCTCAACGTGCTGCTCCATGAAGAACTTGAAGGCCTGGGGAGAGTAGAGCGGCACTCTGGGGTCTCCTCTGCGCTCTTCGTCTTTCTTGTTCCGGCGCACAGGCACTGGAGACGTGGTGATCTGTTTATTCTCCTTCTCTGTTCCCACAGCAGCAGAGTCTGGGCCTTCTGGCCTGTCACTAGCGGTGCTGCTACAATCCTCCTCCTCTGCAGCCTCCTCTCTCCCAGAACTAGGCTTGGGCCCTGGGTCATAGGCAGGGCAGGGTGCAACAGGCTGCTGGAGGAGGTGTTTGGGGTATGGGGGTGGAGGACCCTGGTAACTGGGCACCTCTGTTACTGGCATGGGTACCTGGGGCATGGGTGCTGGTGGTTGTGGCTCCTGGTAGGTAGTTGGAGGTGGAGGGGGCTGGTGCATCCAGGGTGGGTGTGCGGGGGCCACGGCAGTGTGTAGCTCAGGCTTCTGCACGCGCATGCTCTTCACGGGCTGCAGGATGGGGGCCTGGGTGATGGCTGTCACTGTGGTGGCAGAGGGCTGGGAGCTGGCCGGGTGGCCCTGCCTGTTGCTCATCTGGTGGCTGTTGAAGGAGTTGGATCGGACAGGGATGCTGTGCTGCTGCCATGAGGGGGACATGTCCTGGTTAATGCTACCTTGGGAGGACTGAGGCTGGCCGGGGGGTGCTTGGGACCAGGACTGAGGCACACCCATGTTGTACATGTCAAGATTGTGACTGTTTCGGTTAGGCACCATCATGGACTGGGGGAGGTTACCACTGTTGATGTAGGATGAGGAAGAGGCAGGACCTCCGGCCTGCATCTGCTGAGCGGTTGGGCTTTGTCTGTTGCTCTGATTCACCGGGTAAGGGGGAGGGGGTTGTCTGCTGCCACCACTCTGATGTCCCATGTAGTCTGGCTGAGGGGAGCCGTTCTGAGACCAGCTGGAGGGGAAGCTGAACTTGTTACCCCCAGAGCTCTGCATGATGATGGGCTGACGGCCCATGGGCACTGGGCTTATGCCCCTCTGGTTCTGGGGGGTTGGGGCTGAGTAGCCTTCAGGCCAGGCCCCTTGTGGAACAGGAGAGATGCGGGGCACCAGGTAATCCATGTTGCCAGAGAAGCGCTTGGTGGAGGGGTTACTGTCCCAGGAAGGTGGGGGTGGGGTTGCACCTCTGTTTGGGGGAGGGGTGACACTGCGCACCTGAGGGTTTAGGGGAGGGTTCACCCGTTGGTTGTTTCCAGGGTGGCCCTGTGGGAAGGCTGGGGGTGGGCCTCGTCCTGCCAGGTCACCCTGGGGTCCAGGGCTGTCTGAACGGTACATCATCCCCTCCACCATCATGGGGCCATGTCTCTGAACCAGGGACTCCTTGGAACCCTTCCAGCTCTGCCTCCTCAGCACAGGCTGCTGAATGTGAGATGAACCTGCAAGGATGGGAAGAAAAACTACAGTTCATGGCAGCATATAAAAATTAATCATTATGTTTGCGATAGACATTACTGAAATATGAAAGAAAGCAACCCATTGCTTTGTACAACATTCTCATTTGAAACACACTCCCTTCCCCCAAACCAGAGTTGTTCAACAGAATCTTGTTCCCTCATTGACAATATATTGCATCTCTAGCGACAAATAGTATAGCCAAGTCCTAGATCCTGCAACAATTGTTGCCAGGTTTCCGTGAACAACCCTGGATAAAGAAGAGGTTTGGTCCCAGAGGACAGACACGTACCGGGGGCTTTCATGCCTGCATTGACGGGGCGGGAGGCGGCAGCCACCATCTGCTCCCGCACAGGATCCTGGTAGCTCATTTTACTAATATACTCTATGGCTGCCTCCACGCTGCGACTGTTGGTCTGCTTCAGAGCACGTATCACCATTTCCTGCACACAATACATTTACTAGCTATTAATACCTGAAATAAATAAAAGGTTTCTCGAGGTGCTATTAGACAGACTTCATATCAAGTTTACAGGAACTACTTACCCACAACTCACAAATACAATGGAATTAATTGTTTTTTTGACATACTTGGTTTCATAGAAAATATTTCATTCATCTCAGCCTCAGTGCTGAATACAGACAATCATGTCATGTGACTGACTAGTTGAAAACATATTTAGCATGAGAAAATGACACCCTGAGCATGCAGCTAAAGCTGGTCATTCCACATTGCATAGCTTTCATATTTCACATCAGTCTCCTGTCATCTATCAACAAAGGGAAAACATTCTGCAATAACTCCTTTTATGCCGTGCTCTTATGGTATCTATCTGAGTGACTCAAACATAACAAAATCAATGGGGGCCCCATGCCAAGACATTTTTGGAATTGTTTTATGTTCTCGCTGACTGTCTAGTTTTTATTTTGGTGATTGTTAGTTCTCAAAGATGATCTTATTTAACAATATATAGCTCCATTATATTTTCTGCATAATTTATCTGTTTTTTGTCATTTAAGTTTACACTGAAAACATTAAGCCATCCCAAAAAAAGAAAAATATATTCTAAAATGTAATCTTATTTGTTGGAGTGGTGGCAACGATTTAGCTGAATATAGGGGAAACACTGGTATCACTTAGATTATTCGACAACTACCAGTATGGACGTTGCTTGAGTGATTTGAAAACGTTTAATTATTTAAGTTTTATTCAATAATTGAAAATAACTTAATTTACTAGAGAGTACTAACGTTACTAGCTACCTAGCTGAAGTACTGTTTCCACTTTTACATTCTTCCTCCTTACCTCCTCAAAGCCAGCAGACAGCAGCTCCAGCAGCATCTGTTTGTTAACCTCTGCAGTCCTTCCAGAAGAGCTGGGCTCATTGGCAAAAGGCATCAGGGACTTGCGAATCTCCTGCAAGGCCTTGTGGTAGGGGTTTCTGGGGTTGCTGCAGCGCCCTTGCTGCCTGGGGTCTTCAGACAACACCTTTCCAGCGCCCCCCATGTCCACCTTAGGGAGGTCAGAAGGCCGTGAAAGGTTCCGGAGACTCTCACGAATTTCCTGCAGCATCTGGTGGCTGTTTCCACTGTAGTTGCTGGCGGGGAAAGTCTTGGGTCGCATCTGTCGAAATCCTTCGGGTTTCTCTCCTCTCTTCATGTAAGAACATGTAGGTTGACAGCCAAAGGAGAGAACAGGATAAAGCACACAGCAGTGTCACTGCGAGGCTATCTGGGGCCAAGAGAAGGTTCAAGATTGAAATTACTTTACATCTGCATCCTGCTGAGTACCTGGGGACAACAAAACATTATAAACATGGTGCAGTTAGCTAATAGGAATGAAAGCAATCTCTCAACAGATGAGTAGTGAAATGACCCTAAAGATTTTGGGTCAATTCATATATTCAGACAATTCCTTATGGAAGATAACTGCAATAGCTTACTTTTGTAGCTATAAGTTACAACCTTATCAATGCAACTAACGTTTGCTAGCAAAGGTGACCATGAAAACGAATGGTGTTGGTGGCACACTTATTTAGCTTACATTAGGTAACTATCTACCAAATATGGTTAAACCTGTACGTAGTAACGTTACTGACTATAGAATGTTATGTAAGCAAATAGGTTATCCAGACAGTTACAAAGCTAAAAGGTAGTGAAGAATACAATTCAATGTTTTATCTAGTTAACGCTAGCAAGTCACTAGCACCTGACTCAACTTCAGTTAAATAACTAGCCAGCCAGCTAAACTATAGCAAAGCTCGGCCACAGATAGAACCAGGCCCGGCTGCTGCAGGTTGTCCACGGCCCGTCGGTGTCGCAAAACAACCACTAGCCATCCAAGTTAGCTAGCTAACTAGCACGCTACTAGCTAACAGGTTGTTGTCAATGAATTTACCGGCAGCAGTGTTATTCTCCTAATCAAATCTCCAGACTTCAAATCAACTAGAAAGTGCGATCAACTATTAGTAAATCGACTGATTTAGACGAAGTTTGAAAGTGATTAACTTTAATGCTACTCCGTGTTAGCCCCAATTGTGGCTTGAATATTCCTGTGATGTCTGACAGAGAGAAGTTGCCCGGATGTGCTGGTTCACTGGGTTGTTTTTCCCGTTTCCCATCAACCCCTGCGATAGCGCGTCTTTCGCAAAAGTGATTCAGGTAGTCTTACTCATAAAAATAAAACAAGTACAATATATAAACAAAATTAAAACAAAATGGATTCTATAAATAATCTATCATAAGACTTAAATGTGATCCATATAATGGTTATCTGTCATACAGTATATCTTGTCTGTTATGAAAAGTGATGCATAATTGGATAAGTGAGAACACATTTATGCAGCCATTTTATTTCAAAACACCAGAGTACAATGACATGAACACAACCAATATGACTTCCCCACAAATCATGTACTCTCTGTGACTGGTGTTGAGCACAATTTACTGTACAACCGGTACTCATCATTTAGAGTGTAAACTCAGTATTTCAGTAGTAATACAAGATCTCTGTATGCTTACAATTTCTTCAACCTCCTTCAAGACTATCAAAAACAGTTAATAAAGCACTTTCATCTGATTGGGGTTATCTAATCCTCCAAAGCGAGACCTTTTACTGAAAACACATTTTAACAATCAGTTAAGGTAAATAAAGTCCAGCCAGCATGTCTATTAATGTGAATAGCTGAACAGTTTTCTAAATTGGGACCCGTCTGTTGACATAAATAGCCTCTCCGTCCGTTCCACACACCAAGCATTGTCCCAGCACATCCAGACTGTTCACAGACAGGGTCTGGCTGGGCAGCATGTGAGTGGTCTCAAGGCGTCCCTTACTTGAGTCTCCAGTGAGCCAGGAACTGATGAGTGACTGGTTCCCACCTGCTGGGGCTATTGCGCTGCGTGAAATTATGCTTGTGTTTCGTCCACCTGGTGAACAAAAAAGGACAACTCGGATTATGAATGATTGGTGTTACAGCAATGATATCCTGCCAAATAAACAGGTTGATATATCAAATACTTCCATTTGGCAATAAACACAACCGCCCTGCTCTGTGAGCCGTGAGAAATATTTCTGATGACTTGCCTTGTAAGAAGGATGGTGTGTCTGAATTTGAGGAAGTCTCCCAATGCAACAGTGATCCATCCTCTGAGCATGAGAAGAGGTGGTCTGGGTTTGATGGATGAAAATGGACCTCCCACACTGAGAGCACAAAAAACAGTTAACCTGTGAACCGAAGATAGACTTGCTGTTTTAGTCAATAAACTACTACCATAAATATCTTACTTTCAGCTGAGTGCGCCTCCATAAGTGAAAAGGGCATGTTGCCTTGTCTCACATCCCAGATACAGAGCATGCCATCCTGACCCCCTGTGGCCACAATGTGTTGTTGGTTGGGGTGCCTGTCCACACAATGCAGTGGGACTCTGTCCCCAGTTCTTGCAGGCAAAACAAAATACATAAAGGACATTACACAACACACTCGTAGCACCAGAAAAACTGATTTACATTAGCTCCTCAAATATTTAAACATCTTACAGTGAAAGAATCTGCGATGGTTCATTGCCCTGTTGCCTGAAGTCCCATAGTTTGAGCTGGCCAATAGAATTGACAGTAAGGATCTCCGTAGTCCTCAGGAAAGTCACAGCATGGATTGTGCTACTATCAGCGTTTTCTGACAATAAAAAAATAGTATGTCAGTATCATCTTGGCTAAAGGGTAGGATTTTACTTGAAGTTCCAGCTGACTTTTGGAAATTGGCATGTAGGCTATGTTATTGCAAGTTCAAAATTCAACCTTGATGAAAACAATTGCCATTGCCAGGGGAAAATACAATTATCTATACTCTTATCAACAGATGAGGTATTGTTACTAAAGTATTGTTTCGTTCTCAGACCTATGGTGCGCAGCACTCCTTCCTGGTCCGCTCTGAAGAGGATGATCCTTCCATCTTCCCCAACCGTGACAATCTCAGGGCTGTTACACACAATTCCAGTACATGGAGCGTTGTCGCAGGGATAATGATGTGCTCTTTCCCACAGTTTAGAAACAGACAATGTCTGTTGAGAAGAGAATACAGGTGCTATTGAACACAAGGTCCTCCACAATCTACCTTGACATTTGTAATTGATGCATCCATGATTGTTGGTATATCTTCATTATAATGATGTCTTGTGAAATAACATCCATACCTGGCTGTTGTGGTGATGCCGAAATATGATCACTGCTCCAGTCGATGATGCTGTTACTATTCTGTCTTGATCCAGAAACTAAAAATGTAAGATTGACATTCAATTATGGCAATATATTTTGAAAATCAGGACCAAGTACAACAATGTCAGTCTAATATCCTAGACCTAGTTGATAAACTTACTTGAAGGTCCAGAACATCCCCATTATGTTTGTATTCGCATACTAATTGGGGGTCTCCCTCAAATTCATCGTCCATACTGGAGACCCCATTCTCTCCGATGGACCAAATGGAAATTTTGTTGTCCTGAAAAAGAGATGTATGCAATCAGACAAAAATACATGTTCCCACCTGGACAAGAGGAACACCTACGTGAGAATGCTATTCATTGACTACAGCTCAGCGTTCAACACCATAGTGCCCTCAAAGCTCATCACTAAGCTAAGGATCCTGGGACTAAACACCTCCCTCTGCAACTGGATCCTGGACTTCCTGACGGGCCACCCCCAGGTGGTAAGGGTAGGTAACAACACATCTGCCACGCTGACCCTCAACACGGGGGCCCCTCAGGGGTGCATGCTCAGTCCCCTCCTGTACTCCCTGTTCACCTATGACTGCATGGTCAGGCACGACTCCAACACCATCATTAAGTTTGCCGACGACACAACAGTGGTAGGCCTGATCACCGACAACGATGAGACAGCCTATAGGGAGGAGGTCAGAGACCTGGCTGTGTGGTGCCAGGATAACAACCTCTCCCTCAACGTGACCAAGACAAAGGAGATGATTGTGGATTACAGGGAAAAAAAGAGGACTGAGCACGCCCCCATTCTCATCGACGGGGCTGTAGTGGAACAGGTTGAGAGCTTCAAGTTCCTTGGTGTCCACATCACCAACGAGCTATCATGGTTTAAACACACCAAGACAGTCGTGAAGAGGGCACGACAAAGCCTATTCCCCCTCAGGAGACTGAAAAGATTTGGCATGGGTCCTCAGATCCTGAAAAAGTTATACAGCTGCACCATCAAGAGCATCCTGACTGGTTGCATCACCGCCTGGTATGGCAACTGCTCGGCCTCCGACCGCAAGGCACTACAGAGGGTAGTGCGTACGGCCCAGTACATCACTGGGGCCAAGCTTCCTGCCATCCAGGACCTCTATACCAGGCGGTGTCAGAGGAAGGCCCTCAAAATTGTCAAAGACTCCAGCCACCCTAGTCATAGACTGTTCTCTCTGCAACTGCATGGCAAGCAGTACCGGAGGAGCGCCAAGTCTAGGTCCAAAAGGCTTCTCAACAGCTTCTACCCCCAAGCCATAAGACTCCTGAACAGCTAATCATGGCTACCCGGACTATTTGCACTGCCCCCCCCCCAACACCACTTTTTATGCTGCTGCTACTCTGTTAATTATTTATGCAGTCACTTTAACTCTACCCACATGTACATATTACCTCAACTAGCAGGTGCCCCCGTACATTGACTCTGCACCGGTACCCCCTGTATATAACCTCCCTACTGTTATTTTATTTTACGTCAGCTCTTTTTTTCCTCAACACTTTTTTGTTGTTGTTTTATTTTACTTAAAAAAAAAAAAAAATGCATTGTTGGTTAAGGGCTGTAAGTAAGCATTTCACGGTAACGTCTACACCTGTTGTATTCGGCGCATGTGGCAAATAAAATTTGATTTGAACAGCTGATTGGTGGTAACTAAGTTATACTAGTTAGCTAGTAGCTAACGTTAGCTATGTTATGTATGCATAAATTGCCCTAGTGGCAGCACATTGGACTTCTGTAATTTAGGGAAGTCAAGTGACAGGTTTGTTATTATTGCCAGAGAATAATAAAGCAAACTAACGTTATGTGTTGACAGCACCGACAGTAGCTAGCTAACGATAAAGTTAGCAGTTTAGCTAGCTAGCAAACCCACCTCGTTATCCCAAGACCCAGTAGCAAAGATGTCTGGTTGCTGTAAAGACGAAGATGAGACCGGTCTCCATCTCGTTTTGCTGATTTTCTGTGACACGTACTTTGCATTGATGCCCTCCATCAGAATAATCTTAAACGTAGCTACTTCTGTTTTATTTGTAAATTTTCAAACAAGTCTACTCAACATGCATTTTCCGGAATCCCGCCAGTCTCGTATGGTGGCCCATGAGGACAAACTCAACAAAACTAAACGTCAAACCTTGTGTACACGTCACTAATTCACTAACGAGTTAAACTCTCGCGCCCCTCTAGTGGGTGAACGGGGAAGATAGATACTTGCTCGGGCAATCATATCTGAGTGGTCAAAAACCCAAATGAAAGATTAAATATCGGATTATCTAACTAATATGACATCATCATTTATTCAGGGATTTACCGTGTGGCAAAAGCTGCAAACTGCGAAGTATGTCGCGTGACGTATCCCCTCCATCTGTTTTGGAGGTTGTCAGTTTCGTAGGCAAAGGAGTTTGCGCAGGCGCGGCACTGACAGCTGCTCTCTACCTGCTCCGCAGAGTGTGTGTAATAATGGCCTGGAAATCTGGAGGAGCCAGCCACGCAGAGCTTGTAAACAACCTCCGCAGTAAGTTGACTCATTATGTAAAGTGTATAATTAAGCATTTTGGTTTAGAGATCTAATGGGGAAAGAAGAATTGCTGCTTTCTCCAATGCATGGTGGCAACGGTCGGGCTTGGCTAGAAATTGTAGGCTAGTAAAGTTTTTACCGCGTTAGCGGTACACGGTTTCCATTAGTTACCACAGCCACTGTGTTCCTCTGTAGTCACGCTACAGTAATATCAGGCGGATGTTTGCAAATCTGCACCTGTTAGTACAGTTTACTACTTAATAATTGCATGTTTACAGTAGCTAGTGGCTTCATTTAGTACAAGGCAGTCGTATTTATAGAGCCTCCGATAATTTATGTGCGTCATATTGTGCTTTGCCCCCAATGCAAAAATATACATAATTGTTTGCCCCAACCTCTTTTGCTGGCTTGCTAGTAGCTAACGCTAGCTAGCTACTTACCTACTACAGCTCTGTTGCGGGGATAGGTATGACATATGTGGAGAAATGTGAATATCGAAGCCGTTTATTAGTGAGCTAGCCTACTAACTACATGCATGCGAAGTTCGACTGAGTATCTATGTCTATGTTTTTACAACAGCAGCGAAGATGGACAGCAGTGTGGTTAGCTAACCTGTGGGCGGGGCATTCATGCGTTGCGTGTTGATCCACTGTACTGACTGTAGTTTCTGTACTATAGGATAGGCCATGCCATTCTTTGGAGAGAGGCATGATCACACCCTGTTGTTATTATAACAAGCTACTAACTCAGCACTCATAGGTAGTTGTGCAATATTTAATCACATTTGTAGTCACACCTGACACACCACTGTGGTAGTTAGTCTTGTTGTGAACCAGCTAAGATTTGTTTTTCTTGTGTGCCATACAGTAAGGAAGTGGATTAGCTGATTTAGAATTAGCTGATTTAGATCTAATAGATAAGAATAGATCTCTCAAATTCACCCATTTACTAGGAAGATCTTTTTGTTACAAAACTAGAAAGATATCCTGAAGACTTGGTGTAGACTGCAGAGAGCAGCTTGTTGGCTTGCCTATGCCAGTGTCCAACATGATTTGGCAAGCAGATCTAGTTGGCTATATTTACACGGTCAGTGTCCAGCAAAGCACTGCAGCAGACACTTTGGTACTAGGGCGGGTCTGAGCGTTTTGCCAAAAGCCCTTTGGGTGAACATAATAATAAATAATAATATGCCATTTAGCAGACGCTTTTATCCAAAGCGACTTACAGTCATGCGTGCATACATGCACCTTATTGTTCCTTGTTCACGTGTACATTTATTGTGATACGGTATAGACATAAAAGGGGACATCTTTTATGTTGAGAACATAACAACATGCACAACACTGCATCCAGGGATACTAAAACATGTGGTAAAATGTGATGCTGAAGTGGATTAATATTTTATTCCCAAAAGTTGAGTTCTGGGTCAATTTTAGCAACACCCATCCTCCCCTGTTGTCATGTGCGTTCTGACCCATTTAGGCCTACTCATAAGCTGCAAACCTTAAGTAAGCCTAAGCCGAATTTAAACGGGTCAAACTCACGATGCATGCGAATTCCTGACTTTAGTGTTGTTTGTATCCTCCTTAGGCCAGGCTTTTCTCTGTGAGCTAAAAGCTGATTATCACACACACTGGGTTCAGAACATCAAGTTATTTAAGAGTTGGTCTTTCAAGTGCAATATTTTTTGAAACCATTAAATAGCCTATTATGTGCATATTCAGTGCATTCGTTACAGCCTTATTCAAAAAAATTATTACATAGTTTTTTCCCCTGATCAATCTACACACAATACCCCATAATGACAAAGCAAAAACAAATGTATTAAAAACGGAAATATCACATTTACATAAGTATTCAGAGCCTTTACTCAGTACTTTGTTAAAGCACCTTTGGCAGTGAATACAGCATTGAGTCTTCTTGGGTATGACGCTACAAGCTTGGCACACCTGTATTTGGGGAGTTTCTCCCATTCTTCTCAGCAGATCCTCTCAGGCTCTGTCAGGTTGGATGGGGAGCTTCGCTGCACAACGCTATTTTCAGGTCTCTCCAGAGATGTTCGATCGGGTTCAAGTCCGGGCTCTGGCTGGGCCACTCAAGGACATTCAGAGACTTGTCCTGAAGCCACTCCTGCGTTGTCTTGGCTGTGTGCTTAGGGTCGTTGTCCTGTTGGAAGGTGAACCTTCGCCCCCAGTCTGAGGTCCTGAGCACTCTGGAGCAGGTTTTTATCAAGGATCTCTCTCTGTACTTTGCTCCTTTCATCTTTACCTCGTTCCTGACTAGTCTACCAGTCCCTGCCGCTGAAAAACATCCCCACAGCATGACGCTGCCACCACCATACTTCACCATAGGGATGGTGCCAGGTTTCCTCCAGATGTGACGCTTGGCATTCAGGTCAAAGACTTCAATCTTGGTTTCATCAGACCAGAGAATCTTCTTTCTCATGGTCTGAGAGTCCTTTATGTGCCTTTTGGCAAACTCCAAGTGGGCTGTCATGTTCCTTTTACTGAGGAGTGGCTTCCGTCTGGCCACTCTACCATAAAGGCCTGATTGGTGGGGTGTTGCAGAGATGGTTGGCCTTCTGGAAGGTTCTCCCATCTCCACAGAGGAACTCTGGAGCTCTGTCAGAGTGACCATCGGTTTTTGGTCACCTCCCTGACCAAGATCATTCTCCCCTGATTGCTCAATTTGGCCGAGCGGCCAGCTCTAGGAAGAGTCTTGGTGGTTCCAAACTTCTTCCATTTAAGAATGATGGAGGCCACTGTGTTCTTGGGGACCTTCAATGCTGCAGAAATGTTTTGGTACCCTTCCCCAGATCTGTGCCTCAACACAATCCTGTCTCGGAGCTCTATGGACAATTCCTTCGATGTCATGGCTTGATTTTTGCTCTGACATGCACTGTCATCTGTGGGACCTTTATATAGACCGGTGTGTACCTTTCCAAATCATGTCCAATCAATTTAATTTACCACAGGTGGACTCCAATGAAGTTGTAGAAACATCTCAAGGATGATCAATGGAAACAGGATGCACCTGAGTTCAATTTCGAGTCTCATAGCAAAGGGTCTGAATACTTATGTAAATAAGGTATTTCCGTTTTTTTTTATTTTTAATAGATTTGCAAACATCTCTACAAACCTGTTTTGGCTTTGTCATTATGGGATATTGTGTGTACAGTGTCATGAGAATTTCTATCTCTAATTAAACTCAAGCTTGAATAATTCCCAGAGGTTATAATGCTCTGGTTTTAATCATGAGTTAAACAAAGTCCACAACCAGCAAGAATGATCTGTATTATTTAATCATGAGAGCTCTCCCGCCAAAACATACACAGCCTTTTTATATGCCTTCACACAAAGGAACTTTGCTCCGCCCACCTTTAGGCGGCCTGTACATTTCCACAGTATAGGATGTTTAAATAGGACAGTTTCTAAGTCTCCTTTCTCCTGGAATGTCTGTCTCAGCAGTTTCTAACCCCCTCGCCTCGGTTAGTGGGTTTACACTACATTATAACTCTAACATAGTTCACACATTTATACCGTATTTGGGGTGAAATCCATTAGTCATTATTTTAAAAATATAAATGAATCTATCAATCCACCCTTTGACTAAATCTTTCACACTCAGGATAAATGTATTTACAAGAATGGTCTTCTTTTTTAGATTATTCCTATGACCTTCATACGTCAGAACCAATAAACGTTTCATCCAATTGCGGTCTTTCAGGGTCAAAGTCCTCGTTCTCCACCAAGCCTGGAGGATCGTATTTCACGTTCCACTGGTCAGAGTCCGGAGTCCGTCCATATCTCACCATCTGTTAAGACACTGCATTCTCCAACGCCTTACTCACCAACCCTCAGACACAGGGAATAAGACAACAACCACATAATACAAGAATACCAATACAAGCGATGGCTGCCCCCAAGATGGTGGCTGCTATGGTTTTCCATTTGCCAAACATTTAATCAAACCACCCTATCAAAGATGTATTAACTCCTGAGTTCTCAGCCCATTCTTCACTTAGAGCAGTCAATCCTGCAAGAGCTCTGGTGACCGTCCCATCCGGTGCGGTGTTGTTAGGGATAAATGTGCAACAATTGCCCACCATTCTATAGACACCGCCCCTTTCTGCCTGCAATATATCTAGAGCCAACCTCATGAGTGAGGTGGCGGATAATTGTTCAGAGATCCCCTTTACTGCATCCCTAGTCTGGCCAATAAATAGTTGTTGGTTGTAATAGATATCATTAATCCAATCCACATTTTTGTTTATTATCACCCACCAGAAGAACGTTGTAGTAAACCCTTCCCCTACTTGTTTCATAGCTTTGTATTCATCCGGTACCCACCTTGGTATCCCAATCGCATTCATCTAAATAGGGCTATTCTCCTTCTTGTCAAAACTCCTCCTACGTCTGTTTAACCCTTTCCTTGGTTCCTGGTTACTAATTCTAACTAGCTGAACCAGTAGAACCGGGGAGCACGTACCTAGCCACCCTTTTGGCATTCTCTGCCTTATACTGCCTTTACTGGCACACGCCTACCACACATCGGTTACAGGGGCTGTAAGGTTCAGAATTCTCTCCTGTTCTTCCGAACCTGAGTCAGTCACATTACTACTATCTCCAATTGATAATTGGTGATGTCTTTGTTTCTCTTTACCCCCCATCTGGATGTCCAGTCCTGTCCGGTCTCATATCCCTGTCCCCAAGTGTGTTTAAACACTTGAGTCTAACAATCCGCCATGGGGCCCGAACACGAATATTATGGGATTTTATAATCCCAAATTGCTTGTTGACATGTACCCCACCCGTTGGCTACATCCCTAACCTTTATTTTGAATCCTACAGTCTGCCCTTCTCTGACTCCCATTTTGTAGGCCACTCGTCCTTGATGGTCAGTATGTCAGGTCGCTTCTCTTCTCTTTTACTTTTTAACATTGGTAAGGACATAGCGTAATTGGTGCGGTGCAGTGGTGGATCTTGACATATCAGGACCACTGCTGAGACTATGATGCAGCTCAGGTTACCCATATTCCCAAAAACCGCCAACCCCCTCCTGCCCTCAGTCTTTCTGCTTGGTAACACCCCATACTCACACCCTGAGAGCACACTACAGTGATGATAGGTCGGGGTAGGAGAGCTTCATTAACAGAGGTGATCCCCATGACCCTATTGGTCCAGTTCTTCTTTCTAACTCTGCGTGTGTTCAGTGGTGCTTGTATGTGTTCCTACCTTTTTGCAGTGGGTAACGTGGACCCAGGTTGCTCTTTCTGCTATTCTAATGGCAAAGGCGGTGACCAATATAACCTGATAGGGCCCTTCCCAACAGGCCTGCTTCCAGTCTTTCTTCTTTAGGGACTGGATCCACACCAGTCACCTGGTTGGGTAGAGTGGGTCACCTTCTCCTTTAGTTCACCTGTGGGGCACAAAACCTCTGACATACGGGTGTGGTTAATAAACAACCTTCTCATGTGTTCTGCTAGGGTGCTCTCAGTTTCTATCTCTGCCTGCTCTGGTCCTCCTACCTCGGCCATTCTGTATGGTCTACCAAATACTTTCTCAACTGGCAATAACCCTTCTTTATCTGGAGTTCTCCTGATCGTCATTAATACTATCGGTAGACATTGTACCCCATTTCTTCCTGCTCTCCTGTGTGTTTTCCTTAACCCCTCTCTAATCATACCGTTCACATTAGCATTTTCTTTCTAGACAGTATCCAAATATTTATTTATTTATTTCAGTATTTAGTTATCTTTAATCCTACCATCTACCATCATCCCCCCTGTTGACACATGGCCCTGCCCATGTGTCAATATTACCACCTACCTAAACAATCACTTAGGTAATATTGGTAAATTATCCTTATGCCATCCCTTTTCCTTTGAGATTTCCCCTTGCTTCTTTATTGCTCCTCCCACTTCCTTTGTCTATTATGGCGGCTAAATTCAACTTTCCTTCAGTTCAGAATAAATAGTAATACAATCAATCAATCCCTTATCTTGTAAAAACACTCATGTTTAGTTTAAACTCTGTTCTTCCTGGGCTTGACCTGAAGACTGATGGTTGGACATGACAGACTGACCTGAAGACTGATGGTTGGACATGACAGGTCCCCCCCCCCCCCCCCCCAGTAGTATCCGGTCAAGCAACCCATACCAGCAGTTGAATTACACTCATAAATACAGATTTCACTCTATGCCATTGAAATGACAAATAAATCATAATAGTTCAACTATATTGGCTTTGTACTATATTATACATTACGTCTATAACCACATTACTTATGGTGCGATTATTCATTAAACCTTATAACATGATCCAACAACGGTACAAACTTAGAAAACCCATATTAAGTACTTTCCCACCCATGACGTACGTCTACGTTTGGGTGAGCAAGTTAATACATATATAACGTTAGACATTTATAGGTACTCACATCAAATAATCCCTTCGTGGTGTTTTTAACCAATTCTTAATCGACCTAAATCACTTCCTCTTGTCACCCTTCCTATTCTGCCTCCTCGCTTGGTAGCCTCCCTCTCTCTTCTCGGCTATGTCTCCCAATGTGGCCATCAAATACTCCGCTCCCTTCCATTCTTTTCTTGCTCGTTCTCTATGTTTTCTGACTAGATATAACCTTTCTGCCCTCTGCTATTCTCTACTGAGTATTTTATACCCCCCTTTACTATATTGCTCCGAAGTGATGGATAGTTATTATAATTATTCCACTTTTATCCACTCTTTAATAATACATTTCATCTTTTTTATATATATATCTTTATCAACTAACCCATTCATATTTCTAATGATTCTTTATTGCCACAAGTTAATCTAGTTCCAATCGGACCAACGTTAGCTACCTAGACCCTTCCCCCTCAGGTCATAAAATCCTCCCAGAATCTCACACTATTCTATGACAAGCAGTGTTTTTTTACAAACCCCAAGATATCATTATATCAACCGATTATTCTCCAAACTTTAGATTAATTAATTCCCACGACTTTCATATCACATTCACACAACGCTATTTCCCAACACACAATCAATATTAGTGAATGTTAATTCTATCAACATTTGACCTTTACCTATGGTTACTTTTACCATAATTCCCTAAATGTACCGAAATACAATATATTGACGTCATATGATCAACCCCGTACACGTGACCTTTTTCTTAAATCAGGATACCCCTATAACTATCTCATACACATTAGAGAGTCTATAGTACCAAGTATCCCCCTTATAGTTTCTATTGGTAATGGCCTCAACTACCCTGAATCATTTCGGACCCACTTTCTCAACGGATCTCACCCGGTGCCGTTTTCTATTTATCCAAAATACTGGCGCATGGTTTTCTCTAGATAAACGTCTAAAACGGTGTACCTGATTAATCCCCTTCGGATTATCGGCGGATCACTACCCTCACTACAGCAGAAAACATTTCTATTGCAGTGTCCAGATATCAATTCCCCCCAAAATCCATGAATAAAAATTACTGACCTTATTCTTGCAGCTGGGATATTAATTTTGGTTAGATCTCGTCATCGTTTCTGTCGATCATCAGTTTTACCACCGGCCTGTAATGAACCTCAACGCCAAAGGCCAGGACTTAGTCTATACGAATGCTATCATTCGCCCGTGCACGATTTTCGTTGTCCCCGTAACGACAAAAACGTATATTTGAGATCCGGCTCGAAGGACCAATTGTCACGAGAATTTCTATCTCTAATTAAACTCAAGCTTGAATAATTCCCAGAGGTTATAATGCTCTGGTTTTAATCATGAATTAAACAAGGTCCACAACCAGCAAGAATGATCTGTATTATTTAATCATGAGAGCTCTCCCGCCAAAACATACACAGCCTTTTTATATGCCTTCACACAAAGGAACTTTGCTCCGCCCACCTTTAGGCGGCCTGTACATTTCCACAGTATAGAATGTTTAAATAGGACAGTTTCTAAGTCTCCTTTCTCCTGGAATGTCTGTCTCAGCAGTTTCTAACCCCCTCACCTCGGTTAGTGGGTTTACACTACATTATAACTCTAACACAGTTCACACATTTATACCGTATTTGGGGTGAAATCCTTTAGTCATTATTTTAAAAATATAAATTCATCTATCAACAGTCTTGGTCAAAAGTTTTGAGAATAACACAAATACTAATTTTCACAAAATCTGCTGCCTCAGTTTTGATGATGGCAATTTGCATATACTCCAGAATGTCATGAAGAGTGATCAGATGAATTGCAATGAATTGCAAAGTCCCTCTTTGCCATGAAAATGAACTTAATCCCCAAAAAACATTTCCACTGCATTTCAGCCCTGCCACAAAAGGACCAGCTGCCATCATGTCAGTGATTCTCTCGTTAACACAGGTGAGAGTGTTGACGAGGACAAGACTGGATATCACTCTGTCATGCTAATTGAGTTAGAATAACAGATTGGAAGCTTTAAAAGGAGGGTGGTGCTTGAAATCATTGTTCTTCTTCTGTTAACCATGGTTACTTGCAAGGAAACATGTGCCGTCATCATTGCTTTGCACAAGAAGGGCTTCACAGGCAAGGATATTGCTACTAGTAAGATTGCACCTAAATCAACCATATTTCGGATCATCAAGAACTTCAAGGAGAGAGGTTCAATTGTTGTGAAGAAGACGTCAGGGCACCCAAGAAAGTCCAGCAAGCGCCAGGACCGTCTCTCAATGTTGATTCAGCTGCGGGATCGGGGCACCACCAGTGCAGAGCTTGCTCAGGAATGGCAGCAGGCAGGTGAGGTGAAGACTTTTGGAGGATGGCCTGGTGTCAAGAAGGGCAGCAAAGAAGCCACTTCTCTCCAGGAAAAACATCAGGGACAGACTGATATTCTGCAAAAGGTACAGGGTTTGGACTGCTGAGGACTGGGGTAAAGTCATTGTCTCTGATGAATCTCCTTTCCGATTGTTTGGGGCATCCGGAAAACACCTTGTCCAGAGAAGACAAGGTGAGCGCTATCATCAGTCCTGTGTCATGCCAACAGTAAAGCATCCTGAGACCATTCATGTGTGGGGTTGCTTCTCATCCAAGGGAGTATGTTCACTCACAATTTTGCCTAAGAACACAGCCATGAATAAAGAATGGTACCAACACATCCTCCGAGAGCAACTTCTCCCAACCATCCAAGAACAGTTTGGTGACGACCAATGCCTTTTCCAGCGTGATAACTAAGTGGCTCGGGGAACAAAACATCGACATTTTGTGTCCATGGCCAGGAAACTCCCCAGACTTTAATCCCATTAAGAACTTGTGGTCGATCCTCAAGAGGCGGGTGGACAAACAAAAACCCACAAATTCTGACAAACTCCAAGCATTGATTATGCAAGAATGGGCTGCCATCAGTCAGGATGTGGCCCAGAAGTTAATTGACAGCATGCCAGGGCGGATTGCAGAGGTCTTGAAAAAGAAGGGTCAACACTGCAAATATTGACTCTTTGCATAAACTTAATGTAATTGTCAATAAAAGCCTTTGACACTTATGGAATGCTTGTAATTATACTTCAGTATACCATAGTAACATCTGACAAAAATATCTCATAACACTCAAGCAGCAAACTTTGTGAAGATCAATACTTGTGTCATTCTCAAAACTTTTGACCACGACTGTAGATTGATGAGGAAAAAAATGAATTTAATCCATTTTAGAATAAGGCTGTAACGTAACAACATGTGCAAAAGTAAAGGTGTCTGAATACTTTCGGGAATGCACTGTAGCTGCATTTTTACTTGTCCATCTGAAACTGTTGGGAATGCAGGTGTAATGTATCCTTGCGACCACTGAGCAACATAGTGGTAAGGTTGGGGCCCGGGGTCTGGGGGAGTATTAATGAGAGCAGCAGCACCGGCTGTCGCTGGCACTTCCTACTGTTGGCACTGATTTTCAGTGGAGCCTCCTGTGGGGGAATTAGTCTACTCTGAAGACACTGCAGTGTTTGTGAGTGTGTGACTCTACACATATCCACTGTGGAGAATCACACCGTCTGTTTTCCTGTGTCCTCAGAAAATGGGATCATCAAGTCAGACAAGGTCTGTGAAGTCATGTTGGCCACAGACCGAGGCCATTTCTCCAGAAGCAACCCCTACATGGACTCCCCACAGTCAATAGGTGTGTGCTTATTTAATGTAGTACAATAAAGTAGTGTAGTGCAAATTCAATAACCCAGCCAATGATGAATGTTAGAAACTAACTATCCCTCACTTTGAACCCAAAGGCTATCAAGCAACCATCAGTGCGCCACACATGGTAGGCCTAGCTATGACTTTTAATATTTGTTTAAATTGTTGCATATCAATTATAACTATCAAACATTGATCACATTGCTCTTATAATTTATACCAACTGAGCAAAACCCAGAGGTTTACAAGTACAATGCTGACAGGTGTTGATGCAGTTGTATGTTGATCTCTCCCCCAGCACGCCTATGCATTGGAGCTACTGCACGATCAGCTGTATGATGGGGCCAAAGCTCTGGATGTGGGGTCTGGCAGTGGAATCCTCTCTGCATGCTTTGCACGAATGGTGAGATACACATGATGACGGGTAAACACATAACATATTAGGTACTGTATTTTGGTGGCAGGGTTGGGATAAATTGTCCATTTCAGATTTTGGGGATATTTTGGGTTCTGTGTAATGTTCGATGGCACAGACCTGTATACCTTCCTAATTTATTGTATTTAACAGGTAGGTCCCAAAGGGAAGGTGATAGGAATTGACCACATCAAGGAACTGGTAGACGATTCTATTACCAATGTAAAGAAAGATGACCCCAGCTTGATAACATCGGGTCGAATCAAACTAATAGGTAAGTCCCAAAAGCGACAAAGCAAGATGGGCATTTTTCTCCAATTTGGTGACTTGTATTGTTGGGTTATTAAAATGTATTGTACACATTTGTCAGTTAAAAATATAAAATAATCGCTAGTGAAAGTCTACACACCCCTTGTACAGTCTTCACATTGCTGCCTTAAAATTAATTATAAAAAGGGATTCCATTTGATATTTGTCCTACCGATCTACACAATCTACTCCACATTTTTCAAAGTGAAAGAAAAATTATAAAGGTTCCAAATTAATACAAAATACAAAATGAAGATGTATTGATTGCATATGTCTCCACACCCTAGAGTAAACACTTGGTGGAAGCACCTTTGGCAGCCATTACAGCTGTGAATCATTTTGAATAAGATTCTACCAACCTTGCACATATATCCATTGTTCTTTGTCAAAAACATCAGTAAATTGGGTTGGGAATCATTGATGGACAGCATTATTCAAACCTTCTCTAAATTTTCAAGCAGAATTAAGTCAGACTTCCACTAGACACGGTGTAAGCTTAAAACAGGATTGGTGACGCACTGACTGTCAAATAAGGAATGTTTCAAAGGAGTCTAATGGATGTTGGCTCAGTCACTCCTTGGGAGAGCAACACAAAGCAGCTTAGTTGACGTGGGTGCAGCACTCTCTGCTGAATTATTGAAAGGAGAGTGCCTGCTTTCGCCTGCCCTACAGTCAACCAGCGTGCCCTTCAGTCAACCAGCGTGCCCTGCAGTCAACCAGCCTGCCCTGCACTCAACCAGCATTAGCCTCATAGGCCAGAGACGAGGTCGAGCCGTCATCTCACAGCTCTGATATGTGCCCTGGCACTCTGCTTCTCAGTGTGCGGCCTACTTGGCGGGAATAAGGCTGGCACTGCGTGGCAGCTGGCAGCATGTGAGTGACAGCTGTTGACTGTTTGTTGTGTTCCAGTGGGAGATGGGCGGATGGGCCATCCAGACGAGGCTCCTTATGATGCCATCCACGTAGGCGCGGCAGCACCCAACGTGCCACAAGCAGTAAGTTCCCAAACCACAGAAAAACACAAATGAAGGCATCAAAGGGGTCCCAGCTAATAGGAGCCACATCGCCTAAATTTACCATCATCCTTAGGAATGCTGTGTTCAGAGTAGAGAACAACACCAGCACTGACTCTAACTCTGTTAGAGATTAAAGGTGTCATTGTGATTGCAGGCTTTGGTTGGTATCAGGGAATGTTGGTGTGCTCTATGCTGTGCTACTTTGTCAAACAGTCCCCTGGTCTATTCAGTTGTAGCTACTTGCATGTTCAAGAGCGACTGAATGGAAAACCAACTTTTCTGTTTGAAAACTGCCTATGTGCCATCAATATGAGTCAAACATTTATTGTGTGAATACTGTAAAACTTCAATTAATGCAGAGTCTCAAATAGCCGCCTGTCCTTTTTAATAGCCGGGCAACTGAACACATTACAGCAAATAAATGCCTGGTCTAAATGAATTGTTTACGAAATTACCATCAATTGTTTACGAGGTTTACTGTTTGATGTGTTACATTAAATAATTCAGTAATGACTTGAAAAAATTATGGCTATCATCTGTTTTTATCGCCAGTAAGAAACTGCTAGCCATTGGCTGCTAACAGCTGAATACTGCTAGCTACTGGCATGCACAAAAACAGTCAACAACTTCGAGAGTACAGAACCCTAGAAATTGGCAGATCACCATCTAGTGGTGAAAGTAAGAACTACCGAAAATGCACAGTCAAAGAGGAGAATAATTGTCAAGGATATTTACCCAAAAGAAACATGACACGGTGTGTGTAAATAACACATTAGTGCAGGAAATTAAGAAATGGATACTGCTGGAATTAAACAATTAAATATGCAAAAGCTGTGCGCATTAAGGAAACAGATGTCTGGCTCAAATGGAAGCCTTTCTCTAATAAGCGGCTGTTATGTTAAGTGATTTAAGCAAATAAATGCTCAGGCTATTAATTGACGTTTTATGGTAGGATAATTTTGGTCATTAAGTCAGTCTCGTCTAAAACTGAGATTTGCGAGATGATTAAGGGAAAAAATTATGTCACGGACTTAAGGGTACGCCACAGTTTTCCTTGGGTTGGGTTTATTTCAATCCTGCCCACAGTTGGCAGCACCCAACTAATCATCAATTTGAAAGGGCAGCTGCACGCGACCTGATCATAGTAGTAAAGTTGGTTTGACTTTGGATATCCCTATGGGGTAGTTAGGGACCATCAGTAAATTACACAATGTACATGGGAGAATATTTTAAAATGTCAATAGCTCCAAATTTAAATGACTTAACCTCAAACCAACTATACATTGTAGAAATTAATTTACAAAAATTGAAAGCATTTAATGAGAACTAAAAGGTGTGCAACATGAAAATATTGTGTGTAATTTATTGATGCTCCCTAACTAGCCCCACAGATAGGCTATCCAAAGTCAAACCGTCATGGTCACGCACCGGCCGGCTGAAGCTAATTGGTGAAAGAAGTTGGCTAGCTTCCTAGCTAACCTAGGCTACTTCCTTTACTCTCCTCTCCTTTCCCAGCTCCTGGACCAGCTGAAGCCAGGTGGCAGGCTGATTCTGCCCGTGGGGCCGGCCGGAGGGAACCAGATGCTGGAGCAGTACGACAAGCTGGAGGACGGCAGCACCAAGATGAAGCCCCTGATGGGGGTGATTTACGTGCCTTTAACAGACAAAGAGAAGCAGTGGTCCAGGTGGAAGTGACTTCCTACTCTCTCTCCCCCCTCTCTCCTTCACACAGTGGGCAAAGGTGAAATGGTGTGGCCTGGAGTAGATAATGGATCCCAAGGGGCTGAGTTTCCTGCTTGTCATCATTATTTGCTTCTTCCATACTATGGCAACTGGCTGCACATTTTTGTTTTGTTTTAATCCAATAAACCAGTATGCTATTATAGCTCTTCAGCTAAGCACGTGTGCAGTGAAACGAACCATCAAGTGTGCATACTATTTGGAATTATAACAATGGTTTCTCTGAGTTGAAATCTCATGTAAATACTGTTTGATATATTTGATGGTTGGTATTTGGCTGTGATACTTCTGGCTTGAGAGCATGTCGATTGTATCATCCTTGTTCTTGAGGGGAAGTGACATTTAGCCTCATTATAGGGGAGAATGGGGTAAGTTGAGTCACCCTTGTTTCTAGTAAACCATACACAAAATTAATAATTTGACCAAATATTTAGGAAGAGGTCATAATTTCATAGAGTCTGTGAAGGAAGAAACCACATGGAAAAAGTGGTAAGAAAGTTAGGTCCAACAAATTTATTTTCACTAAGTCAAATTATTGTGTTGTGTTAGAGGTTTCATGATGCTTGTATCTAAACCAAAGTAAATAATTTTAAGATTGTTCTATACATCAGATGGGGTCTATGTAAGCTTCAAGATGAGGTCCTAAAACTAGCATGAAAGGGCATCCTTGTAGCTGTGTGGGCTAATATTGTCAAAATGTTTGCCTTGGGGAAAGTTGAGCCATGGGGTAAGTTGAGCAAATTGAAGTGTTTTCTTCCCAGGCGTAATGCAAGGCATTATCACTAGGATATGAGGTAGGATATAAGCCGGTGTTAAAATATTATTATAATGATTAAAATACAAAAAAGTGATTTGTGTTGAATTGTGTTTGGGAAATAAAAATAGACATGTTTTTAAAAAGGTACTTGTAATATTTTATTCAGTACAGAATTTACCCCATACTGGGGTAAGTTGTGCCAAGAGACCACTTTTCTTTAATAAGCTATGTTTTCAAAACTATCTTGTTTACATGAATGCTGATTATTTCCAGGGATACACAACATCCTGAAATATATGTAGATATCTTTGTTAGAAATTATACTATATTCCCCTTGACAGAGTGATAATGAATGTAAAAAATTGTTCAACTTACCTCTCTCCCCTACTGCATACTATCCTAGTTCTTCATTGGTTAAATCTGAAGAGATGGAGAAATCCAATAACCATAGGGACATTTGGATTTTGTACATGGTGTGGGACATTCTATAACAGTTTGTGCATGGGAGTGTCTAACTCTGACCTACAGTTGCATGACAAGAGGATGTTGATATGATTTGACATAGTGTATTTCCTCTTTCTGTCCATCTCTTAATGTTTTGCCTCTTTCTCACAGGGATGAACTTTGAGGCGACAGACTGTCCATATTCCACATTTCAGTGTGAACCTGGAGGAGACTCCTTTGGGTTCCAACAACAGCCATTGGATTTCTTTCAAAACAACAAACCATGGTGATTTTTTTTCTTCTTCAACTCTACCTAGAGTATCATGCTGAGGAATAACCCCTGAAGTTGGTAAAAAAAAAAAAGACTGTTGGAGATTGAACAGAAGAAAGTGTCTGGGGTTCATAAAAATAAAAATAAAAAATGAGGCATGCATTTTTTGGGTTGTGATTTTTAATTTTAATTTTGCTGCAAGATTTTTTTATATATTTTTTTGTGGTTACATCTTGAGTTGCAATCAACCATTTCTACAATAATGCATTTAAGCTCCAATCAAAGCTGAGTGTAAAGAGGTTGCCAAACTGTTCTGATGAGGAAAGCCTGAGTTGAAGAGATTATTCAGCCACTTGCTGTAAAGTGCATCTGAAGATCTGACTAGATATCTACTGCTGCTCTGCTAACATATATCAGCGTTCCCCCCTCCCAGCTAACAGTATTTAAACAGAGGCGCACGCAGGCTGCACAAATGGCTGCTCTAACCCACATCCAGTTGTTTGATATGCAGCACATGACGACACTACATGGTATTGTAGATAGGCCTATTAGACCTAGAGTTACTTATAAAGTTGGAAATACAGGAAATAGCCCAACCACAACCCCCTACAACAAGAGTGGGGACATGCACTCCCCTCCATATGTATTTGGACAGTGAAGCTACAATTTTAAATTTGGCTCTATACTCCCAGCATTTTGGATTTGAGATCAAATGTTTCATATTTTAGTATTTGTTCCCATGTTCCTTGCACTCAATGACTACATCAAGCTTGTGACTCTACAACGTTGTTGGATGCATTTGCAGTTTGTTTTGGTTGTGTTTTGGATAATATTTTGTGCCTAATAGGAACTGAATGGTCAATGATGTATTGGGTCATTTCTGAGTCACTTTTATTGTAAGTAAGAATAGAAGATGTTTCTGAACAATTCTACATTCATATGGATGCTATGGGTGATCATGAACACATCGTGAATAGTGATGAGTGAGAAGGTTAGAAGCACAAAGATACACCCCCCCCCCCCCAAATTATAACCTCTGTCAGTGGTAATGGTGAGAGGTTATCATGTTTTGTTGCAGCCTTTGTAAACTTCTCACTCATCATTATGCATGATTTTTCTTAATCATGGCACTGTCAGGATGAATTTAGAAGTGTTCAGAAACATCTTACCTACTCAATTAGAAAGAAAATTACTCTTCTTTATTCACCATTCAGTTCCTATTGGGCAAAACATAAAACAACCTGCAAATGCATCAAACAGGTTTGTAGAGTCACAAGCTTGATGTAGTCAAGTGTTAGGAATATGGGACCAAATACTACACTTTTGACTACTTTAATACACTTAAGTGCATTTGTCCAAATACTTATGACTTCTTCAAATGGGGAGACTAGATACATCAAGTGCTTTCCTTTCTAAACGGTAAAACAGATATGAAAACACCCTAAAATAAACAGTGACATTCTGTAATGTTGCCTCATATGAAACAATTGATCTCAAATCCAAAATGCTGGAGTACAGAGCCACATTTAAAATGTTAGTTTCACTGTCCAAATACATATGTAAGGGAGTGTATATACAGGTGAACACATGCACACATCCAGCATTGTGCTTTCCCCTGTGATTTATCGAGTGCTGCCTCTGGTGTCCATGACAACACTGTGTGCAAGCTTTACTGATGACCAACACTAAACAAAGCAGAACCATATATGTGTGTATATATAAATATATGACTCTGAACAAAGTAGCCGGTGCTTTGCCAAAATAAACTTTAATGCAAAGAGATTGAATGTCTGTTTAAATAAATAAATATTGGATGAGCTATGGCTTTCACAATTTCTGGAATGGCAAAATGAAAATAAAGAAATGCTTATGTTTTTGTCCTGCTTTGTGCTATGGAGTGTTTATTGCTACAAGCTGTCTATGCGTTGAAGACGGCTTCTATACTGCTATTTCCTAGTCACAAAAAAATGTGGTAGAGCAGGAAGAATCTAGTCTGGGTACCAGTCTTTTTTAGCTAATATTCCACTTCTTGCCACATCTTTGGCAAATGACCAGAGTGGCAAAAAGTGGAATATAATAGCTGAACAGAGATGGCAACCAGGCTAGGAAGAATCCACACTGTATATTCAAATTGCATCCCTTACCAACTCAAAATACTAACACTTTGGCAAAGAATCACAAAAGACGTATTGATCAAGAGTTAACTTTACTATCTCACACAAACTGTATGCATACAGACTTTTGAGATACATCTACACATCAACACTGTATAACTACATAGATGATAAAGAAAAGCAACGTACCATATCAGACACATCCTAGAATGCTTTATGGCTTGATATGGGCTTTCCTGGAATTACTTGGTGTTATAACAAAATAATAATTTTCAGTAATGATTGTAGTTTTGGAATTTACAATTAGTTACATATCTTGCTATCCCCATATTTCAAAGTAGTCTGGTAAAAAATAAAACTTGAGGCCAAGCCTAATAGATACAGAGCCTCATGGCACAAATAGCACAACAGTGCCACTCAGTGGCAGAAGTATTACATAAGGGATAAAGTACTATATATCTCCCAAAATATACATCCATAATCCATGAAATTGACATTTCCTTGTAATATTAAAATAACACATCTTTGAGGGTGAAAGAGAAATCATGAAAGAAAAAGGAAAGCATCTCTTTCCAAACCTAAGTGCAGACAAGCATCGGTTTTTACACCAAGCAAGTATACAAAAGTGGCAAAAAACATTTTATTCCCTGTTAAAAGCTGTGTTTGATTTAGCTCACCCATGACCCTGGAGTGCTGGGTGGGTAGAGTTTGCACTTTTGGGACCATTCCAATGGGACCATTCCAAAGAGTGATCTCTGCCTACCTCACACGTCGAGTTATCTAAATCGAGTGCACCTAAAGAAGTTGTACACAATCATGATATAGAAAGTTAGTTCGGTTATCATGAAGACTCCACCTGGCCAACAGTTGACTGACAGTGTTGGTTGTTTTGGTGTTTCTGCCTGAGGGGATTCAGTGCATAGGGTGCATCCCATAGAAATAGAATGAATTGAACAGACTTGGAACGTCATTCCTTTTCTACAGGATGCACCCCTCTCATTCTAGTTCTGTGGTACATCCATCCCTGTCTGTGCTGCTACAGGTACATGCCGTTGATGAGGTAATCAGACTCCTCGGTGGTGAGGGGGCGGGCCTTCTTCAGCTTGTGGCGGACCAACCGCAGGCGACAGCCAATCATGAGCAGCAGCAAAGCTGTGATGATCAGGCCCAGAGCTAATGGCAGGATCGCACCTGCAGGGGAGAAGACAGAGAAAGGCAAGTCACAGGCACTATCATATACTATCTGTATTTCTGCATGTATAACATAATATTACAGAGTTATAATAAGTTGGTAAGGATGTTGAACAGATCAAAAGAGAACCATGGCGCTCTCCCAGAAGCTTGGCTGGAGCGTAAAACCCGTGAATTCAGACAAACAAAGGGGTGTAATGGGTTCCCACTTCATTATTCTATGTTTTTAATTATTTTCACTGCATCAGGGATAAAGTACACAGATGTTTCGCTTTTACAGCCTTCTTCAGGGTGTAGGTACAATTTTATTTTAATTCAAAACAGCATTTGTAAAGAACAACAGATGAGCAGCTGCTGAACAAACCTGACTCAGGCCCTGGGTGTCCTCCCATTACTAAACGTGGTTTGGATATTGGGAACATGTCACTCTCTGGTAGTGGTTTGGTCTCTGGCCACTTCATGGTCACTTTAGGGGCCTCTGCTGTAAATGTACTGGTTAAGACTGAAACAGGTGAGAGATTGTATTAAGCTCATTCATTATCATGTTCAGGAGTAATCATCACAAGATAATTAAATGTACCTGTCTCTGTGTGTTTGGTGGTGTGGGGAGGTGCCATGGTCGTTTGCTTGATAGCAGGACCTGAATCATTTTGTTTCCATTATTCATTTGCATAATTGTATTCCTACATTATATACACCTCATACAATATGTAATGAGCATGCACATCAGAATCCAGATAATTCTGAAAAAATGTACTCTACTAGCAAAATCCCACCTGTTTTTTTTATACATTCATTGACGCAGTCTGCCTGCTGCAGGAAGTTGTTATGGTTGCCCTTGCAGCCTCCGTAGATGAAGTGCTTGCACTCTTCAGCCACAGGGTCATAGAACCAGCGTGGGAAGATGCCTTTACATGGCCCCACAGCAGGGGGCGCTGCACAGAGCTCTGCTGGGACAGAGAGAGAACAGAGAGAGGGGGAGATTTGGTTTGGTGGAACATAGAGAGAGCAGAGAGAGGGAGGGAGAGATTTGGTCAGGTGGTCTCTGATAAGTCTGCGATAAGGTAACATGGGAAGTCAACCGCCTCGTCTGTCTCAGGCTAGCCTAACCCAGGGATCAGAGGACAGAGGAGTGCTTTGCTCCAGCGCTCAGGGGGGTCATGGGGATGAAGGCCCCCTGCCAGGCTCACTCCTATCCCAGGCCTGCTCACTCCAATCCCAGCCCTACATGTCTCACATATCGCCCCTGTGGCCTGCATTCTACCTTGCTCCAAAGTTTCCAGATCAGCTCTGTGTGTTTGGTGGTGGGGGAGGCTCAATGGCTGCCTGCAGGGGCAGAATCTGCCTCTCTCTGCACTTACTAACACACAAAGGTCTTCCGCTCACCGCTAGCACAGACAAAACTCTGGCCAACTAGAATGATGTGCAGCCATGCCAAATGGATAGAATTCCTTCACAGCTGATCAAAACCTTTATTCTGTAGTTGATGTTAACCCTTACAGGTTTTTGTTTAAAGCTATTTATATGGTGTTTTGATGTGCATTAAATTGCCTACTGGGTTTTTAGCTAGCTAGGTAGTAACATACTGTAGCTAGATAATAGCTACACAATGACAGTACCTTGACTGACAGGGCTCTCCTCTTCACTGTGACTTGGCTGTGGTAAGACTCGGGGCACTGGCTTGCTCCAGTCACCAGACTGTGGAGTCTGTGGGGCTTGTGGTGGAGGTGGTCTGGCCTCCTCCATGGTCTTGCTGGGCCCACCCTGGGCCATGGAGTGGTCCTCAGTCTCCTCTGGCTGGGCCACAGGCCTGTGTGGGCTGGGTAGACCTGCAGGGATGGTCACTGACTTCCTGTTCCCATCAACTGTAGAGAGGAGAGGGTAGGGTCATCTTGGGCTCTCAGACACAGTGCAAACACACATTCACCTGCTCATCATTCATTTACGGCAGCCCTCCTTGCTCTGATATTCCAGCCTGTACTGCATCCTAGTACACTCAAGTCTAAAACTACACTCCATCCTAGTACACTCAAGTCTAAAACTACACTCCATCCTAGTACACTCAAGTCTAAAACTACACTCCATCCTAGTACACTCAAGTCTAAAACTACACTCAAGTCTCAAACTGTACTCCATCCTAGTACACTCAATTCTAAAACGACACTCCATCCTAGTACACTCAATTCTAAAACGACACTTGATCCTAGTATAGTCAAGTCTAAAACTACACTCAAGTCTCAAACTGTACTCCATCCTAGTACACTCAATTCTAAAACGACACTCCATCCTAGTACACTCAATTCTAAAACTACACTCCATCCTAGTATAGTCAAGTCTCAAACTACACTCCATCTTGGTACTATCAAGTCTAAAACTACACTAAAGTCTCAAACTACTCTCCATCCTAGTACACTCATCAAGTCTCAAACTACAATCCAACCTAGTACACGCAAGTCCACACAGGAAACCTACAGCCCTCTATATTATTATTATATTAGAATATGATTGTAATATATTACAACAACATTTGATTCATGTAGCCCTTTACACTGGTACCTGTATACGGGTTGAAAATGGCAGATTTGGGCACTAATAAGCGCCTAAATTGGAACGTAGTGGCTGTACGGTAACGTGGGTTGTCTGACAGCTGCTGTATGGGTTTTGAGTGACAGATGTTCTGAACATGAACACCACTCGTGACAAGTTGCCCCCATCCCTCCCGGTAATAGGGCAACTTTTTATTTTTGTCTGAGTGAGGGAAATGCTGTAAATGAAGATTACTCTTTGTATTTTGAAAGATGAGATGTTGAGGATTATAATAAATACCGCGTTGATGTCATACAAGCAAGCCAGACAGTCCAAATGTGTACTTAACATCTCTAAATCATAAAACGCATGTCCTATACAGTGTCAACGTTTATGATCACTATGTTTGATGTATAGTTACAAGATGACATGTCGTCATACCCTGGGTATGTTTGTTTATTGTGAAGAAAAGTCGCCGCAGCACACGCACCTGAATTCACGCATGACTCCTTTCTATGCACACCAAAATGACGATCTGTTTCTCTGAATTGCCATGTAAAAGCCTACCACTGTAAGATCGTATTTTATAACTTAGCTAGTCATGTTGGTAATAGAACAAGCTTTCAAATCATGCCCACCTGACCCAGATTGCAATTTATAATGGACTGTTTTTGGGGATTGCGTAAACAACAACAGTAGTTGTGTGATGGCGGGGATGCAGGGTTGTGTTCCAAACTAAACAACTACAAGTGTGCTTGCTCTAGTTCCTCAACGGCACAGCTAGGAGAGCTCAAAAAAGTACCTTATAGTTGAAAACTCTTCTTTGAGTCATAAAATGCATTGAAATTGCTTAGGAACTGTGCACACTGTGGAGAGTCCACATGGAGACACCAGTTTGTCCTCTTACTCAAACCCGTGTCATTTCTTTGTCTTATGTTGCACCTACCTCACATTCTCCAGGAATAGTCTTAGCATTTTACTGAATGTATCCAGAAGATTTCACTATCAACAAATGCGGCAAAAAGTACAGTAAATGTAAAATTCACACTTGTGTCAGGTGAACTGTTGTGTTCTCACCTTTGGTCTAATAATTTTCCCATTATCACCAAACTGTTCCCTTTCAATTGCTACCATCGTTATGCATATGCTTTTCATATTTCTTCTGTAAGAAACATTTCAATTTAGCCCTCTCCATATAGGCCAATTCCCAGGGTTAACCTTTGTTTTTACAGCAAAGCCAACCATTTCCAGGAGCTCCTGCCTCCCTGTGGCTGTCAGTGTGAGGAGGACAGACTAATGTGAGTGACTCACAGCTCCGGCAAAAACCTTGTCCCAGCGGTCCGGACAATGCTGCTTCCTGTCATGGTATGACAGTCCCCAGGTATACTTAACATTCTTCCTATGGATGCTTTGTTAAAGTGCTGTTCTGTGTATTCAATAGGTCACCCATCTTATATTTGTTGGAATTCAGGATAAGACTGAAGAAATGGATAATAGTACATTGGACCCATTATGTTACTGTAATATCGGTCTTTGAGGATATTCATCCCTTATAGGTTTAGACACATCTTATATAGGCCTTGTGACAGTGACCTTCATACTCCAGCTCCAGAAACAACCCCCACCCTCTTCGTCTGTTCATTACTCTAGATCAACGGTTCCCAAACGTTTTCACTCAGGCCCCCCTTCCAGCATTGGGGAACATCCCACGCGCCACATCTATTTCTATGGGCACAAGCACTGTTCATTACACAAACTGTTTACACCCCTCTTGTTGGCAGATAGAACATTTAGCAGTTTTAAAGCTGATTTCCTGCAATTTTACACATTTTGTCATGGGTGTTGATACATTTTTGCAGTTTGAAAGCTCATTTCCTGCAATTGTACACATATTGTCATGTCTTATGTATGTCCATGTGATATTTCAGTGACTCAAACATTACAACAAAATGGGCTAAAAAACCTAGCTAAAATTGTTTAACTGTCATGGGCTAGTTGATATGGACAATTCTGACAAGTTTAAATAGCTCTCTGAGGTATGCAATGACTGACATGACGAGGAAAGCTGATGATGCACTACCCAATTACGAAATTGCACCTTGTGCATTCTACTATTACAACTTTCAAGAGTAAGTTGAACGCCGGACTGAGTTCCTTATCTCATCCATATCTGCATATCTCATCCATGGCCCCTCAATGCAGTGAATAGATCAAAATGATTCCCTGCCATATGAATGGCCGTATCAGGCCGCCAGCCAATTGACTAGGGGAGAACTACTCAATTCGTTTGAGCACTAAATAGCAGGTTCTCTTTCATTATCCAATGGATTCAATCCATGGAGGCATGGATTCAATTGCAGTGCAAAGTTCACTGCCTGTATTGCAATTGTACAGTTAACAGGATCACAGAGAAGCACAAATCAATTTTACCACAACAACACAACATTGCTATTGACATTAGCAGAAATGAGGCGAGATCCACTAATGAATGATAGATGAACATGAGGAGTCACATCTGGCTAGTAATAACTTTCAGTCAGAGAGGAGATTGAAGTGTTTGTCACCTTCAGCTTGGTGTTTTGGAGCCAGCACTGTCACAGTGACATTGTCTGAGCTCTTCTGTCCCGCGGTGTCGGTGACAGTCATCTGGAAGGTAAAGGCGCCCTTCTGTAGACCACTGATTTTCAGTAACCCTGGCTGGGTCACCTACAGAGGTAAAGGGATAACATTTTAGACAGAAAGCAAAGACACAGCCTACTGGAAACATTGGGCTGGTTTCAAGGACGCCATGTCCTAGTTACAAACAAAGACCAAAACACAATTTCTAAAGTAAAATCTAAATGACACAAAGCGTTTATCAGTCCCAAGTTTGTTAAGAGAGTCACGTTTATTACGAGTTTTCCACTAACTAAAAACTCACTATTTCATATCACTTCTCAGCCCACAACAGGGCTCTTGTCCCTGGGGCAGGTCGGATATAACAACCTCTTATCTACATCTGTGCAGCAGGGTATTATGGATCTCTGGCTGCACCATGCAAAAATCCATGTTGACTATACTACCGCATTGTATGGCTCACCTTATAACAAAGAGACAGCCGTGATTTTCAGACCTGCTATATCAGAGCTAACTACAGTGCAACATTATGACATTCAAGATTACAACTCTCAGGAGTATATGAAGATCACTTTATTTGTCAATTGTACACAAGGTCCAACTGTTGAGCTGAATCTCAGGAGTGAATCAAAGAACTACACTTCCCAGAGTGCACCAGCAGCAGCAAACCGGCTGCTTGTCACCTGATCAATCATTTTCACTGATTTGGAGCACCTGTGAAGGCATGGAGGGGCTCAGTCATTCAGAAGAACAAACTTCAGAAAGAAGATTCCAAGTTCACTCACAGGTTCAGTCCAAAGACGCCAATGGTAAAAGGCTTAAATGGTTAATTCATTTAAGTTATTTAGAATGTTTATTTAAATGTTTAAACTAATTTAAGTTAATTAAAATGTTTAATTAAAATGGTAACTTTTTGTTCTGTCTTTAAAGGTTTACAACCTAATGTACTGGCTAATTTACTGGACAGACCAATCAACTGAAAGCAAACTAAAAATAAAAAAGATTGAGTTGGAAATTTGAGTTGTCCCTGTGTCCTTTGGATGGTGAACAAGAGGAGGACTTGACACCAACCGAAATGTGACTTCCACTTTATCCCAAACCATCCAAAGGCCACATACTTCTTATTTTTCTTCTTTGGTATCATGGCTTTGGCACATTTGTTTGTGCATGACGCCACCTACTGTGTGGGAGTCTGTGGTCGATCCCGTTACATTTTGTGATACAAAAATAAAAAGGAAGGTTAAAATTGCAGCACCAACTAACCCTACACCTATATACCACTATTTCATAAAAAATAAAAAATAAAAATAAATAAACACCACCCCATTCCACTACTTTGACCCTAACTGATCCTACACCAGGCCAATGGCCTGGGAGGACGGGACTCTTTCGTTCAACACACCTTGTAACTTCTGCAGTAAAACCTCATACACCAAAGTCTTTGCAGCTGCCACCACATCATCTATTCTCTGTGATTTATGTTCAATTTCTGCGGTACAGTTGATAACCATGGCAATGAATGCTAAGAAGCCATACCACTCTGTTTTGGCCTAGGCCTACTACTCACCCTTGACCATCATCCTCTACTCTCTTCACTGCCTCAGCATACGACACCTTCTGTTCTACTCTGACACTGGCAACCTCAACCTGTCTCTCTCGCACCGGGCACTTCTGATCCCCAGCAACATTGGCACACACAGTTTTTTCCACCGATACTACACATTCCTTTGTCCCATGCCCTCCCTCTTGCATACTTCTCACATCTCGGAATCTCCCTCCTACACACTGCTGCAACATGACCATAAGCTTGGCATCTGAAATACCTTAGTGGGTTTGGCATAAATGCTGTCACTGGATAACTGACATATCCTAATATGACTTTGTCACGTAAAGACTCTGCTTCAAAACTCAAAAGGACAGACAGTGTCTTCTCAGTTTCACCACGCTTGCCACCGGGTCTGCGTCGCACCAAATGGCGGGTATCACAGACACAGGGAATCTTCCATTTCAGTTGCTCCACCTCAACGCCACCCCAGTAATCACTCCGTTCAAAGGCGCCCTGTTCCGGAGAGCAAAGCAAGTCACAGGTCTTGTCATGAGGCGTGTGACGCGAAGTGCCCGCTCCCTCTGGACGGAAGAAACACAGAAAAAAGTATACTTCAAGCTACCTTCACCAATTTAACAGTAGCTAATTTATTTTCTACCCAGCCTGAGACTACATATGGGTCAGCCAAAAGGCAGGGATCAACTTTCTCCCAAAATCTCACTCCCACTGGGCCAGAATCATCCTTTGCATGACCATCGGGACGAGCCTCTTACTCGGAGGTCTTCACCACAACTGCCACAGCAGATAATTCATCCTCATTTCGTCAGGTTCAATTACTGAGCCATCAGAGACAGCAGAGTACGGTTTGTAGTACTTGACACCATTCTTCCTCAATACACATCTTCCCTCTGCACTCTGCGCTTCTCTTTCTTCCTCGCTGTCCATAACCACGTCTATCTGTTCCCCACGCTCATGCCGCGCCTTCATCCGCTGTACTGTTTGCAGAACACGCACTGATGGCATTTCTACAAAACCCACCTTCTGTTCGTTAGCCCAATTTTACTAGTCTGGCTATTTTTGGCATCTCCATGCTCACAAAACGTGCCACAGTCGTCAGCCAGGTCTCCTCCTCGTCATCCATCTTCGGACAGGACACACATACATACCGGTATACAGGTTGGAGTGGGGGGTTGCCACACTGGGCGCCCGTGGAGCTGTTGTTATGGGGGGTTAAGTGCCTTGCTCAAGGGCACACCAGCAGACAATGGCATCTAGGATTTGATACCAGCAACCCTCCAGTTGCCAGCTCACTTGCCACCAATTTTTTCCGTTAGACCCGGGATTCTACCTGACCACCCTCCGGCTGCTGGCTAGCCTCTTTATCCGCTAGTCTACCTGCCCCACATTTTCAACCAATGACACCTGCTTCATTGTTTTCAGTGCACTCTTCTGTGTTTCAGTGTTTACCTTCATGTTGATGGCCGGGTCACCCTTCACCATGGCCCATTCGTAGCGGGTGACCCCATGGTCGTCCACACTGTCCCGGCCGTCCAGTACCGCCCAGTTAGTGGGCAGCTGGATGACTACATCCTGGCCGGCATCACTGCGGGGTGGCTCGTCCATGTCTGAAAACAACCCAGTCAGAGCTAACCTTGTCAAACGCACCTGGATTCACTCACTCAGATTAAATCTAATTTTAGAAGCAGGGGGCAATAGCAAATTATTAACCCAAGCCAAACACCAGTCTGATAATTGCTAGGGGTTATGAGAACAGAATTAACAGCAACCAGTTAGGTATGCATTATGAATGTTTTATCATAAGCAATACACTTGCATGTATATTGTATCTTATTGAAAACCTGTGATTTATATTCAATATAATTAACAGCAGACAGAACCTCACCTGGCATTTGAGTGTCATCATCAACTCTAGGTTTTTCCTCAGGTCTCCTAATCAAATTGACCAATTTGTTCACATCTCCATTGCCACTGGAGGAGGTGAGGTGTCCTGTTGTATTGTGATACCGACTGTAGGTGCTAAACCCTGCCTGTGCTGCGAATGAACATACGTTTTTATTTCTATAGGTGCAGCTGAACAAATAGCAGCTGAGGCTGTCGTCCGACTGTCTCAGGTCCTCCTGGACCACCGCCACGGTGCAGTGAGGGTCTGCGCAGCAGGCATGGAGACAGTCTTTCCAACTGTACACCCGGTCAGGAGCCGAGAGGAAGGTGGCCCCCTGCTCAATGGAGGCACTGGCTCGGATGATGTGCTCCTCTACGGCGTTGAAATCAGCCAGGCAGACGTCAACCACCTCCTCCTCCTCCCTGGTATACGTCTGGTCCTGTTGGAGCTGCTTGCGGAATTCCTCTAAGAGCTCCTCCACCCCCGATATTTTAGATTTCAAGTCCGATATTTGAGAGGACCGGGTTTGAATGCTAGTCACTATACAGAGCAGCAGCATACACGAAATGAGTCGATGATGCTGAGCCAAAGCCATTATGTTTACGCAGTTAAATAGCATCCCTCTCAGCTATTTTCCGACAGATGAGCAGAGGCCCTTCTTATTTCAACACCAGAAACCTATAACGCAAAAAGAAAAATCATCATATTGTTCCATCTGCTTGTTTCATATCCAATAATCTAGAGTCCCAGGTGAGCACTTGTGCTTCTTCTTCTTATTATTATTTTTTTCTGCGATGCTAAAGGCCTTTTGTCGGTATCATGACCGCACTGCGCAGGGAGCGCCCAACATCCGTAGCGCAGGACATCCACATCCAGCCACAGTGATTGGAGGCCTAAAGAAAGTATTGACGTCACGGATGATGTTTCATACTCAGTCTCTGCACACCTGTCAATTTTGGTTTTATGCAACTCGCTATGATAGAGATATGTCTGCCAGATTAAGAAAAACTGTAGATTTACTGAATATTATTTGACTATTAGACCTGTGAATATTTTGAAATCATTTACATTACATTTAAGTCATTTAGCAGACGCTCTTATCCAGAGCGACTTACAAATTGGTGCATTCAACTTAGGAAATCATGGCACATTATTTGTGTTCAGTTCATTATTTCAGTTTACACTTTATTTCACATGTACATTAAGACACATTTTTGTGTTACACAACAATATGTTATTGCACAAATAACGTCATAAATCTATCATGAATATGAAACAAAACGGACACATTTGAACGAAACATAATTTGTGTATTTCTGACAGAATAACAGGTTGGTGGTATAACAATATGAAAATGTCTTTTCAGTTATGATTTTAATTCAAACATATACATTTGATTGAAAGCAATTTTTAAAGATAATATATAGGCTACAAATGAAAGCAGGCTAAATAAAACTCCATACCGCCATAAATCTTACAGAGTAAAATATTAATTGGGTCCTCAGGTTTTTCCTATCAAATATAAACATTTGACAAAATTTGAATTAAAATGCGTAAATTACATCATAATTTTGTTCCATTGCCAGTATCAATAATATCTCTAAAATATAGCTGAAGGCAGCAATGGATAGGGTTCACAGGATGACAAAATGGACAAGCTCGGTTGGGTAACAAAGCAAGCACTCTGTCATGCTGGAACCATCTTCCTTTATGTGCAATCAAAATATGGAGTATCTGACATATGGTTGATGAGGAGAAGATGATTTTGAGCATTAGCATTACATATGCAAAGAATGAGTTGTTAATAGTTTCCTTGTTTTTTGAGATATCAATACCACATTTACCATGATAGCGATGACAAGTTTAAATGTGATAGGCCACTGTGGAGTGGATTTACAGTTGTTTAGATGGACACGTAAAATCGGATTTCCTGATTTAACAATAACTCAGCCATCTTTTGACCAATCCCTTAGCATTGACGTCACGGATGATGTTTCATATTCAGTCAGTTTTGGTTTTATGCATCTCCCTATGATAGAGATATGTCTGCAGGATTAAGAAGAACTGAATATTTATTTAATATTATTAGGCTACTAGACCTGTGAACATTTTGAAATCATGACACATTATTTGTGTTCAGTTGTAGAAATGTAAGGTCCATAATAGTCCCTAAGTATTATTTCAGTTTACACTTTATTTCACAGTTACGTTTTTAAGACACATTTTTGTGTTACAGAACAATATGTTTCATGAATATGAAACAAAATGGACACATTTCAACAAAACTTAATTTTGGTGTCATTTGGTACTATGGTTCATGTAAATAAGTTTCAAAGATGGAGGAAAATCTATCCTGACGGACCTTATGGGTCCTTGAGGCAAATTTGTTCAGCATGAGGAAAGAGGCCTACTTACAAAGTTTCAAGTCTCTAGGTCAAACAGGGCGGCGGATATGAGGGTTTAAGTGAGAATACTTATAACAGCGCCAGCTTTGCTGTGAACCCCTGATTAGCCAACACAAATTTGCGTTACACATTTGATATGACATCTAGCCGTTTGTAAATTGTTTAACTGAAAATAGTAATTTACTGTCAATAAAATGTGCTATATATTTAGATAATTTACCCCATCATATGTAAATGATGTAAAAAAATTACTTGGACAAAATAAGTCAAGAGCTATGATGTTTCAAAGCCTTCAAAGCCAGTTAAACAAACAGGTACAAAAGGGCAGGCATGCAGTGATGGCGTTGAGAGTAGGCCATATCCATAAAAGCACATTTAAATAAAACAGTGATAAGAAGCCACTAGCAATAACAATGTTGTTTATCAAGATAATGTACAGATCAAACACATCAGTTAACGTTGTATTTTGTCTCTCAGGCTTGTTTTAGAAAATGGTCAATCTAATGAAAGTAAACACATGTAAGGGGAGAATTCTACAACCAAATAACATTTAACATTTAAAGGTTAAATTGTCAGATATGTTTCACTGTTTGCCCTGTGAATCTTGGAGCACCTGCTTAAAATGTGTCATAACTGTTGAACATGATAAAACCAGTGGCACTTATTTACTTTTACATGAAAAAGTAACCCCATTTGAAAATAGTAATTTCCAAAAACAATTTCCATAACCCAACAAGGTCTCTCACACACACACACAGAGTTCTACAACTCACGTGTCAATACTCCATACATGATAAACTACACTGGAGCTGTCCCCCATCAGGACTGAGTCTTGGTCTGATAAATACTGAGATTAAAGTGCAGTAGTGAGTGTTGAGAATACTGAGTTGTTGTTGTTGTTGTGGTAAATGTCCTGTACTATAGAGGTGGCTAACTAGACACAAGGGCTCCACACACTGGTTTCTGTCTGTAGTCTGTGATGGCCTTCCATAGCTTACACAGCATCCCACCTCTGAGGAGGAAAACATGAGAAAGATGAAGAGAGACTGTTATCACCACTTGCGATATTACAGTGTTTCAATCAGGTATTTGACATGGCTGGGTATTTGACAGTGTGGGAGAGAATACTGTATGTTGTATACCTTAATCCCAAACTCTTCAGGTCATCTCTCATCACATACTGGAGAAGGTCATCCAAAGTGTAATCCTCGGTCAAAATCTACAAAATGGAAAATGGTTCATGGATAAAATCATAGGTACCTGAAAGAGATTAAGCTCGGGGCCAATAGATGGTGCTCAACTGTGTATCTGTTATAAAGGCTTTACACATACAGTATGCATAAAGCGTACTAACAATCAATGAATAGCCTCCAGGTACACCCAGGCCGTTAGTCTTAACAGCTTTACAACAATGCAAACAGTTTACTGTAGTATAGGGGGATAGGGTTACATGGACGTGAGTTTGTTTACATAGGACCTACCCTGTCCATGGAGTCATCGTCAGCCCCATGGAGTCTCAGCCACTTGATCAGCTCTGGGTCCCCATGGCTCGCAGTGGACTGGCTCCTCTGGCTCACAGATGATGTAGGCATATCTGTCACACACATAAGTACATGTCCAACTATTAACATCTACCATATAACCAATCATAGAAGACATATCAAATAATATGCATTGTCTGTTTCCTGATGTTTGTTTTGTACAAATATTTCCATTAGTCCTTTAAAAAGCAGTCTTTTTAATGCTCGTGCTCTCAGATAAAGGTGTGTACTAGTGTATGTTGGGATGTGCTCACCGACGTGTTCTGAGCGGATCCTCAGTAGTTTGATCTCCTGTTCCCTCTCATCCAGGACATCCTGGAGGACAGCCTGGTACTCTCTCTCCCTCGCCAGCAACTTCTCCATCAGCCTGTGGTGACACAGCAGGGAGAGAGGAGGGGAGGGGGAGACACAGGGTCATTCAATGAGGTAATGCAATACTACTAAACACGGTTACTGCAGGCGCCATGATGAAAATAGCCAAAATAAACATATTTGTGTTTAGGCCCCTGTGTTGGGGCCCTTCTACATAACATAATTTACATTGGTGAAGAAACAATGTGAAGCTACAGGCAATAACTACTACTGATTGATCACAGATGTGGTGTTAGTAGCAAAGGTTGTAGTTTTGTGTCTGACAGTCGTTGTCATGGTTACGACAGCACGACGACCCACCTCTTGGTTTCCAGCTTCATCCTGCCTAGTTCCATGGTGACGGAGTGCTGGGCATTATGGGATCTGTGTGAAACGGTGGAACTGAGCGTGCTCACGCCGGAGGTGGCGACCGTGTCGTCATGGACAGTGTTGGGAGGGGCTCTGCTCTGATGGGCGGAGTTATCCTCAGGCTCCACGTCATCGTCGATGTTATCTTGATCGGCCGGATCATCCTCCGAGGCCAGGCTGAAGTGGGGCCTCAGCTCTGAGTAAGGACACATGATACATCATTACACCGTTACAGCAATACTAGCAATATCATGACAACTACTTCATATCCAACAGCTAAACTGCACCTTGAAAGAGGTAACATGAAACATTAAGCCTCAATAAAGATCACAGTATGATTACAATAATCTTTAAATGCAATTGTTATAACAACATCTGACTGGTTGACACATTTCTATAATATTCTTGTTAAATGCCCCATATACATAGTATCTAGTGCATCTCTGTATCCAAGGTTACACATCTATCTTATGATTAGATTGGGGCTCTGTTTAAAGTCATACTCCTATGTTTAGTTGGCGGCCAGTGTCCTGGGCCCTAGGGGGCATAATATATCGTTTAAAACTCTGGGGCTAGAGACACAGCTATTACCTGGCACCAGGATGGTGATGGCAGTCTGCACCGCTTTACGGATGATATTGTCCAGGGCGAACATCCAGTGGGGCTTGATGTTGTGGTTTCGTAGTACTTTGTTTACCTGGCGATGCATTGGTCAGTCACACCACACACACACACACACACACACACACACACACACACACACACACACACACACACACACACACACACACACACACACACACACACACACACACAATCCATTAATAAACAGCTGATCCACACACACGTACTACAGACACGTATGCATCCACATCTACCAGTATCCTCCACATTTGTGGAAAGGAAAACAGACTCCAGCGGTTGTCTGTTTACATTGCATGTGGTGGTTGCCCAGTAATCTGAGATATCCCCCTATATAATGAGTCTATGGAAACAGCATTTCCCAGAAATAAAGAGAGACAGCCATTTATAAAAAGCCATGCATTCTGGAAAATCCAAGTGTGAAAAACAAGTCTGTATCGTGAATTGAATTGATAATCATATTTTTCAGACAGTGCACCCATTAGACCAGAGCTGGTTTCATATGTATCCACTAGGGGGTATCAAAGCTCAGTATTGACTGAGACGTAATACCTCACAGCCAGCTACAGGCTAGTGTCATTTCATTTGCATAATTGTATTTGTGAGGCAGAGGACAGAATCAGCCTCTTTAAATGATGTGCTTTAAGCTGACACATTTCCCTTCTATTACCCTTTCTTAAAGGTCAAAAGTGTTTCACAGTCAATTGTCTGAACTGTTTGTTTAAACAATGGCAGCATGGCGACATAATTCAGTTGAGAACAATTCACAGAAATCCCCTTGAATCATACTTCAATGTCTCCAGAGCCTTTGGTCTATACAAGGACAATTTAAATTCCAACCCATTCACAGTGGATAAATAGACAATGGGATATTTTAATTATCATAGGCCATATAATGCTTATAGAGAGAGCTACTAATAGGTGAAGAAAGAGCACTTACTGCGTCCTGGAACCCAAATAGCACCACCTGTAGTTGGCTAATGGCCGTGCTGTCAAAGTCTAGCTCCAATTTGAGCTGGGAGAGGGTGCTGGCTATGATCTTCCTGTCCGCCATGCGCACAAAGTCCCCCAGACTGACCACCAGGGTGGAGATATGCTGATGTCTCAACTTAGTGTCCGATGTCTCAGAACCCTGCACAGACAGGGGAGAGGAGGATGGAGAGAAGGGGTGATGAGAGGAGGGTGAAGGTGAAGAAAGGAGTCCAGATGATAAGGGGTTTGTTTTCCTCTTTAGACAGTCCCTCATCTAGCCTGGTCCCAGATCTGTTTGTGCTGTCTTGCCAACTCATATGGTCATTGTCATGCCGCGTGACACACCAGGGCACAAACAGAACTATGCCCAGGCTACCCCTCACCCTGTCCACTACCAGACTAGATGCTAACTGACCTGTTTGAGAGCCTCCACGAGGTTGGCCACCACCTTGTCTCTGTCCTCAGTGAGGATGCGGTGTAGAGTGGCCCTCCTCTCGCTGTCCTTCCTCAGCATGAAGAAGCCAGAGTCCTTCTCATCAGGAGACGGAGGAGCACTGTGGTCCTCAAAGTTCTCCACTGGGATACTGGTGGGGAACACAGGTTAGATTAGAGAGACCAGGGATTATTTTTTGTAAACATATTTGTACAGCAGAATAACAAAGTTCACAAATATTACATGACATTCTTTGGCATCGTGGTATAAATGCGATAAATGACTCCGCTCTGTACGTTATCTGGAACTAATGTACTCCGTAGATGTACAAGATACCTACGTTGTCCATTATTTCCAGATCATGTAGAGCGTCAGCGTTTATCTCTTTCCTCCAGATTTTGTTTTTCTGGCACTGCTTATTGTCAGATGAATTGAGATGGTAGAGGTGCAGTGTTAGTGTGTTTTTGTGATCTCAAACCCAAAATGCTGGAGTGAAGAGACACATAAAAATGTTAGTTTCACAAATACATATGGTGCTGACTGTATGTTGTGTTACCTGAGGAACAGGGAGCGGGTTGCTTTGACGTCCCGATCCCTGTAACACTTGGTGCTGGGCTTGAAGATGAAGGGGTTGGTGTTGAGGTCGTTCTCAGGGGAGATGGAACCATACTCGCTGCTGCTGCTGGTGTCTTCCACCACCACAGGCACTGGCAGAGAGATGCTGCGCAGGTACTCTGGATGGCACAGAGACAGATACAGGCAGGCGGACACAGTTACAACACTGTTACACAAAGAAAACCAGAGCCTTCTGGTTCTTTTACATTACAGTACTACTTCTGTGAGTGAATCATCTCAGGGTAGGGTTGTCAACATGACAATTGGTTTAGCCTAATGTCGTTAGGCTCAGACTCAGTGTACTCTAAAGAGGAAGAAGCACAGACAAGCGCTCAAATGAACTCACCTGAACCTCCTGGTGTCAGAGCTGAGGAGAAAAACAGATATTTTTATTCAATGATATGAATTATGGAAAAACAACAACAAAAAGTATCTAAAACATAAAGTATCTAGTAGCAATAGTCTTTCTATTCAGATATATCTATATCCTACTAACTACTTCACTGATTGACCGGTGAAGCGTTGTCCTAGCTACCTGTAAAGCTGCTCTTGCCCCTCTTCTTGCGGCTGGTGACGGTGAGGAACTCATCAGTGAGCAGGTGCAGGGCGGTGGCCCTCTGGTCGGGGTCGGGCTCAAAGCAGCGTAGGATAAAGTCCTTGGCCTCCATTGACATGGAATCTGGGATCTCAGGATGGATCTTGAACATGCCAACCTGTAGCCAAGATAAAACACAGCACAGTAATGCTTGAGCTAAGAACCTGCAGCTACAGCCAAGATGAAACCCAGCCATGTTAGAGCTAAGGGCCTAACCTGTAGTCAAGTCAAAACAACAAGTCAAGTGACCTAGCCAAATCACCTAGCCAAGTCATGCTAAAGCTAAGAGCATACAGGACCAAGGGAACCTCAGAGAGGGCAGTCACTTAGAAGAAAGTCAGTAAGACGAGAGTTGGCTTGATTGAGGTGACATTAGTTTATGGATGGTGAACTGATCTCTTTTAACCCATCGCTCTGTGGCGCTGTAACACTATGCAGGTGAGCTCATGCCATCACAGTACAGGAGGTCAAGTTGACAGTGAAGGACGAATGCAGCAACTCCAGGCAAGAAGCTCGTCTGATGATAGGCACTACAAATTCCAAACATTGCTCCGGAATGTAGGCTTGAGATTAGGAATGTAATGCCCCTCCCAGTGGAGACATTCCAAAATATTAAGTGGAGCAGGAAAGTTTATGTGAGGATTGTTGCCAAATGCTTTCTCATCTGTATAACAGTATAGATGAAAAATGACTGCATGAATTTCTAAGTGGTAGTTGCTCATGTAAGCCATTACATAGAAAGATGACAGTGTTAGGAAAAGCATTACACCAGTGATGAATCTGCACTTTCTTAAGTCACACAGGATGAGACAGACAGAATAGCTGCTGAATGTCTTCTAAAAGGTGGTTACATGTGTTCCATTCGAGATCTAATAAAACCTGCTACAAAACAGTGGTTTAAAAGCACTGGAAAATGCACAGCAATTTACTACTGTAATTCAATTCTTGCCCGCATTCCACATGATCTTCATCACACTCCGCAGAATACCCAGTTGGATCATTAGCTCTAGTCAAATCAAATCAAATCAAATTGTATTGGTCACATGCGCCGAATACAACAGGTGCAGACATTACAGTGAAATGCTTACTTACAGCCCTTAACCAACAGTGCATTTATTTTAAACAAAAAAAGTAAGAATAAAACAACAACAAAAAAAGTGTTGAGAAAAAAAGAGCAGAAGTAAAATAAAGTGACAGTAGGGAGGCTATATATACAGGGGGGTACCGTTGCAGAGTCAATGTGCGGGGGCACCGGCTAGTTGAGGTAGTTGAGGTAATATGTACATGTGGGTAGAGTTAAAGTGACTATGCATAAATACTTAACAGAGTAGCAGCAGCGTAAAAAGGATGGGGTGGGGGGGGCAGTGCAAATAGTCCGGGTAGCCATGATTAGCTGTTCAGGAGTCTTATGGCTTGGGGGTAGAAGCTGTTGAGAAGTCTTTTGGACCTAGACTTGGCACTCCGGTACCGCTTGCCGTGCGGTAGCAGAGAGAACAGTCTATGACTAGGGTGGCTGGAGTATTTGACAATTTTGAGGGCCTTCCTCTGACACCGCCTGGTATAGAGGTCCTGGATGGCAGGAAGCTTTGCCCCAGTGATGTACTGGGCCGTACGCACTACCCTCTGTAGTGCCTTGCGGTCAGAGGCCAAGCAGTTGCCATACCAGGCAGTGATGCAACCAGTCAGGATGCTCTTGATGGTGCAGCTGTATAATTTTTTGAGGATCTGAGGACCCATGCCAAATCTTTTTAGTCTCCTGAGGGGGAATAGGCTTTGTCGTGCCCTCTTCACGACTGTCTTGGTGTGTTTGGACCATGATAGTTCGTTGGTGATGTGGACACCAAGGAACTTGAAGCTCTCAACCTGTTCCACTACAGCCCCGTCGATGAGAATGGGGGCGTGCTCAGTCCTCTTTTTTTTTCCTGTAGTCCACAATCATCTCCTTTGTCTTGGTCACGTTGAGGGAGAGGTTGTTGTCCTGACACCACACGGCCAGATCTCTGACCTCCTCCCTATAGGCTGTCTCATCGTTGTCGGTGATCAGGCCTACCACTGTTGTGTCGTCGGCAAACTTAATGATGGTGTTGGAGTCGTGCCTGGCCATGCAGTCATGGGTGAACAGAGAGTACAGGAGGGGACTGAGCACGCACCCCTGAGGGGCCCCCGTGTTGAGGATCAGTGTGGCAGATGTGTTGTTACCTACCCTTACCACCTGGGGGCGGCCCGTCAGGAAGTCCAGGATCCAGTTGCAGAGGGAGGTGTTTAGTCCCAGGATCCTTAGCTTAGTGATGAGCTTAGAGGGCACTATGGTGTTGAATGCTGAGCTGTAGTCAATGAATAGCATTCTCACGTAGGTGTTCCTCTTGTCCAGGTGGGAAAGGGCAGTGTGGAGTGCGATAGAGATTGCATCATCTGTGGATCTGTTGGGGGCGGTATGCAAATTGGAGTGGGTCTAGGGTTTCTGGGATTATGCTGTTGATGTGAGCCATGACCAGTCTTTCAAAGCACTTCATGGCTACAGACGTCAGTGCTACGGGTCGGTAGTCATTTAGGCAGGTTATCTTAGAGTTCTTGGGCACGGGGACTATGGTGGTCTGCTTGAAACATGTTGGTATTACAGACTCAGTCAGGGACATGTTGAAAATGTCAGTGAAGACACTTGCCAGTTGGTCAGCACATGCTCGGAGTACACGTCCTGGTAATCCGTCTGGCCCTGCGGCCTTGTGAATGTTGACCTGCTTAAAAGTCTTACTCACATCGGCTACGGAGAGCGTGATCACATAGTCATCCGGAACAGCTGGTGCTCTCATGCATGCTTCAGTGTTGCTTGCCTCGAAGCGAGCATAGAAGTGGTTTAGCTCGTCTGGTAGGATTGTGTCACTGGGCAGCTCGCGGCTGTGCTTCCCTTTGTAGTCTGTAATAGTTTTCAAGCCCTGCCACATCCGACGAGCGTCAGAGCCAGTGTAGTATGATTCAATCTTAGACCTGTATTGACTCTTTGCCTGTTTGATGGTTCGTCGGAGGTCATAGCGGGATTTCTTATAAGCGTCCGGGTTAGAGTCCCGTTCCTTGAAAGCGGCAGCTCTACCCTTTAGCTCAGTGCGGATGTTTCCTGTAATCCATGGCTTCTGGTTGGGGTATGTACGTACGGTCACTGTGGGGACGACATCATCGATGCACTTATTGATGAAGCCAGTGACTGATGTGGTGTACTCCTCAATGCTGTCTGAAGAATCCCGGAACATGTTCCAGTCTGTGCTAGCAAAACAGTCCTGTAGCTTAGCATCTGCGTCATCTGACCACTTTTTTATTAACCGAATCACTGGTGCTTCCTGGACTACACTAGTGTTTAATGGACTACATATGTGCAGTCTATGTAATATTGCTGATGAGGAAAACACCTGAAATGCCCACTTCAGATTAATACAAGTGGAAAAAGCTTGAGGAGGGCTCATCAGTGGAACGGAGACTTAAAACAACACACAAAGGATAGACTGTACTACACAGTCTACCTCTAGGTACTAGGTCTAATCTCACAGTTGAATAAGTACAGTGGGGAGAACAAGTATTTGATACACTGCCGATTTTGCAGGTTTTCCCTACTTACAAAGCATGTAGAGGTCTGTAATTTTTTATCATAGGTACACTTCAACTGTGAGAGACGGAATCTAAAACAAAAATCCAGAAAATCACATTGTATGATTTTTAAGTAATTAATTTGCATTTTATTGCATGACATAAGTATTTGATACATCAGAAAAGCAGAACTTAATATTTGGTACAAAAACCTTTGTTTGCAATTACAGAGATCATACGTTTCCTGTAGGTCTTGACCAGGTTTGCACACACTGCAGCAGGGATTTTGGCCCACTCCTCCATACAGACCTTCTCCAGATCCTTCAGGTTTCATGGCTGTCACTGGGCAATACAGACTTTCCGCTCCCTCCAAAGATTTTCTATTGGGTTCAGGTCTGGAGACTGGCTAGGCCACTCCAGGACCTTGAGATGCTTCTTACGGAGGCACTCCTTAGTTGCCCTGGCTGTGTGTTTCTGGTCGTTGTCATGCTGGAAGACCCAGCCACGACCCATCTTCAATGCTCTTACTGAGGGAAGGAGGTTGTTGGCCAAGATCTCGCAATACATGGCCCCATCCATCCTCCCCTCAATATGGTGCAGTCGTCCTGTCCCCTTTGCAGAAAAGCATCCCCAAAGAATGATGTTTCCACCTCCATGCTTCATGGTTGGGATGGTGTTCTTGGGGTTGTACTCATCCTTCTTCTTCCTCCAAACACGGCGAGTGGAGTTTAGACCAAAAAGCTCTATATTTGTCTCATCAGACCACATGACCTTCTCCCATTCTACCTCTGGATCATCCAGATGGTCATTGGCAAACTTCAGACGGGCCTGGACATGCGCTGGCTTGAGCAGGGGGACCTTGCGTGCGCCGCAGGATTTTAATCCATGATGGCGTAGTGTGTTACTAATGGTTTTCTTTGAGACTGTGGTCCCAGCTCTCTTCAGGTCATTGACCAGGTCCTGCCGTGTAGTTCTGGGCTGATCCCTCACCTTCCTCATGATCATTGATGCCCCACGAGGTGAGATCTTGCATGGAGCCCCAGACTGAGAGTGATTGACCGTCATCTTGAACTTCTTCCCTTTTCTAATAATTGCGCCAACAGTTGTTGCCTTCTCACCAAGCTGCTTGCCTATTGTCCTGTAGCCCATCCCAGCCTTGTGCAGGTCTACAATTTTATCTCTGATGTCCTTACACAGCTCTCTGGTCTTGGCCATTGTGGAGAGGATAGAGTCTGTTTGATTGAGTGTGTGGACAGGTGTCTTTTATACAGGTAACGAGTTCAAACAGGTGCAGTTAATACAGGTAATGAGTGGAGAAAAGGAGGGCATCTTAAAGAAAAACTAACAGGTCTGTGAGAGCCGGAATTCTTACTGGTTGGTAGGTGATCAAATACTTTTGTCATGCAATAAAATGCAAATTAATTACTTAAAAATCATACAATGTGATTTTCTGGATTTTTGTTTTAGATACCGTCTCTCACAGTTGAAGTGTACCTATGATAAAAATTACAGACCTCTACATGCTTTATAAGTAGGAAAACCTGCAAAATCGGCAGTGTATCAAATACTTGTTCTCCCCACTGTATGTAATCCAATCACGCTTATGTTTTTAGCTACTAACCACAAACTTAACAAAACGTTGAGCTTTTTCCTTACAAACACAGGGCTGACAGCATGCTATGTTTGAGATACTACTGTCCTGGTGAGTCAATCATGGAGGCATGTGCCTGGAGGCGTGTAAGGACAGCCATCTGTCATCATCAATGCCCTGTATATTCCCCCCCAAGCCGACACTGCGACGGCTCTCAATGAACTACACTGGACTTTTTGCAAACTGGAAACCGCATATCCTGAGGCCGCATTTATTGTAGCTGGGGACTTTAATAAAAGAAATATGAGGAAAACGCTACCGAAATTTGATCAACACCTCTGTGCTACTCGCGCATCGAACACTCTCGATCATTGCTATTCTCCCTTCCGGGACGGCTAAAAGGTCCTCCCTCCCTTAAACAGGAAGTACCTGTGGTAAGGACTGTTCAACGTTGGTCTGACCAATCGGAATCTATGCTTCAAGATTGTTTTGATCACGCGGACTGGGAAATGTTGCGGGTTGTCTCTAATAATAATATTTACATATACACTGAGTAGGTGACTGAGTTCATCAGGAAGTGCATAAAGGATGTTGTTCCCACTGTGACGATTAGAAGTTATCCAAACCAAAAACCGTGGATAGATGGCAGCATTTGCGCAAAACTGAAATTGTGAACCACTGCATTTAACCACGGCAAGGTGACTGGGAACATGGACGAGTACAAACAGATCAGCTCTGACCTCCGTAAGGCGAACAAAGAGGCAAAACAACAGTGCAGGCACAAAGTGGAGTCACAATTCAATGGCTCAGACACGAGATGTACGTGGCAGGGACTCCAGACAATCATGGATTATAAAGGGAAAGTCAGCCAAATCGCGGACACCAATGCCTCGCTCCTGGACAAGCTATACACCTTCTTCGCCTGCTTCAAGGAAAATACGGAGCCGCCGACACGGGCCACTGCCGCTCACAAGGACTGTGAGCTCTCGTTCTCTGTGGCTGACGTAAGTAAGACATTTAAGCGTGTTAACCCTCCTCGCAAGGCTGCCGGCCCAGATGGCATCCCAAGCCGCGTCCTTAGAGCATATGCAGACCAGCTGGCTGAAATGTCTAAGGACATATTCAATATCTCCCTATCCCAGTCTGTTGTCCCCACTTGCTTCAAGATGTCCATCATTGTTCCTGTACCCAAGAAAGTGAAGGTAACTGAACTAAATTACTATCGCCCCATAGCACTCACTTCTGTCATAACGAAGTGCTTTGAGAGGCTAGTTAAGGATCATTTCACCTCCAATTTACCCGACACCATAGGCCCACTACAATTTGCATACCGCCCCAACAGATCCACAGACGACGCAATCACCATCGTACTGCCCTATCGCACCTGGACAAGAGGTATACCTATGTAAGAATGCTGTTCATCGACTACAGCACAGCCTTCAACACCATAGTGCCATCCAAGCTCATCATTAAGCTTGGGGCCCTGGGTCTGAACCACGCCCCGTGCAACTGGGTCCTGGACTTCCTGACGGGCCGAAACCAAGTGGTGAAGGTAGGCAAAAACACCTCCGCTACTCTGATCCTCAACATGGGGGCCCCACAGGGGTGCGTGCTCAGCCCTCCTGTACTCCCTATTCACCCATAACTGCGTGGCCACGCAAGTCTCCAACTCAATCATCAAGTTTGCTGACGACACAACAGTGGTAGGCCTGATTACCAACAATGACGAGACAGCCTACAGGGAGGAGGTGAGAGCCCTGGCAGAGTGGTGCCAGGAAAATACCCTCTCCCTCAACGTCAACAAAACGAAGGAGCTGATCGTGGACTTCAGGAGACAGCAGAGAGAGCACACTCCCATCCACAGGGCCGCCAAAGTTCCTCGGCATGCACATCACTGATGACCTGAAATAGTCCATTCACACAGACAGTGTTGTGAAGAAGGCACAACAGCACCTCTTCAATCTCATGAGGCTGAAGGAATTCTGCTTGGCCCCTAAGACACTCACAAACTTCTACAGATACACCATTGAGATCATCCTGTTGGGCTGTATCACCGCCTGGTACGGCAACTGCACCATCCACAACCGCAGGGCTCTCCAGAGGGTGGTGCGGTCAGCCCAACGCATCACCGGGGGCACACTGCCTGCCCTCCAGGACATCTACAGCACCCGGTGTCACAGGAATGCCAAGAAGATCATCAAGGACCTCAGCCACCCGAGGCACGGCCTGTTCACCCGCTACCATCTAGAAAGCGGAGACAGTACAGGTGCATCAAAACTGGTACGGAGAGACTGAAAAACAGCTTCCATCTCCAGGCCATCAGACTGTACCCTGCCCTGAACCTTAGTCACTGTTAAAAGCCAGCTACCACCTGGTACTCTACCCTGCACCTTAGAGACTGCTGCCATAGTCATTGAACACTGGTCACTTTAATAATATCTTACCTACTTCATATGTACAGTGCCTTGCAAAAGTATTCATCCCCCTTGGCGTTTTTCCTATTTTGTTCCATTACAACCTGTAATTTAAATAGATTTTTATTTGGATTTCATGTAATGGACATACACAAAATTGTCCAAATTGGTGAAGTGAAATGAAAAAAAGAACTTGTTAAAGAAATTCTGAAAAATAAATAACGGAAAAGTGGTGCGTGCATATGTATTCACCCCCTTTGCTATGAAGCCCTTAAATAAGATCTGGTGCAACCAATTACCTTCAGAAGTCACATAATTAGTTAAATAAAGTCCACCTGTGTGCCCAACATCAGTGCCCGACCTCACTAATGCTCTTTCGCTGAATGGAAGCAAGTCTCCGCAACAATGTTCCAACATCTAGTGGAAAGCCTTCCCAGAAGGGTGGATGCTGTTATAGCAGCAAAGGGGGGACCAACTCCATATTAATACCCATGATTTTGGAATGTGATTTTCGACAAGCAGGTGTCCACATGCTGTATATTTATATTCCGGACTCTGATTTTGCTCGTTCTGATATATTTTTGGGATTTGTGGGTATTGTTTTGTATTACTAGGTATTACTGCACTGTTGGAGCTAGAAACACAAGCATTTCGCTGCACCTGCGATATTATAAAAAAAACTAAAACATTTTTAGTAATTTAGCAGACGCTCTTATCCAGAGCGACTTACAGTTAGTGAGTGCATACATTTTCATACTGCAAATATGTGTACGCGACTAATAAAATGTGATTTTATTTGACCTATTTCTGTTTCTGACGTCACTACTGAGAGAAATAGGTCAGCAGAACCATAAATCACAATGAACAACAGAATGAGGGTAGGCTCATTATTCAAAGCCATCATTTTGATAGGGCTACTACTACGTTTTTAGCCAGCCAGACAAAAACACTATTCACCAATGGAAAGTGAACTAAGGTCAATGATCTGAGCTTTAGTTGACCTCTGAACTCTGACCTTGAACATGGCAGCCTGTGGTTCCCCCAGCTCATAGAAGGGAGGTTTCCCAGTGGCCATCTCAATGATGGTGCAGCCAAGAGACCAGATGTCCGCAGGCTTGCCGTAGCCTCGAGGGCCTTTATCTATGATCTCAGGGGCCATGTACTGTAGTGTCCCTGCAAAACAACAACACACCAAACAGACAGGAAATTATACAAATATCATAGCTACTAGTTACAAGTTGCATTTGTAAAATTTGCATATCAGTGCTGATACAAGCAAATCAGGTTTTCAAGTTCAAGTTTTAATGCAATAATCAATAACAATGCAATAATCAATAACAATGTAATACTAGAAAAAAAAAACACAAGAAATAAGAAGAAATATTAACACAATAAGTATTTACAATGTGCAGGGATACTGGAGTGATGGAGGTAGATATATATAGGGGTAAGGTGACTTTAGGGAGATTGAACATGGGCTCTAGGTAGGGCTGCAAAATTCCGGGAAATTTCAATAAATTCCCTGGTTTTCCAGAAATCCTGGTTTATTAAATGTTCACGGATTTGGAACCCTAGCTCTACGGCTAAGTTTAATTCTGTGCAAGTGAAATTCCGCTAAGTGCTATCCTAAGTGAAGCTTTAATTGAGCTTTTAAAAAGGTAAGCTAAGTGCTATGGTGAAACTAGCAGAGACACATTGGCGTACAACTTACACAGGAGAAACTGACTGTACTGGATGGTTTCAAGATGCAAAGGTACTCCAATCAGATGATCTTAACAAAAGGGTCAAGCTGTGCTACCATTAGCTGACACAATGTCAACGCTGGCATAACCCTGGCACACTGACCTGACCACTCTGAATATCAACGGCAGGCTATTCTGAGATACGTAATTTACAGGATGATGAGCTAAAACAAGATAAATCCTCAAGCCCATAACACAAATAGTTTCTTAGAGATTAAATCTCAGCAAAACTATAGTTATTGTAAATAGTGAGTGGGATCACTGTGTGGGTTGAGGGTTCAGCCCATTTTCAAACAGCCTGTTCCATCAAGGCATTTTTACAATGTAGGGAGAGGAAGCTCGGTGGTTATAAACCCAGTTAGGAAGACCAGTACATACCAGTTGTTATCAATCCAGTCAGACAGACCAGTACATACCAGTTGTTATAAACCCAGTCAGGAAGACCAGTACATACCAGTTGTTATAAACCCAGTCAGACAGACCAGTACATACCAGTTGTTATAAACCCAGTCAGACGGACCAGTACATACCAGTGAAAGTCTCAGTGCAGGGGTTGATCCCAGCCAGCCGTTTAGAGGTACCAAAGTCAGATATCTTCAGAACTCCGCTATATGTGTTTATAAGCACATTATCACCCTGTGGATATAAAGACAACCAAGGGGATGAGAAAAGAGCTCCATTCCAAGTAATCTCCATTCATTAACCTTAACCCAAGGACTATGATAACAGCCTGGTAATCTAAGGTATTTCCTAGAAGGCAATCAGCAACAGTTCTTACAGTGGGCTATATTCACCACTTCATGTAAATGGCTGTTGAGGTCATTTTATGAGACACTATTGTTAAATGAGGCAAAATTTTGAGACCTATCTTGTCCTGGGTATGTGAGAAAGAGTATGCTAACCTAAATGAATGTTTCTATTATGGGATGGGAGTGTGGTCAGTGTGTTTTATTATTTATGACTGAGATTGAGTTACGTCACGTCATGTTAACCTTCCGGTAGGATGATAAGGGGAAGTCATCATACTAGAGCCAGGCAACAATTACAAATCAAATCATTTCTGTACCACTGACAAGAATGTGGCCTCCCTATTGGCCAGGCGCATACTGCACAATGGCCAAAGGCTTTGAAATAGAGCAGGCTTCACCTTGATGTCTCTGTGAGCGATCTGGTTGTCATGGAGGTATTTGAGTCCCTCCAGGATCTGTCTGGTGTAGAAGCCGATGGTGGGTTCGTTGTTCTTCAGAGGGCCCCATTTAGACCTCAGCAGAGCAGACAGGCTTCCTGGAGACCAACCACAGGACAAAGTTGAATACATAATCAACACATTCTGCTTTACTATCAGCAGGACGGTAGAGTATTCAATCAGTAAGCCAGGCTACATATTACATAAATCAGACAAGATATGTGTTTTTATTTGTTTCTAGGTGTAGTGGAGGAAATCTACTCACTTCTTGTTGTCCTTCACTGAGTAAAGATGCAACATAGGCTTATAAGACATGGTTGGGCATTGACTAGATCATTTTACCTTTCTAATGCTGCACGGATAGCCTTCTTACCTCCGGGAACCTGCTCCATGAAGATCTTGATAAAACTATTCTCGCTGATGGAGCCCAAGTACTGCACAATGTTCTTGTGCTTCAGGTGTCTGTGAAGGGCAATCTCCTCATGGAGGGGCTGAGAGTACCTTGGACAGAACATCCACTGTTACATCTCCCAGGAGAAAGGACAGTCTCTCTCCGCTCTTCTCTCTCTCTCATCACTCTCCAACTCTAGGATCTAGCTAGCTCTAGATACTCTCCAGCTCTCTCATCGATCAGAAGTACGATCCTGCTGGCGGAGAGACTGTCCCTCTATCTCATACTAGACGCCATCTCTCTCGCATGTCTCTCTCATCTCTATCTATATCTCTATCTCTCTCTCTCTCTCTCCTCCTCTCTCTCTCTCTCTGTCTCTCTCTGTCTCTCTCTCTCTCAATAATCATTCCTCACACTTTTGAGTTAGCCCATGAGAGCCCTCTAATGACTTGCGATGTCATCAGTGGAACAATGCGTGACAGAGGAATCTTCTGGGCTGATTGGGCTCTGAAGGAGTCCCATAATAAGCCAGGAGTAGTTAGAACAATGAGTAGACCAGAGATGGTGGTGGAAGGCAGCGCAAGGCAGTGGAGTGGAGTACTTGGTACATTAGTTGCTAGGCGACCCTTTTCCCCACTATTCGTTCATTGCCCAGTCACTCGATCAGGTGTATAGTATGTCCCAAGGAAAGGACCCACCACAGGAGAGCAGGTCTAGCACAGAGCTAACACAGTGGACGGCTCAAACGAGTGCTTTCGCGCCCCTTCGATCTGCCAATCAAATGATCACTCTCAGGAAACCACTTCAGTTGTTATGCTCTGAATTACCACTCACTCACTTTACATAACGACACAGGGACCTGTTGCTATACAGCCTTCCATTAGCAAAGTGCGTCATAAAAAGACAGTGAAAGTGTCATGGATGGGGTGAATGGTAGGAGCTGAGTGGTAGGATCTTTTTGGAGAAAGTCCAGTTAACATGTTCTCTTACCTGCTGTCTCTCTCCGGTATCTCCTTGATGGCCAGCCGCACCTGGTTGCTAAGGTCCCGGCCGGCGTACACCACTCCAAACGTGCCTTTTCCCAGAACCACCCTCTCCCCGTGCTCATTATACTCATAGTCGTACTGAGGAGTCAACCACAGGAGGAAATTATGTTAAAGATGACATTTTGTTGCATTTTAACTTCAAGGACCATTACAATCTAGAGTTATAACAGGGATATAGGTACATCTAAGAACAGGTGAGCTATAAAGGGATAGTTGTGGCTGGGTACTAACTGATAGAAACAAAGGGAAATAGGAGCTTTACAAAGGTGTGGCCCAGATCAAACAGTGTTCAAAAAACAGTTGGGGCATCTGATCTGGGCCATGCTAGTGTTAGACAGGAAGAGGCTGTGTCATTGTTTTGGGTAATTATTCACAGGCAATTGTTTTGTTGCACCACTGGGAGAACAGGTGAATAGACGAGCAAGTGCTTTTCCTACAGTACACTCTGTTGGTTTCCATTGCATGAACAGCGTGACCCACTTTCACACTGTAGGAAGTTGTCTCTATCCATTTCAACACTTTACATGGCCTGTATCTGGTTTTATATAGATTTGGGAAACAATCGGAGAGACTGTTTCTGCAGAATACATCCTAGACCTTGTATACAGTACATATATACATATACTGTACATCAGGTAATCCTGTTGGAAACAACATAGAAATAAAAGTTTGTGGCTAGAAAAGGAGTATCCCTCTCTCCTCCTTCACCTCTAGGGCATCAGTGTCACACTCCCCATCTTCCGGGCCTTTCCATGCTTCCTCTGCGAGGCTGTTGACCAGATCACAGAACCTGCAACACACAGAGCAGTCACATCAGTACAATTCCATATTTGAGTTGAAATACTCAACTTACACCCACACTAACACCAGATAACCTTTACTGCACTTACAAATATGTCACAAGAGCAGTTGTGAAATAACACAGAGCCCAGACAGGCACCCTTTCACACACTCATAAACCCCCATCACACCAGCACTGACTCACTGAATCAAACTGTGGAGCTGAGACTGGCTGGCTGTGCTTTGATTCTTCTCTGTGAGAGTCACAAGTTTCTACAGTACAGACGCTCCCTTGGAGAACAGCTCACATGCTTGTGAGATGGAGCGATCACGGCACAGAGTGACAGACAGACCTTTTGCAGTGCATCTCTGTGCAGAAGTAGATCTGGAAGTCCTCTGAGTTGTGCAGCACGTACAGGAAGGCACTGCGCTCGTCAAACTTGGAAATACTGAGGAAGAGGAGTTGACAGTTAAAGAATTGAAGACAAGGGAATTCACATGACATCTATAGAACACTGGCATAGACTGGACAACTGGGTGTAGCCAGAATCTTCTGAGAAATCATTCCAGTAGTATCTAACTGCAGAAGCTTTTCATTTTCACCAGAGCTGCAAGAGTCTCTTACTACCAAACAATCTTCTTCATTTATTCACATACAACAAGTTACAGTAACTCTGAAAGAACGAGTATAACTCTGAGCATTCGTTCCCACACACACACATACACACTGTTGAGTCTCCACCAGTGTTCAGCTGAGCGAACAGGGATTTTAAGCCAGTTAACTAAGGCCAGGGCTGAGCGGAGTGGAGCAGAGCAGTGAATGAGTGGTTGAATTCAGCACACCATGGCACACTGCTGCAGGCAAGGGAACTGCCATTGTCTCCTAGTGCACTGGAGGGCAAGTGGGCACTAAGAAATATATGCTCCCTAGCAACATCTCACAAAGGCCCTCTAAAGTGGGAGATCAGTTGGAGGTTGGCAGGGAGGGTGAAGGAGGGAGAGGCATTGAGGGACCTCCTCTGACAAATATTGCCTTGGGGACTAGGTGGCCACATTATTATCTGTTATGTTGTTGGCATAAGTTACACAGGAGGAGAGTAAAGCGGAGGAGAGTAGAGAGGAGAAGAGTAGAGAGCAGTGGCGTTATTGCCCATACATTACAATGAGTGTGTAGATCAGGACAGCTGTGAGATCACCAACCTGACACCCCGTACTGACATGGCGCTGAAGTTCCACTCATGGACCCCCCTGTGCTGTTAGAAAGATCAGAAAAACATGAACGTCAGAAAATATGACGATGACTGACACCTCAAAATGTACCTCTGATGACTGATCAAAATGTGTTGAGAGAAAGAGAGAGAGAGAGAGAGCTGTACTCCAGGGCTGTACTTCTTTTCTGAGACACAAAGCAAAGACACAAGGAAGTTGTCACACACTCTTCCTGTGGTCAGTAACTTACCTTGTCATCAGGGGCAACATGCCAGATGGAGACAGTGTTCTCCTCCACATCGTTGTTTATGGACAAGTACGAAGGCTGATAGACTTTAGTGGGCTCCAATATCAACACCTTGAAAAAGGACAACCAATAGAACATCAAGACATTTCACAATAAAGCTGAGAAAGTAAACAGTCTAGGAAAACTGCCTCAGCTGGTACCATTGTTATGGTTGATGTATGTACAGTGCATTCAGAAAGTATTCAGACCCCTTGACTTTTTCCACATTTTGTTACGTTACAGCCTTATTCTAAAATGGATTTAAAAAATATTTTTCCCTGATCAATCTACATACAGTACCCCATAATGGCAAAGCAAAAACAGGTTTTTAGAAATGTTTGCAAAGTATTCAGACCCTTTACTCAGTACTTTGTTGAAGCACCTTTGGCGGCAATTACAGCCTTGAGTCTTCTTGGGTATGTCGCTACAAGCTTGGCACACCTGTATTTGGGGAGTTTCTCCCATTCCTCTCTGCAGATCCTCTCAAGCTCTGTCAGGTTGGATGGGGAGCGTCGCTATTTTCAGGTCTCTCCAGAGATGTTCGATCGGGTTCAAGTCCGGGCTCTGGCTGGGCCACTCAAGGACATTCAGAGACTTGTCCCGAAGCCACTCCTGCGTTGTCTTGGCTGAGTGCTTAGGGTCGTTGTCCTGTTGAAAGGTGAACCTTCGTCCCAGTCTGAGGTCCTGAGCGCTCTGGAGCAGGTTTTCATCAAGGATCTCTCTGTACTTTGCTCCGTTCATCTTTCCCTCGATCCTGACTAGTCTCCCAGTCCCTGTCGCTGAAAAACATCCCCACAGCATGATGCTGCCACCACCATGCTTCACCGTAGGGATGGTGCCACGTTTCCTCTAGATGTGGCGCTTGTTTCTCATTGTCTGAGAGTCCTTTAGGTGCCTTTTGGCAAACTCCAAGCAGGCTGTCATGTGCTTTTTACTGAGGAGTGGCTTCTGTCTGGCCACTCTACCATAAAGGCCTGATTGGTGGAGTGCTGCAGAGATGGTTGTCCTTCTGGAAGGTTCTCCCATCTCCACAGAGGAACTCTGTCAGAGTGACCATCGGGTTGTTGGTCACCTCCCTGATGAAGGCCCTTCTCCCCAATTGCTCAGTTTGGCCGGGTGGCCAGCTCTAGGAAGAGTCTTGGTGGTTCCAAACTTCTTCCATTTAAGAATGATGGAGGCCACTGTGTTCTTGGGGACCTTCAATGCTGAAGAAATGTTTTGATACCCTTCCCCAGATCTGTGCCTCGATACAATCCTGTGTTGGAGCTCTATGGACAATTCCTTCGACCTCATGGCTTGATTTTTGCTCTGACATGCACTGTCAACTGTGGGACCTTATATAGACAGGTGTGTGCCTTTCCAAATCATGTCCAATCAATTGAATTTACCACAGGTGGACTCCAATCAAGTTGTAGAAACATCAAGGATGATCAATGGAAACAGGATGCACCTGAGCTCAATTTCGAGTCTCATAGCAAAGGGTCTGAATACTTATGTAAATGTGATATTTCTGTTTTTAATTTTTAATACATTTGCAAAAATGTCTAAAAAACTGTTTTTGCTTTGTCATTATGGGGTATTGTGTGTAGATTGATGAGGATTTTTATTTATTTAATCAATTTTAGTATAAGGCTGTAACTTAACAAAATGTGGAAAAAGGGAAGGGGTCTGAATCCTTTTCAAAGGCGCTGTATATGTCTAACTGTCAAGGTCAAGTCTAAACAGTGAAGAATGCCAGGAAGGAAGGCAAAGAGAGCATGGGAAACATACGGGGAAGCGGACAGACGAGACGTCTTTCTTTGTGGCCTCCACCAGGAAGTCCATCCAGAAGTCCACCAGTTCCTGTTTGGGCGGCGGCTGCTCCACAGAGGGCTTTTTGAAGTGCTGGTAAATCAGGATGGTCTCCACAAGAGAGCGCAGATACCTGGGGTGCAGTCAACACAGACGTTAGCTTAAAGGAAATGTAAAAGGCCTTTGACTGCAGGAAAAGAAAAGGCAGTTAAACAGAGCTAAATAAGTTTTAATAGATTGTCAAAATCTTAAGCATCAAAAGAAAATAGGTCTCTGACTGACTACAAGAAGATAAAGGACATTTAAATTGTGCAAAATAGGTTGAAATAATTTCTCTATATGTTGAGCTTTAAATGTAAAACAAAGCCTCGCTCACCAGACAGGAGCCTTCAGTTTGAAGAGTTTCTCGGAGGCCTGTATGACCCTGGTGTTGTCACAGGCCAGGATGCTAGCCCCCAGGAAGAAGCCCACATCCCAGTAGCTCTGCAGCTTGTCCAGGCTGCCCTTCTTCCCCAGTAGGCTGCTCAGCTTCACTCCTGGAGAGAACAACAAGGTCAGGTCAGGAACATATTATAACAGTGGAGGCTGCTGAGGGGAAAACGGCTCATAATAATGGCTGGAACGGAGCAAATGGAATGGCATCAAACAAAAAGAAACCATGTATTTGATACCATTCCACCAATTCCGCTCCAGCCATTACCACGAGCCAGTCCTACCCAATTAAGGCACCACTAACCTCCTGTGTATTATTATAATATAAAAGAAAGATACTCCACACTGTTGAATCCTTCCACCGTTTTATTGTGCAACGTTTCGAGATACTATGTCCTATTTTGTGTTATTTTTATACCGTCTGTTATTTCCTCATAGAGATCAGATTCTTAGCGAAGGAGAGCACAATGGGATGTACTGCACAGCGGGGGTTTGGGAATGGGCTGGGCACTGTAACGCTTACCCTTATGTCAAGCATTTCACCTGAAATGTAGCTTGGAGAATCTCAGTACCCACTTTGGATAAATCTTAACATGCAATGTAGTTGCTTGACATGTTGCTACTAAATTGCAGAGTGATAATGGAGCATGGTTGTTGTTTTTGACCTCGCTGAGGGACGCTGCCACTACATGTCTTGCTCAGGCAGCCCGGGATAGGGCAGAGTAGAGGAGGGCAGGGAGGGGGGCAAGGACTGGGAGGGGGCCCACGGTTGATTCCTAGGACTGTCTGTCCTGTTTCTCACATTCCTGAGCTACTTTCTGAGCCTCAGATTTCACAGCAAACACAAAGGATTGGGAGCCAAACAGCACAAAACTCCCTTGCAAAAAATTTAAAAAATAGAAACGTTGTTGTGTATGTGCAATCTGATGTTTCATATTAACCCCTGCAATACAGTATCAGGCTCTCTGTTCACACCCAGACTACCTTTTATGGGAGTGTCTCATCATAAGCAGGCTGTTCATTTGAATGAGCAGTATCTGTCACTTAAGTATATATTGATCTCACATTTTATGATAAGAGAATAAGTGCTGTAAAGGGAGAATGCAGGTCAGTAACTCAATTATTATTAGTCATCAGCAGTTCTAATGGAAAACAGCCAAGTCCAATGCACCGTCAGGCAGCTCAAGGCAAAACATTAGATATCAATGAGAATAAAGTGTTAGTCAATACTCACCGACTTTGCGGAGCTCGAAGGAGGCGTCAAACTGGTGTCCCGCTGCCAGGAGTAGAACGGCGTAGTTGATGCCAGAGTGTAATGTCGGCTCGGACTCAAACCCCTTCTTAAACCTGAGAGGAAAGACAGAGAAGCTAACGTAGAATCACCAATATTACACATGCTTCATTTTTAAATCAGACATTATGTTCCTACAGTAATTGCTGATGTGTCCTTAGTGAGAACTTATATCCTTTTCACCTCCCTAGTTTTGTAAAAAGCATCCAAAACAATTAGACTTATTTTGCAGGCTGCACAGATGAACCACTTGCACAAAGCTTGGCACTCGCAGATAAAAACCCTAATTTACTTAATGAGCAATCTGTTCCACTGAGGGAATGAGTGTGAATAACATGAGAAGGCTCTCCAAAGACATTGCCTGGGTTGGAACAGAGGACAAGGATAGCCCGATGGGGAGTTATTCTAATGAGATGCCATAAATCTTCTCGATGCGAGACATAATCATTCCAGGAAGACCGCAATTATCTTCATATTATCACTGGTGGTTGTGCCGTTTCAAATCAGCTTCTGTCAGACCTTGCAGCCTCTTTGCTCCATGTCAGATGACACGGATGTTCATTATCTGTAGTTGAGAGGTGGTCTTCGCTTCTTCTCTGGCTAGTGAGGAGTGAGAGGGGAGTGAGAGGTAATGACTCTCATCAGCAGCCAGGCTCTCACCAGTGTGTGTGCGTGTGTGTGTGTGTGCAGCTCTCACCAGGCCGTGCCACTGTCCCTGCTCTCTTTGTCAGCGAAGTGAGACTCCAGGAACATGTCCTTGTAGATGCGTCCCACCAGACAGTAGATGTCTGAAGCCACCTGGTTGTCAGCCTTCACCAGGGGCAGCATGATGTCCAGGGCCTTGTGACGGTCCCCCGGGAGGTTCCTCCTGAAAACAGCAGAGGGAAGAACCAATGATCAGAGACAGACAAGAGGTGAGTCCCAAATGGTATCCTATTCCCTTTTTATAGGGAATAGGGTGCCTTCAATCGGCAAGGATAGTGCATCAAGGCAGGACATTCAAATTGGCCATGTCCTATTCCCAAGGTAACTTAAAATGATGCCTTCTCCGAGGTATGCCCTACCTTCATTTGGAAGATTTTGAGTCAGAATCCAATGTAGGCCTATCACTGATTTTAGAATATAGGCCTATTAATTTCGCCCCTTCCTCTCTGGTGTTTCCTTCGCCGGGTAGGATATCCCATAACACCTTGCGCCACAGTTAAAACTCCCAACTTCTGGCAACAACTAATGGCGGACGGAAGTCACCTCTTCATAGAACATTTTCCAGAAGAAAGAGGAATAACTTTGTGGAATGTGAGTGTTACGTTTATTTATTAACAAAATTAATGTTCAAATGTTCAACAAATTACTTTGATATGCATTTTCAATTCAATAATTTGGACATACAATGCTGAGTTTGCTCTTATCAGCCCACTAGTCAAGCTAGCTAGCTAACGATTGACACGATCTAGCGAGCTAGCATTCATCCAAATGTGTTCATCAGCTGTTTATGTAGATGAAAAGCTAAACTAACCAATTTTTATTGTAAATTCAGGCATGTGCAAATTATGAAGACCTGGACAGTGAATTGGTGAACTAGCTAGCCACCTAATTAATGACAGATGGATGATAAATAAAGCAAAGGAACTAGCAGCTTTTTCCATGGAGCCTATCCAGAGGGAATGGGATTACGGCACCTCTTATGGAGGCTGCAGCTCAGGCTGCTCTCCGCTCCCTAGCTTTCACTTCACACTAGTGTGCCGCTGAAGGGCAACTGGAGGGGGCCAAAGCTAAGCAGTGAGTCAGCCTAGCCCACTCCAGTCATCCAACAGTCAAACATGGAGGGGAAGTAGGGAGGGAGCGCAACAGGAAAGGCTTCGACTCTAGCATTTACATCCCTGCTGCTGCTGTTTTCTCACCAGCTTAACCCAATTACTCAACAGAAAACTCTGCTTGTCAGACATGTTTAAAAGAAGAGATTTAAATATAATTATCCATGCTTCATTGTTGCAGGATAATGGCAATATTTTTGCTATGGTGCACTAAACTGCTGAGTCATGGACCACCTCTAGTTGGGGGAAATTGGGAACAAATGGGCTGCTGTCTAAACAATCACACAGACTCATGGCAACAATCTTAATTTATGGGCCATTCAATGTTTTCCCAATTATGCAAAGAATGTGCAACAGATTTCTTTGAGTGTGTAAAATGCAGTAAAATGTTCTCTTAACTGGCTAGACACCAATGTTGCGTTGTAGCATGCAGGAATTTTCCAATGGCTCCGAAATGAAAGAGCAACTTGCTTTATTACAGGTGGAAACCCAGTGTGCGTTTACAGGTGAGGCAGCATGTTAAAGAGCAGGCAGTAAAATACTTTCCAAGCTGAACATGTGTGATGTTCCGACTCAGAGCACAGACACACATGTTCAGCACATGCATGTTATGTGTGTGTCTGTCTGTGTGTGTGTGTGTGTGTGTGTGTGTGTGTGTGTGTGTGTGTGTGTGTGTGTGTGTGTGTGTGTGTGTGTGTGTGCGTGCGTAGGAAAAAACAGGTGTTACATGCTGGGGGTCTTACCGATTCAGTGCAAAGGCATGGTGGAACTTGACATGGGGATTGGCCACAGGGTCGAATGTAGGAAGCTTCTCCAAGGTCTCCACCAGCTTCACTATGGATTCATAATCCTACGTTACATACAAGCATAGAAAAACAGATCGTTGTATTGAAAATCATGTACCCACTCAGCCACATCTTGGTTGCTATAGTTTACATGAAACCTAAAATATCTATGTCCATGTTCCCTTACAAAGTCACTACTTTGGGAAGGACATTGTCGGCTTCTTCAAGTACTTCAATAATCGAATGTCCCCTCTTCCAACATTTTTGGTCCAGTATATATTTATCCAAAACACGTTGAATAATTCAGCCTCTCCTTGTAGCTCTTGTTGTTGGCATCATTTATTAATGTGGCGGGTGGTTGCCTATGGCTGGCAGGATGGGAGGGTGTAGGGTGAATGGCAATGCATAGAGAACATACTGCAGTGCAGTTGCAGATGAGCCACAGGAAGATGACAAATACTTAATCTGCAGCTTTCCACAGGAAGCCCAAAATAGTAATTCTTCTGATATAAAATTCAGTTAGCAAAGGGACTGAGGGAGGCCATAAAACATTTATGCTGAGCATTTCAGTCCGTCTAAATGGCCCACGCCGATAGCATCTGACAAGCTGAAGAAGGCCAAATGTACCTGGATGTCCCTGTAGGACAGAAGCAGGTTGATGACAATGTCAGCTGAAAGGCACTCTACGTTGTCCAATCGTTGTTGAATTCGGCTGAGTTCTGAGGTCAGCTCCATCCCTGTGAACAATTCTCGTGCTTTCCGAATCTCGTTGAGAATGGTTTCTCTGAAGTATTGGCTGTGGGGAAACGGAGAGATTCACAGAGAGATGTTATTTCACACTATAAATCAACTTTTCTGCAAATAAACCATTATTATGTATTGGTGTGACTTTCTGGGGAAATAAATATGGGGAATGGGGATAGAATCAACCATTGATAATTGAAAAACATGTATCTATTCCTCTCAGGCAACTTTTGATATTGGCTACAATGTCTTTGATCTTGCCTTGCCTGACACGATTATAAATAGTCTACCCTCTTAAACATATGCAGTATGTCAGTTATTTACTTCCTCGCGGCAGCTGAATGTGGAGCTCATGAATGTCTTCCCTGGTAAGCCCCTTCAATGTATTCTTCACTGTAATGTTGGAGCTGCACTTTTCTCTCAGCTCTCTAAAATATGACTCCCTATTCCTGGAAGAGACTGTGATGCTGAAAATTGGCAGAGAGAGAAGCCTTAAACATTAGGACAGAACTAAGCAATGCTAACATTAAAACTGAGATTGCTATGCAAGCCAAAGTGTTGCAGAGGGACACACCAAATAAAGTAATGCACCATGTATTATCCAAAATGAGTGAATTGGATAATACAATGGACTCTGAGGAATACTCATGAAGTGCAATATCTGATGAAAAGAAGAACAGACTAACAAAAAACATTGCACATTTGAAATTAGGTAAAGCTTATCGGGTAATCACACTTTCAATGACTCCATTAAACTATAGTATGGCTACAGTCATACCGCACTTCATCAGCTAGTCATCCATGTTGCTTAATCAACCACAGACAATTACACAAGACAACGCAAAATCCAGCTGTTATACAGTACACTTTAGGTCACGTTAATACACCTCTGTTGGCAATAATAGCCCTGTAATCATCACCTTGTTGTGCATGTTCACAACTTCCCTAGCGAGGTGACACCTGTTTCACTACAGCAAGGTGTGAGTACAGCAAACATGTGACTTAGGCCCAGCAGCCCAGTGTCTAACCCCAACAACCTAGTCAACAGGAGCTTTAGACCTAGCGTCTAACCCTACACATCTCTCTACTACTCACCAGGAGTTAGCCTGGGGCACCTTGAACAGCTGGATGAAGCGGTCCAGCAGGGGCATGCAGATGGGTCCCAGCAGCATCTCGTAGCTGGGCTGCATCAGCTCTGTCAGGCCCTTCATCAGGCTGCTCTCACAGCAGTACACCTTGTTGTGGGGCGTCACCATGTACGGGATGAAGCTGTAGTTGGCTGAGCATGTCTGGATGGAAACAGAACAGCAATGTGTTGGGTTGTAAACATACGGAGGTCGCCTGGTCCCAGATCTGTTTGTGCTCTATGATTCTAAAACACAAACAGATCTGGGACCGTGCTAATGTAGAGGTTGTTTCTGTTCGATTATATTACATTGCATGTTGACTGCATGCGTTACAGTGGGGAGAACAGGTTGGATCTGTTGGTAGGTGATCAAATACTTATGTCATGCAATAAAATGCAAATGAATTACTTAAAAATCATACAATGTGATTTTCTGGATTTTTGTTTTAGATTCTGTCTCTCACAGTTGAAGTGTACCTATGATAAAAATTACAGACCTCTACATGCTTTGTAAGTAGGAAAACCTGCAAAATCGGCAGTGTATCAAATACTTGTTCTCCCCACTGTATATACAATGGGAGGACAGTGGTAAGTGCCTGCCTCGTGCTGGTCATTTTGTGACATAGTGTTGTGACATAAGGAGGAGAATCTGATCTGCAGAGACAATGGTGTGGTTGTACCCATGGACATAATTGAGTCTGTCTAAAGTAGTAATGACAGTGGCATAAGGATCTGTTTAACCGGGCTGCTCACACTTCCCTCAGGACAGAACTAGCCTTAAAACTCCATTCATGTTGCTCATGGAAATCAATTCAAACCACGTCTGTCTTACTACTCTCGTCCAACTGTATTTGCATGTGGTATTTGTAGAGAGTACCAGTAAATCTATCATTGATGTCACACCCTGATCTGTTTCACCTGTCTTTGTGATTGTCTCCACCCCCCTCCAGGTGTCGCCCATCTTCCCCATTATCCCCAGTGTATTTATACACTGCGTTCTCTGTTTGTCTGTTGCCAGTTCATTTTGTTTCGTCAAGCCTACCAGCGGTTTTCCCCTTGCTCCTGTCTTTCTCAAGTTCCTGTTTTCTAGTTTTCCCGGTTTTGACCATTCTGCCTGCCCTGAGACTGCCTGCCATTCTGTACCTTTTGGACTCTGATCTGGATTACTGACCTTTGCCTGCCCCCTGTTTTTGTAATAAACTTTTGTTACTTCAACAATGTCTGCATCTGTGTCTTCTCTTGAAACGTGATAATTGATGTCATTTTAGTCTGTCATTTACAGTAGACTCAACACTCAGCACTTGAAAAGCTTGAGTTGATGGAGGCTAAATATACTTGAACATATAGGCTACAGTAGGGTACGGAAAGGGATGAATCCTGAGTGCACAGTCAGTGGCTATTTTAACCTCTCTGTTTCAATTCCATCTTCAAGAACACATCCCGGCTGCTTGCTACTCACACTTGCAACAAAAGGAAGTAAACAGAGGCTCAACTTCTGCCTGTAGAAATTGGAACGTTCCACAGTAAAACTGCTTCCTCCTCTGCAATCTTATTTTTTATGACATCATCACCAGTCATGCCATATCTTTCCAAAATAACCAGTGAAATCTTGTCACGGCTAGGTACAGACACAGATTACAACATCCTGTCCTATATTGAGCCACACACTGCGTGATTCATGCCCTAGCGGATTACATGATGACAACACATCACAGATTTATACATTTTTTAATCGCTAGGTGCCATTGAGACTGTCCTTCTCCCCGGCAATGTCAGCCAATGAGAAGCATCCAACTGCAGATTATGCGCGCTGACGCCGCCTGGTCTGCAAATCGCAAAGCACATGTGTCTCAAATTGTATTTTTGCGTCTCAGTTGGTATGTGCGCGTGCAACCTCAACTCTCAACGTGTTCTAGGGCATCAGGGTGCTACGCACATACCAGATGGCGCACTAGCTCTGGTCCAGGGCATTATGTTAGTATCATAGTGGTCAAAGTTGGATGAGTTAGCTAGCTACAGTGCTTCAGAAAGTATTCACACCCTTTGACTTTTTACACATTTTGTTGTGTTACAAGGTGGGATTAAAATTGATTTATTTGTCATTTTTTGTTAACGATCTACACAAAACACTCTGTAATGACAAAGTGGAAGACAAATTCTAACATTTGTAGAAGATTTATGAAAAATAAAACACTTGTCTCCCAGTGTCTGTTGGAAAGCAGACTGAACCAGGTTTTCCTCCAGGATTTTGCCTGTGCTTAGCTCTATTCCGTTTATTTTTATCCTAAAAAAACTCCCTAGTCCTTGCCGACGACAAGCATACCCATAACATGATGCAGACACCACCATGTTTGAAAATTGAATAGTGGTACTCAGTGATGTGTTGTGTTGGATTTGCCCCACATATTACGCTTTGTATCCAGGACATAAAGTTAATTTTTATTGCAGTTTTACTTTATTGCAAACATGTAGAGAATACAAACATTTGCTTTCTTTTCATTATTTTCACTCTGTCAATTAGGTTAGTATTTTGGAGTAACTACAATGTTGTTGATCCATCCACATTTTTCTCCTATCACAGCCATTAAACTCTGTAACTGTTTTAAAGTCACCATTGGCCTCATGGTGAAATCCCTGAACGGTTTCCTTCCTCTCCGGCAACTGAGTTAGGAAGGACGCCTGTATCTTTGTAGTGACTGGGTGTATTGATACATCATCTAAAGTGTATTTAATAACCTCACCATGCTCAAAGGGATATTCAATGTCAGCTTTTTTTTTACCCATCTATCAATAGGTGCCCTTCTTTGTGAGGCATTGGAAAACCTTCCTGGTCTTTGTGGTTGAATCTGTGTTTGAATGTGTGTTCACTGCTCGACTAAGGGGCCTTACAGATAATTTTATGTGTGGGGTACAGAGATGAGGTAGTCATTCAAAAAGAATGTTAAACACAATTATACACACAGAGTGAGTCCATGCAACTTATTAAGCACATTTACATTTCTACTCCTGAACTTATTTAGGCTTGCCATAACAAAGGGGATGAATACTTAATGACTCAAGACATTTCAGCTTTTCATTTTTCATTAATTTGTAAAACAAATAATAATAATCCACTTTGACATTATGGGGTATTGTGTGTAGGCCACAAATTCAGGCTGTAACACAACAAAATGTGGAAAATGTCAAGGGGTACGAATACTTTCTGAAGGCACTGTATGTGTTCAGGATGAGTTTGGTTTTGAAATTTTTTTGATACAATCTTAATGCCAAAAATCACTACAACCAAGCTACCGGCTAGCTAGTAGCGCTAGCTAGATACTTAGTACTACTAGCAAAGATACTGATAACCAACAGCTTTTGTCTGTGCAACTAGCTAGTGCTTCTAATTCTAAATGTAATTTCACCACCTGTGCTGTTGGTGGCGGTAATGCACCATCCTCTCTGGCACCATTTGACATCTTGTCTCATCTTGTATGTCTCACAGTATATGTGGTGTGATAAGGTATCTGCTGGAGCCTAACCTTATTGGGGTCTGGCTCCAGCAGATACCTTTTCATGACACAGACACTGTGAGAGTCGACATACGAGCTCAGACAGGTCTAATGGTGCCAGAAAGGATGGTGCGTTACCCTTTAAAACGAGGGCATAAAGACAATGAATAATAGGCTTGGTACTGTAGAAAAATGTCATGATGCTTATTTTTACAGCCTGGTGGTGAAATTACATTTATAATTAGAAGCTTTGCACTAGCTAGTCTGTACTAGTTAGTGTGTACTAGCTAGCTAGCATTGTACTAGCTAGTGTGTACTAGCTAGCTAGCTAGTGTTGTAGGCCTACTAGCTAGCTGGTATGTAACATTACTAGCTAGGGTGTACTAGCTAGCTATAGTGTGTACTAGCTAGATAGTGTGTACTAGCTAGGTAGTGTGTACTAGCTAGCGTGTAATAGCTAGCTAGCCTAGCTAGTGTGTACTGGCTAGCTGCAGAAGCAACAGTAGTTAATATAACACCCTGGACCAGAGCTAGTGCGTGACTGGTATGTGCGTAGCACACTGACGCCCTGGAACAAAGCTAGTGACTCACGTGATACAGGTAATCAACAAGCGTCTACAGGTTGTGCGCACACATACCATCTGAGACGCACACATATGCGCACTGAGGTTCGCAGACCAGGCGGCGTTAGCGCGAATAATCTGTAGCTGGATGCTTCTCACCTCAGCAGCAAGTCTCTGAGGGTAGGTGACACGAAGGTCCCAAAAACAACACAAGGAGCACACGGACAGAACACTAGGCGGGTGTCCTAAATCGCAACTTCTTCCCTACATAGTGCACTACTTTTGACCACAGCCCTATCGGCCCTGGTCAAAAGTAGGGCACTATAAAGGGAATACATAAGCTGCCATTTGGGATGAAGCCAGGGTGTTTGCATGTTACAGTAATTAAGGAGTTAAATCTCCCAGTTAGGCAGTATGAGATTAACCCATTCGTATAAAGGGGGAGGGGTAGACGGGACTGAGTAGTGTGTGTGTGACGAGGTCAGAGTGCCACTAATGTGTCATATCTGTGGCGTGGTGTGTTTGTTTTCTCAGAGCAAAGGGAAGGAAAGTGGTGTGTAGACACAGATGGAGAGAGATAGTCACGGAGTGCAGTAGTGCACTCTCACTATAATGCAGTAATCAGTCCTCTTCACAAGGCTCTGTCGCCACACACAGATCAGCCCATCAACCTGCTTCCTGGAGCACAAGCCACCATATTCCACTCCATAAGCCACTTAGGCCAGCTGCTCAGGAGGCTCCATGTCCATGCCCTTGCCTCAAACTCACAGTCCCCCCCCCCCCCCCCCTCATTCCACAGTGCATCAGTGTCACCATATCCTATTATTCTATATAGGAAAGCCAGCCAGACTGTGTGTTGTCTCCTTTTCTAATCTAGCTATCACTGGGCAGAAGGAGTGGCAGACACTGTGTTACAGACGGGGGAGCTTAAACCACTGCTGTGTCGACACAGCACAGTGGCAGGAAATCGAAAATGAGAGGTGAAATTGAAAGTGAACTCATTCTCTTGCTGCATTCCACAGCACATTCCCCAGTCACCCTGATAATAAGGCTGCCTGTCAACCAAGTAAAGCTAT